ATTTTCTAAATCTTGCATTTCCCCGTTGTTCCACAGCGCGAGAAGACAGAATAATGCCGCTGAGTTGAGCATAGTAGAAGGTCAGTTTCCTCAAATTATTGAAAAGAATCTAGCGAAATGCCATTACATTATCCACATGTCTTCTTTCATCTCTCATTTCCTTTGTGTAAGCAATGGAGTTGCGACTCAGTAATTTTATAATATCATTTGTTGAAATGAGTCCCATGCCCACTTTGACGATTTTGCAGATTTCTAGAAGCTGAAAATGGTCGACACAAATTCAATCGATGTAATTCTGGACTTTTTAAAACGGAATCAGTTCACAAGAGCTGAGGCAGCATTGCGAAGTGAGCTCAGTAACCACCCAGATTTGAATGGTCTTCTCAAGGAACTTACACTTGAAGAAAAGGGTTTAGGGGACACGTTGGGGGTAGAAAATGGGGATAAACCGATGGTGGAGAACCGACTGACAGGTTCACGAAATAATCTTGATGTTTCCAAGGAGCTTATTGTGAAGGAGATAGAGTGTGGAAGTGGTAGAAATGGTGCTGAAAGCAAATGGAAAAATGATTCTGAGTTTGTAGAGAGGAACAAATCAAATGAATCAGTTGGAACAAGTGACAGGAACTTCACTTTTTCTCAAGGTTCAGAGGATACTGTGCTTGATTTATATTCATGGAAAGTCAAATCTAGCAATGGTTTGGTTGGAATTTCTCAGAATGATGGGATTAAGGATACACATAACTTTCCAGAGCTTCAGGTATCTGAAAAATCAAGATATCATACAGGAGAAGTTTCCGAATCAAAGAAAGCCAACTTCAAAACAGGAGAAGGTGTTGTTTCATCCAGTGAAAAGAGAGACTTGTGGCACGGAAGTGCTAGCACAGGAATTGTGGAAACCAAATATGACGTATCCCAAAAATCTGAATCGAAGGAACTAGATCAGCAAGTTAAGACTGCTTCTGTATACATGAAAGAAAACACTGCAGATATTTCATGGTATAAAGGTAAAGATTCTTCATCGTCAGACTTGCTGAAAGATTGTTCTGTGAAGACCGTTTTTCCATTTTCCAAGGGAGATATGTCAAACTGTTATGACAGCACAATTTGTTCTGACAAACTAGATGTGAAGAGAAAAGCAGAGGTGAATGATATAAGGGCAACAATTAAAGAGCAGGTAGATGAGGTGGGTAGAACTTTATATTTTGGCAAGGATAGTGCTGAGCAAAAAACTTTAACCAGTTTAAGTCTAGCTCTCGTGGCTGAAAGTCAGAAGGAGGAATTGCCTCGATTGCCGCCTGTTAAACTGAAGTCTGAAGACAAACCCTTGAGTCTTAATTGGAAGGAAAACTTTGATCGTGATGGACAAATTGCAAAATTTACGAGCATTGACAGCTCCCTTCTTATAGGCTCATATCTAGATGTTCCTGTTGGGCAAGAAATTTCCTCTTCTGGTATGCTCTTACACAAATAGAGACTCTATTGCAATTCGATAATTTCTGGATAATTTTCTGTTTAACGTCATCCTTCCTGTTAGTTTTTATATATTTTTTTCCCTTGTACTCTGTCTTGATTTAAGATTGAGATTAATTAGAACAATCTTTCAAGCTGGATGAGATATTGCTTTTTTTTTTGTTTTCTCTTTTTTCCCCATGATTTTACAAACGCATGGGTTTGCCAGAGATTAACATGCATATAAAGTAGTTCCGTTCTAGCGATTATTTGGCTTAATTAGAACAATCTCTCAAGCTGGATGAGATATTGCTTTCTTTGTTAGAAACAACTCTCCCCTCATCCCTCTGATGATACAGTTGTTATTTCTTGCCCTCAATGCATTGTGGTATCTCTTATAATGATAATTTTAATTTGCATGACCAAGATCAACATCAGCATTTGGCAGGGCCTTGTGGTATTTTATTTGATGAGTTAATGCCTGATGCTTTTTTCTGGGGTATGCTGACATAAGATGCTGTTTGTGTACTTATTGTGGAAATTCCATTCTAAATATTCTAAGGATATAATTTTGACTTTAAATTGAAGGTACAAAGAGGAATGTTGGTGGCAGTTGGTTGTCTGTAAGCCAGGGAATTGCAGAGGATACATCCGATTTAGTTTCTGGCTTTGCTACTGTTGGTGATGGCTTAAGTGAATCTCTGGACTATCCAAATGAGTATTGGGACTCTGATGAATATGATGACGATGATGATGTTGGATACATGCGACAACCTATTGAGGATGAGGCGTGGTTTTTGGCTCATGAGATTGACTATCCAAGTGACAATGAAAAGGGAACAGGGCATGGAAGTGTCCCAGATATGCAGGATAGAGCTCAAACCAAATGTGAGGATGATGATCAATCTTTTGCCGAGGAGGACTCGTATTTTTCTGGTGAGCAATATTTTCAATCAAAACATATTCAACCAGTAACAACCTCAGAGGATCCTATGGGGTTGACTGTGACTGAAATGTATGGGAGGACCAATGAGAATGATTTAATGGCTCAATATGATGGGCAGCTGATGGATGAAGAGGAATTAAACTTGATGCGTGCTGAACCTGTATGGCAGGGATTTGTCACCCAGACTAATGAGCTGATAATGTTAGGGGATGGAAAAGTTGTAAATGAGTCTAGAAAACCAAGGCTTGATGATATTTGTGTGGATGATGATCAGCATGGTTCAGTTAGATCAATTGGTGTGGGGATCAATAGTGATGTAGCAGATATTGGCAGTGAAGTACGTGAAAGCTTGGTGGGAGGCAGCAGTGAGGGGGATTTAGAATACTTCCATGATCATGAGGTTGGAATTGGTGGCCCCAGACTTCCTTATCATGATTCAGAAAAAAAATATTTGGATAGATCAAACAGGGATAAGAAGAGATCTAGTAAACAGCAACCAAATAAACAAGCATCTGGGAATGATACAAGCATGTGCTCACAGATGCATAATCAAACTGACGGGGGATTTTCATTTCCCCCACCTTTGAGAGATAGGCAGTTGGTACAGGCAGGCTCTAGCAAATCTTTGTGGTCTAACAACTCTAACAGAGTGATCACTGATGAAAATGATGCTTCTTTGAATGCTTTGATGCAATCTAATAATATGCTTGCTTCTTGGCGGCCAAAAAGTTCTGATTCTTCACCTGATAATAGTCTTAGGGATGAAAATAATGCTAATGCTATAAGGTCCGGAAGTTCAAGTCCTTCCATGCTTTCCAACTATCATTACACAGAAAGAGAGCACACCAAGCTAGAAAATGACGATAAAATTAGCAGTGTGAGGGAAGAAGATCCTGTGGCATCACTCGAGGATGAAGAGGCAGCTGCTGTGCAAGAGCAAGTGAGGCAGATAAGAACTCAGGAGGAGGAATTTGAGTCTTTCAACCTCAAAATTGTGCATCGTAAAAACAGGTATGCCTTGGATATCAGTTATCACCCATCAGGCCACCAGGGTTGAACTTAATCAATTGTTTCTTATTTGAGATTTTATTATTGAGTGACCTGAGGAAGACTTCATTATTTGTTATTTTATCATTCATATTATAAAATAAAAGTTGGTCTTTTTGTGTTTATATTGCAGTAAAATATTTAATTTGTTTTAAGTTCTGTGGGAGTAAAAGAAATTTCTTGTGGTGGATTATTTTTTGAGTCTATTATTATGAACATTTACTAATAATTATGTCCTAGATTTTGATTTTGTGTTATTGTTACTTAGAACTGGCTTTGAGGAGGACAAGAATTTCCATGTGGTATTAAATTCTGTAATAGCTGGACGATATCATGTCACTGAGTATCTCGGGTCAGCTGCATTCAGCAAGGCTATACAAGCACATGATTTGCATACAGGCATGGATGTTTGTATAAAGATTATAAAGAACAACAAGGATTTTTTTGATCAGAGCCTTGATGAAATAAAGCTTCTAAAATATGTTAATAAGCATGATCCGGCAGACAAATACCACATTCTGCGACTATATGATTACTTCTACTATCGGGTAAGTGCTGACTGGTCATGCGTGCTTATGTCAGTGGTAGACTATTTTTTCCCTTGTCTAAGGTAAGTTACATTGGTCATGTCTAGTCATTTGTTGTAATTGTTTTTAGACACGCTTCAATAATTCCTTCAGGCTTTCAAGGGTTTATGAAATAGATATTGTTCCAAGTTAGCTTTTATTGTCATTCTTTTATCCTTAAGATTGTTTCAACAGGTTTTAATGATTGGTTGAATTTCACCCTTCCCTCCAGGAGCATCTGTTGATTGTGTGTGAACTTCTGAAGGCAAACCTATATGAGTTTCACAAATTTAATAGGGAATCAGGAGGAGAAGTATACTTCACCATGCCAAGATTACAGGTGTGTGAAGGTGAATAATTTTGTCAAATTTTTTAAGTGTGGTCCAAAACTAATGCAATCTGTTCTTGCAGTCAATTACAATTCAATGCTTGGAGGCACTTCAGTTTTTACATGGTCTTGATCTTATACACTGTGACTTGAAGCCTGAAAATATATTGGTGAAAAGTTACAGTAGATGTGAGGTGAAAGTTATTGATCTCGGAAGTAGTTGTTTTGAGACAGATCACCTCTGCTCCTATGTTCAATCTCGATCCTATCGTGCCCCAGAGGTTATCTTGGGACTTCCGTATGATAAGAAGATAGACATATGGTCTCTTGGCTGTATCTTGGCAGAACTTTGTACTGGCAATGTAAGGTTTACCCAACCATATCTATAAACTATGTTTGTTATATTTCTCTAGGATTAACATCTATTGATTTATTTATTAACAAGGGTAGGAATAAAGAGGATAGGATTTTTGTTTTTATTTTTTATAATTCCCTTGTCATTGGGTTGATGCCCTATCACTCTTTGCCTTATGTGCTAGTTTTGTAGTAATGGATTTTCAGTTGGGTTCCCTTTTCTATTTATTTAAATAAAAAACACATAATATTTGAGTATATTTGTGTGGTTTTGAATGCAACATATACTATGCACATCATTGGCAGCAGACTATTTTAGAGTATCATTTACAGGTAGCAAATAATAAATATTGAAGTGAGGCATACTGTCATTTATGGTTAAAGTCATCTCCTGATTGAACATATGACCATATAAAGATCAATGCCTTCCAGCAATGGATGCCATCATTGATTTATATTTACAGATACATTCTTCCTTTTTGTTGGTTTCTAGTGCGTCCTTTGCAAAAGTGTTTCAGAGGACCTTGACCACATCATGTGGAGTTGTCAGTTTGCCCAGTTTATTTGAGGCCGGTTCCTAGAGGTTTTTACGGTTTCCTTGGCTTGTAATAGTAAGTGTATGGAGATGATGGAGGAGGTGGGTGTGTTTTTTGCTATTTTTATAGGGCATTTGGCTAAAGAGGAATAGTGAAATTTTTACTGGTTGAGGGGTCTTGGGAGGAAATTTGAGAGATTGTTAGGTTTAGTGCCTCTTTGTGGGTGTTAGTTTCTAAGGTTTTTGTAATTATCAATTAAATGTTATTATTTTGGATTGAGGTCCCTTCTTATAGGTTGTTGGGTTTGTTTTTGTATGCCCCTTGTATATTATTTCATCTTAACCCATGAAAGCTTAGTTTCTTATTAAAAAAAATCATTGCGGACTAGGTTACCTTGAACATGAATATTCAAGTTAGTATCCTTTAAAAAAATTATCGTCATCTGCTGCAAGGATTTATAACTATAACAAAAATTTTCCTTTTCGTTTTTTGGTAAAAAGAATGTTTTGTATTTTACTTGAGCAAGCTGTTTGCTTTCTTGTTCTGAACTGCTCCTAGTAAGTTATCTTCGTAATTATGTTCATGATGTATGGAGCTTGTTCAAACTATTTCAGCAAGGATTTTTGTGTGGGCGGTTTGCTTGAAATAACTGGATCATTGCAAGACAATACAGAGAAACTTAAAACCTATGGGAGAATGTTACATTTATTCTCTCTTTGGAGTTCTTGTTCCAAACACATTTCCTAGATTAACTCTACTTTTGGAGTTTTTACGATTTTTTTTTTAATATGCTGCTGAAAATTGTTCAAAATGATACTTTGCTTGCAGGTTCTATTCCAAAATGATTCGCCTGCTACGTTACTTGCACGAGTGATCGGAATTATAAGTCCTATCGATCAAAGTATGCTTGCCAAGGGACGAGATACATACAAATATTTTACCAAAAATCACATGCTGTATGAACGAAATCAGGTAAAAATATATTGTATACTAAAATCTTTTATTACCTGTGATATGAAGCCTCTATATTCTCCAAATCCATTTATTTAATTCTCATTTTTTCCTGCATAATATGTCAAGGCAGTGTGAGATGTTTGTTTGAGTTCTTTGCAATGCATATGCTGTTTCATGTTTTCATTTAAATCTATTGCTTACACAATTGTCAGAATGAGCTCTTCTGGTGAGGTGAAAAATGTGATGCAAGTATTTAGAAAGTCCTCTCGATGACATTAGTTAATTAATTACTTAGTCAAGATCAGATCTCGTTTTAGAATCAGGTTATTTATTGACTTTTTTTTTTAGTTGCAAGTGGGAAATTAATAGAGAAAATTATTAAAATGCATGCCTCAGGAAGGACAAAATTGTTCTAAGAAAAACTGTTTGGAGGTTAAGGACAAAATATACCTATATTCTTCCTACTCAAACCTGACACCCCAAAAAAAAGAAACGAAAAGAAAAGAAAAGAAAAGTCTCAAAAAGCACAACATCCAGTGGCAAAAAGACAACTTCGCTTCATGTGGCCAGCACTCAGTCAATTCCAGGTGGCCTTGACAAGATTAGGAAATGTCTATAATAGTTTGTGGCGGTCCCTGTTCAAACTGAATGAGATATATTTCAGTGTATGACTCGTGAATGTATATTTTTCTGTGGTAAAATTAACTTCCTGATCAAGATCATGCAGTTGCTAACAAGTGAACGCCTTTCTATCTTGAAAGTCAATTGGCATTGCCGTTTAACACCTAAAAACGATGTTGGTAGTTAGTTTGGCTGAGTTGCGAKGTTCTTCCTTTGAAAGTGTTTGGGTTTGGTTCAATGACAGACTTTTGTTACTGCCACTAAGAAATAAGTAATCTTGAAATTCCTAATACTCTCTCCAAATCCGGAGAAACATAAATGTTGAGTTGTTGTGGAGAACACTGCACAGATAACCACATTACAAAACCTGGCCTCTATAATGACCCTTTGGAACCCTACATGATTTTCCCCAGAGGCTTATGGATCCTGTTTTTTACTTCTTACATTAATGGTACGTTGGAATTCATATTGGAAGCATAAAACCTTGAGGAGATAGTAGATAGGTAGGTCTGACCTCAAGGAAAACATGGGGGGTTCCAGAAGAAAATCCGTTTTATACAGGAATGTGGTGTGAACTTCATAGGGAAAATGGGTCCTAGTGCCAACACAAAAAGAATAATGGTCTCACTAGCTGAAAAGGAAGCGGTGGCCAATGAGTTCTTTAAGAAGTGTACTTCATAGGCTATTTCCAACTTAGGCAAACTCAGGTCCCCCGACCCCTGAGAGCATGACCAACGAGTTGTTTAAAAAGTGTTGTAGGGGTGTTCAAAGGATTATTTTTTATTTTTTATTTTTAACAAGATACGAACTTTTCATTTCATTGAGTTATGAATAGGAACAAAATTGTTCAAAGATACATAACTCTCAAAGGAGTGAAAAGAAATAAAAGGGAAATATTAAAGCTAAAGGGGAGTTATAAATGCCTCCCAATTGGAACATATCATACTAGATAAGTAGTTAACAAATGAATCTGGGCGGGAACACCAATGTGAAACTTTAGACTTTACAAGACCAGAACACTCCAACGGTGAATGAACATTTCCCTTTGAATAACCTTTGTTTTCTTTCATACCAAAATCTCAGAAAGTACAGCTTTAATGGAATTTACCCACAAAAGCCAAACTTTTGAAGAAAATAAAGGACCTCCCAACAGCTGCAAAATATTCAGAGGAACACCCCTGTCGAACGGCCAAGCAATAGAGAATTGTTGAAATAAGAGCCTCCAGCAAGTCAATGCAAAAGGACACCGAAAGAAAAGGTGCTACTGATTTTCTCCACTTCTCATACGTAAGACACACCAAGATGGTTGCAAAACAAAGTCAACTAGCTTCTTCTGGAGAGTGTTGGCAGTATTTACCTTACTGTTAATCAAAATCCATGCTAACACACTAATGAGAAACTTTAGATTTTACAAGACTAGAACACTCCAAAATTGAACGACGTTTCCCTTCGAATATCCTTTGGTTTCTTTGATACCAAATCTCAGATGAGCTTTAATGGAATTTACCCACAAAGCCCAAATTTTGAAGAAAATGAAGGATCTCCCAACAGCTGCAAAATAATCGGAGGAACACCCCTGTCGAACACCCAAGCAATAGAGAATTGTTGAAATAGGAGACTCTAGCAAGTCAATGCAAAAGGAGACCGAAAGAAAAGGTGATCCTGATTTTCTCCACTGTTCATACACAAGACACACCAAGATGGTTGCAAAACAAAGTCAGCTAGCTTCTTTGGGAGTGTTGGCAGTATTTACCTTATCGTTAATCAAAATCCATGCTAACACACTGACTTTCTTTGGACATTTCGACTTCCAAAGGGCTGAGAAAATCCCTTTTGGGATAGAACAATCTGATCGTTTTGACGAGTTCAAAGAGCTTTCGGAGAAAACCCCCGAAGGTTCGAGTGACCAGAGATTGTGGTCTTCACTCTTGGAAATAAAGAGATTCAAGAGTAATGCAAGTAACTCCGTCTTGTTTCAATCTTCCATGAACAAGTATTTGATCTCAAAAACTAGCCAAATAACCCAGTGGGTTGGAAGGAATTATGTGAATAAGAGAACCGATCCTTAAGAGGAATTCCACCAGCCCAAGAATGTGACCAGAAATGAGTTCTTGTACCATTGCCAACTTTGAGATGACAGAACTGTTCCACCTTTATCCATTGCTTGGCAATATTAATCCATGGACATCGAAGATTTTTTTTAGAAGAGCATCATTAACAAGCTTACAAATTGAGACATATATTTTTTATTACTATTAATTTTTTTAATGAAAACCCGAGCTTTCATTGAGAAGAATGAAAGAATATGTTTGTTTGATTCCAAAGAAAACTAAGGCTTTTCAGGTTAGGAGCTTTAAGCCAGTTAGCCTAATTACTTCTCTGTACAAAATTATTGTCCAGGTCTTGGGTGAGAGATTGAAGAAAGTGCTTCCTTTGATTACCAATGATGTGTAGCTAGCCTTTGTAGAAGGTCGTCACATATTGGATGATATTCTCGTGGCTTTCGGGTCTATAGGAAAACGGAAAGCTAGGAAGGAGAAAGGGTGTACTCCTAAAGCTAGACTTTGAAAAGGCTTACAATATGGTCGATTGGTCTTATCTAATAATGTCTTCCAACTCAATGGTTTCGATTGAACATGGAGAAGATGGATGGGGGGATGCATCTTAATGGTTATTTTCTCAGTGTTTATCAGTGGGAGACCTAGAGGCAAGATAGTTGGTAAGAGAAGTCTTCGCCAACCCCTCTTCTCTTTCCTCTTTACTATCCTTGGGGATTCTCCGTAATGAAAGAAACATTCTCAAGGGCTTTAAGCTGGGAAGCCCCTCGGTGGATGTATTTGATTTTGGGGTTGTTAGCCCAGACCACCAAAATCAAAAGGAAGGGCAGTCATTTTACGACCAACCAAGTGACTCCCACAACCCATAAGATAAGCACCTTTCCAAAAGAAGCCGCTTATCAATTTTTCAGTAGCATTAGGGTTGTCATAGGGACCTTGAAAACTGAAAAAAAGGGGACGATTGGGAAGAACAGCCCGAGAGAAGTGGTCAGTCTTCTACCCGTGGAAGGAAATAATTCTTCCATTTGTGGACTTTTGGTGGACTCTTTAAATAACTGAGTCTTAAAAAGTTTTTGATGTGAATATCCAAACTATGTTCACACTTGGTGAAGAGTTGCCATTCATGCAAGATAAGACACCTTTTCATCAAAGAAGCTTAATGAATCTGAAAATCCAAATTCATTGTCATCTTTAATGCATTATGTACCATTTAAATTCATTTATTTTCATTTAATAAGACTCATTTATGGATGTGAAAAGATGTAGGCTCAATTTAGACTAGTTAGCCAAGGGTTGTGTCTTTTCTTTGTGTCTTTTCAATTCCTATAAATAGGGATGTATATTTGCTTTCCAAACACACAGTATTTGATGAATGAAATTTCAGATTGAGTTTAATATCCCTCAAGCATTATGCTTTCTTTGTATTCTTGTGTTAGAATACATGTTTTAGAACTTTCAATGTAGTTTGATCAATTAGGTAATCTAGTTTTTTACTTTCTTTGGATTGATTCCACAATCTTTTTCGGGGTTTTTGAGTTTGTGATCTAAATGTCTTGTTTGTCAACAAGGTTGTTAGATACAATTCTCAAGAGTTTCTTAACAGTTTTGTCCCTGGGGTGGTGTCTTCCAATAGGAAGGCCAAAATAGCATATATAGGGAGAATAGCAGCCTCACAGTTCCATTGGGAAGCCAAAGAACATACCTCATAATCAGATATATTGATTATTGATTACTTATTCAAGCAAATTCGAGTATTTTCCCCTTTCTTTTGAGGATTTTAGAGTGTTCACTTTTTACTTATTCTAGCAAATTGGAGAGCTCTTGTAACCTTCTCTCTCGACTCTCAATTTTTTTCCCTTAAAAAGGTGGACTTTTTTTTCCTCCCCTGCTTCTCTTGTGTGCCAGTTTTGACTGTGATGTGACGGTGGAGCCATAAATTTTTTTTTTGGAAAAAAAAGCCTTTAGTTTGCTAGTGTAGTCTATGGTGTTACCTCTTTGAGGAAACGTTGGAATGTGATATAAATTATAAGCATAGGTATGCTTGCTTATGAAACCTTACAGGTGATGAAGTATGGGACCATCTGATTTTTATTTGATATGTTTTTCAAAGCCACGTTGAAGCCTGAATCTTTTAAATGGTTTTATTAAACATGATTCCCTTTATTGGCCATGCATGAGTTGGATGATACTACTTTTGAGGTTCACCTCTATTTACATGGTCATAACTATTTGTGCCGTTGATGTTTTGATGAAAATTTCTTAATTACGTATTGATCAAGTGAATCAGGATCCATGGTTCAAATGTATAATCTTGGGTCTGAATATGTTCAAACCTTCCCTATGTTTCCATGCTGCACGTGATTTTGGTGTTCTTTTGTTTCTCTTATCACTAACCTGTTCAAATCTTTTGAGTGTTCTCTATTTGAAGGAAACCTCAATACTCCCATCTTTCTAATTAAGACTGGGTCACGAGCATGAATTTTAAGGGTGTTGGATTTTATGTAGCTTCATGGTTTTTGGAGGCCTATACTCTTCCTTATATAGCCAATAAAATAAGATAGTATATATTTGGTTAATTTTGCAACATTTGTGTGCTAGTTGGAGTTACTGTTTGAAATTCTTTATTGTTTGTTGAAAATCAGCCTTGACGTCATGTCATTATGTCATTTGGTTTTAAATTTCAGTTGATTACCTTGTCAAGCAATTAAGGCTTGCCTAGTACTTCTGTTGGGCTATTCAATATCATTTTAATCACATTTCCACGAACGGTGCTAGAGACCCACCATTATTCTATAATTCCCTCCCCTCTCATTATTCCTCCTTTTTCTTTCTTTTATTTTTCTTATTGACGCCTAAGATGGGTTTTTGTTCATGTTATAAAAATTTTCATATTTTTCCAGGAAAGCAATAGACTGGAATATCTAATACCAAAAAAGACATCATTAAGGCACCGATTGCCAATGGGGGATCAAGGGTTCATTGACTTTGTTGCCCATCTGCTTGAGATAAATCCCAAGAAACGCCCTTCTGCATCTGAGGCACTTAAACACCCATGGCTATCTTATCCTTACGAACCCATTTCGTCATGAATCATCTGAAGTTTCTCTTGGTGCAGATAAATATATAACAGTTGTCTTCGTGATTGTAGTTTGTTGGCTTTTCAAGCAGGATGGAGCCGCATGTGATTCATATGGTTGGCCTTTCTTACTGATTTTTGAAGGGATTTTTGCACTTCAAATTTCTTCCCAATCGAATGAAAGGTTTGTTCGGTTTTTCTTGTTGTATTGAACTTTTTATCCCCTTACCAAGTTGTGCCCTATTTAACCGCAATCAAAATGTAGTTTTTGCTGACATTATGTATTTTTGGGGGTTTATTTTCACCGATTTGGAAAGGGGGCAATCTTGTTGTACATGTGTGATAATTCTTTAGGTTACCGATTATATTTTGCGAAAATACTTGCTTGTCCAAATTTGAAGCAAGGGCAGTGATGGTACGTTAGAGTATTAATTCTCAACCTTTGCGACCCTGGGTTCTTGGGGCTTCCCTTTCTTTTTCTCTCTTTGTATCAGGGTTCAGCATGTCGTGAATGATTGTTAGATTTGATTAGATAGTAAAGGGCTTTCCCAGCAATCCTTAGGGAGTCTGGTGACTGAAGGAAGGGATATTACACGTGCATATTCGTGATTATATTTTGAAAATTTCTCTGAATATTCATTTCCTCGTCAACATTTTTTCTGCTCAGATATTGGATATAAGTTATTTGTGGCACTAATGGAGTTTACTGTATTCAATCTAATTCCGATAATAAATTGACTTGTGAGATGAGTGTGATTTTTCCTTTTTAACTTAGAAGTCTTCTTTTGATGGAGAAGAAAGAGGAAAAATATGAGGTAAAATTGGATTATATATATTTTGGCGTGGGTTCAAACCATGGTGGCCACCTACTTAGGATTTAGTATCCTACGAGTTTCCTCGTTAATCAAATATAGTAGGGTTAGGTGGTTGGTTCGTGAATAGTCGATGTGCGTGCAAGTTGGTCCAGACACATGGATATATTTTTTTTTGGTGTGGGATTTGATTAGTTATATTCAATCCGTTTCCTGTTTTAAGTATAGTATCTAAACTCTAAAAGGTAAACTCTAAAAGGTTCATATTCAATAACTTGAAGCGTTTTTAGAGACAATGCCAAACCATGGAAACCAAGGCAACAAGAAAGCAGCCAATGATGCGAAATTGAAGTTTATGTCTCTCTACGAAGTCATCAGTAATGAGCCTGTTACCTYATAAAATTCCAAATTATTTCTACACAAGTTTTCATCACATAATAACAAAGCTAAAGTCTGAGCTATTTAACCACTCGTCATTTCTCTCGATTACTATTATTTAAATTGCGAGATAATTAAGATGATTAAATATTAGTGTCTCTTTTCATCCATTGTCTCCTTGTTCATTGGATTGGTATTGTAAAAAGGGAAAGAAAAAAATAGAATTGTTTTCATGCTTTGTGTCGGACACTTTTTTTTAAGTTGAAATTTTTTTTCTTTTTTTTTTCCCGGTGAAAAGCCAATTGAAGTGGAAACCCACCTCCCTAAATGAGATTGTTTTAGTTTTGGCATAAAGTACGATAAGGAAGCTCCCACCATTAGTGTAAAATAACCTCCCTAATAGCTCTCCAAAAAATTAGAAGAAAATAAAAGAGAAAAAAGAAAACCTAATAACTAGAACAAAATAGAAGGTAGAACAATCAGTTTAATTTTCATTTTTAGAATTCTCGTAGAGGTAGCTAGTGCAAGATCTTTCTTCTCGAATTATGCAGTACTGAATTGATCCGATCCTAATTTATAATGGATCCCTCTTAAACCAACAATATGTCATTTTACATACAATAGCTAAGGGATAAACTTCAACTCCCTCTTTGATTTTAGTTCCCACAATTGTGTTGTAAATTCGAATATAAGTTGAACCATAATGTAGATGAGTTACAAGATCTCTGTTTTGCCCATCTCCGCAATACTCACTACTGAAACTTGCCCTTTTTGCCGACGCAGAAAAAGGTCGGCAAAAGTCTAAAAACGTTGGCATTTCAGCCCTATGTGCCCACGAAATAATGCAAAATGTCGGGACTTATTACACTTTTGCTCTCGGCCAAGAAATTAGAAACAAGTTGGCAAAGTTCTGATTCTAGGGTTTAAGTAAGCAACTAAAAAAWTTAAAAAATTTCTAATTATGTTTATAGCTTATAACTATTCAAACATCTCCTTAAACTCTTCCTAACTCTCTCTCTCTAAAGAAGTTCACCATTCATTCAAAACATAGGTGAGAAACATATAATAAAAGGAGGCTAAACGAAAGCATTTCAATTTAAAAAGACGGTGGAGATGTCRTGATTACAAAAGAACCTTGATTTAAATGACCAAGAATAAGTAGTCGTTCTAATTATATCCTCCCATAGAAGAACTACAAGTGATTTGAGAGAGGGATATTTATACATTCCTATATGAAGGGCAGAAGGAACAATTTTAATATATAAATATATATGTAGGGAAACCATTATCTTGACCTACAAATGCTTTTATTATCAGATCTAACCACTTATGTTCATTCTTTTTCTATCTTTTATGACGTTGAATTCAGGCTGTTGACATTTTAAATTTGAAATGTCATTAATTCGTTTTATTCACAATCTTTTTGTTGAAAGTAATATTATTTGACTAGTAGAGTATTCATAATTGTTATTATCATGTGCAAATTATTCAATATTAGTGAGAAACACAAAATATTTGTAATATGTCATCCAACAAAAAATTATAGTCGGTGGATCGGAAGAGAGTTGATATCCACCCTATAACGCCTATGACTCATATATACATGGTGAGGTAATTGGGTTTTCTACCCATATAGTTGAAAGTTGATATATTGAAGAACTACGCCCTGTAATGGTTTGTTTTTTTTTTTTTTTTTTTGAAATTAACTACGCCCTGCAATGTTTATATGGGGAAAAATATCCATTTGATTTCCACATGGTCGCGCTGAAAAGAATATAAGGTTTGAAAGGCATTTAAAGTTGGCATAACTTAAGTAGCAATAAGTCGTCACAGTACAATATTTGGATATTGCGGATTACCCTCCAAATTTGAATTGAATTTAAATCAATGCTTTTCAGTAGCTATACATGGAAGCGCAGAACATGGTATGAAAGTTACTGAAGCATTACAAATAATAACAGTGCCTTCTGTAGTACTGAATTATGTATGTTGATTACACATCCCTAATTAGTTAGGCAATATGTGTGGGGCTGAATATGTAGATGCAGATGCAGAGGTAAAATTAGTGTTCTTAGAGCTTATAATATACACATATATGTATGAGGTGAGGGTGAGGGTGAGATTTTGGATGATGTGGAGTTAGTTAATAAGGTAATATCGATCAGGAGGTTTGGGCAGAGAAGAAATCAATGAATGGAAGGGGAAGGGCATCATCGGCTTGGGCTTGTTGATTAACCTCTTCATCGTCTTTTCGTGAGTTGTCTATCACTTCACTTCTGGTTGCAGTAATGTAGTCTGCGTTTAGGTGGAGAAAGTCGTAGAACTCTACTACTGCGTGATCATTTGATGTATCTGCACCGCGCCAACGTACCCAAAATTAATCATATATAGTACATGTCTTAGTTAAATTAGGCATATGCAGGAAAGTAGGATAGGATACCTGGAGTGGGATTGGGAATAGAAGAAGTGGGGTTAGGGGAGGAGTAATAAATATTTGGAAAATTAAAAAGGCGATGGTGATTTTGGGTTGATTTGGATTTTCTTTTGGATCTGGCCATGATGACGTGCCAGTGGTTCTTGAGGGCGTTGTCGGTGCGGCCGGGGAAGTGCCTGGCGATAATGGCCCATCTGTTGCCGTGGATCCGGTGGGAGGCCAGCAGCCTGCGCTCCTCGTCCTGTGTGAAAGGGGTTCTGTTGATGCGCGGATCCAGCTGGTTGAACCACCTCAGCCGGCAGCTCTTCCCCGATCTTCCTTCAACCTTTTGGGCTATGGCGTTCCAGTTGTGGGCTCCGTGTCGCTCCACCAACTCTCGGAGCTTCTCGTCTTCTGCAGGCCTCCAGTGCCCTCTACTGCACATCCTCTCGCTCTCGCTCTCGCTACCCGCAGCTGCAAAACAATAATAATTATATATGAAGACACACACTTTATTATAAGTAATCCCATCATTCTCATCTCTCATCTGCGTGGTTGCTTCCTTCCCTCAATTTGGTTCTGCTTTCAACGTCTTTCCAACTTATTTCTAACCTACAACCCTCTACTCTCCCACCCCGGCCCCTTCTCTCTTCTCTCTTCTCATCTTAATCATTTTTTCCATCTTAATTAATCTTCCACTATCATATATGTCTTCTTTAATTTGCATTCTTATAATTAATAACGAATGCCAATTTATTAATTACTTCCAAAAATTAAAATTTAATAATATATTGTAGAAATTTCCTGGTTTTGGTTCCGTACGTTAACTTTTCAGACCTAACAAACAGTTAACACCTTAATTGTAACTGCATGCACCTGCAAACTTAACCACCTTTCCTCCTTTCCTACAAAATCAAAATATAAATACAATCTTTAATTTATTAATTTCCTTTCCTTTTGCAACTATTCTCCTGCGGCTGCTTCTTCTCTTTCTTCGCCTTTCCACCCTAAATTCTAACTTCTATCTCTCTCCAAAATTTGATACATGCATCTTCTTCTCATCTCTCTCTATTTAGTTATCTCCTTTTTTTACCCTTAATATATATATATATATATATATATTTGTTTTCAAATCCACGCAGGTCAACTTAGCACTGATTTTGGCCAAAAATTGAGTCAAATCTTTCTTTCAATTAAGAGGCCACTACTTCTTTGGTGGGAAATAGAAAAAGGCCATATGAAGGTAATCCAAATTAAAGAGAGGGGAGAAATATCGTAATTTATATAAAAGAAAACAAATTTAGGGACCATCATGATGAAGTATTGAGTTTAATTAAATATCGTCCCAAAAGTTTACTAATGGATCTAGAAGAATCACTAAAGACCCGATTATTATACTTGATCAATAATTAGTTTCAGTGGAGAGTAGATCGACAATAAGATTGTACCGTAATTAAAATAGAGTCCATTTGACATGCTTACACTCCTGGATTGAAAATCTTTTTGTAGATACGATGTTGTTCAGTTTGTAAGGAGTGCAAACAAAATCTCACATAAAATGTCTCCATCTTTTGGTGAAATAAATGCCAAAAATGGACAATATCATAGTTGGAATATGGAGGGTCCCCTTGTTGAGATGGACTCAAATGCAATTCTCTAAAARTTCCATTTAAGTTTCTCAAATTGTTTCATAAAAATTAACATTCCTAAGTTTCACAAGGACTCTAATACTTTGTTTACAGGAGAGAAGCCGCTTTACCAAGTTGAGGAGGGGAAGGACAACTCATCCTACTCAATCCTTTTCCCATATTTTTTTGCCATTGGTATATAGCTCGAGCATTAGAATGTTAGTCGAATGCTCTCATTTATTTTTTCAATATACGGATTTTGACATATAAAATCAGTGTATCAAAAATGCCCTTATTTATATATATATATATATATTTTTACACAAGTACTAATTATTCTGTTAGGATGATGGTTTTCATGCATTGGAATATATGTCAATGGGATAAAGTAAAAGCAAAGGAAAAGTAGACATCAAAATTATATTATATATAGTCCATTCAAGGTAAGTCCAACCATACATTGATATATTTACGACGGAAAGTGAGTTATTGTCTAACTATATTTTTTATTTTTAAAATTCATGTTTTATAAACCCAATATAATATATATACATATCGATCCGTTTGTATGGGGATGCGAAGCTGGTAGCACTTAGCAGTACTGTTGTTAATAATATTGGTTGTTAATTGGAGCCCTCCTCAGTCCTCAAACTGTTCTTCTGTTGAAATTTAATTTCCCTTCTTCATAAACTGGATATGGATCTTCCTATTTATTCCATCTCCATCTCCATCAACTATATATGTACTCTGTTATAAACCATTAACTCCATCTAATCTAAATCTAAATCTAAATTATTTAATATCTAGATACCAACCACAGCTACATCAAGAAAATTATATAAAATAGTAAAATATATGCCATTAAAGGATTACCAACAGAGACAAGAAAAAACCAAATAGCCGCCGGACAACTTTTCTTTCGGCTCAAGTGTTGATCCAATGAAAGAATCCGTTTGCAATATAATACAAAATAAATATCGATCCTTTTGTCACTTTCAAATTCGATGCAACAGTATAAAACCCACATTGGATTTGATAGATTGGGCCGATTCCATAACGAGTAACAACCCTTCAGTATTACTCAAACACCGCATTAATTACTAGTTTTATTGAAAAGTGGACGATGAGTATTTTGTCTTTAGTTTTTTTTTCGGGGGGTTAAATTACAAATTTTGTCTATAGTATATTTATTTAATTTCTATATTCCCCTTTCAAAGATCTAATACTAGTACTTTCAAAAAAACTCTAATAAATTGTTGAACTTTGAATTTTATCGCTAATAAGATCTAAAAAGTCAAGCTAATAATTTCATCAATTTAACAATTATATGACACAATTTTATCATTTTATTTTAAAATTACATGATAAGATAATTTTAAAACATAGTTCATGTGTTTCATAGGATAATATAACTGAAAGAATTGATAACGAAAAACACGCATTATATATTTATAAGTTTTTTTTGTTACAAAAAAAAAGTTATTTTGAACATAAAGAAGTGAAATGAATGGAAATGTGGGCCACGTCGTAATTCCACAATTCTTGAGAAAGCATAATTGTAAAATGCGTGCAATCATTCTAACAACAAAAATTGGACATCTCCCACTCCAATCCTGCATTTACTTGCTCGTCCTTGGAGAATGGAATGTGCAGTTGGACCAAAAAGGATAGACGACGGTGCTTAAACATCTTTCCATGAAAGAAAGAAAGAGTTGTGTAGAGCTCCAACCAACCATTTGACATTTGTCTTATCAAACAGATACCAACTAAACTACCTGCTGCCTGCCATTCTGTTCAGCAACCACACTTACCAAAGTTGGATGTTGAAACAATTTGTCTCACTCTAACGCTCCTTCTGGTAACCTGTTTCCATTCTTCATGTAACATAATAACATACAAAGGACTCTTTTCTCAAAACACAAGAAAACACTTCCGGTCATGGAAACTTTAGCAAGATACTACAAAACCATCCATGCTGCAAAACCATTATGTCCGTCAACTTTTACGTCAGTTATTTATCAATACGCCATCCGATGTTAAAATCTATAAACAAATAAGAATATTTTACTCTTATCTACAAAAATACATCTAAAGATTACTGATTCTACAGCAAAGTTTTGATTAAATTCTGCCATCAACAGAGATCATAAAACCCTTCTCAACATAAAATGAAATTCTCACCGGTAATAGTTCTGGTGAGCGCAATTTGCATAATGCAACTCCCCAGATAAAGAATGATACTAATAGATCTCTCTTTCAATGTAATCATTTACAAGGCAGACAACTCAACTTCTTGATTGCAAGGACGATATGCCACAAAAGTGCCGTCATTTGAGAAGGACCCAGGATTGAAGCAAGTGATTCCCGTGTACTTAAATGCTTGTTGCTTACTTCTATCCCCTAGAACTATCTGCACAAGCCAAAAAAAAAAAAAAAAGATTAATATAATAATATGAAAGTTTATATAATAATATTTGAATCACAGCAGAACATTATCCATGATCCACATCTACAATCAATGACTGTTCTAATTTGTCTCCAAATAAGGAAAGAAAAGGTATCTAACTTAACATGGATAAGTCGATCGATTAAAACATTACACTGAGATATAGGTAAATACCACATGAGGAGTTGGATATAGATGAAGACAGTGGTCATAATTCCAAATAATTGGTTGAATGACCAAAGGAAGAGGACATAGATGACTTTGATGAGTTATGGTAGCAATAAGCTGCAAAAGAATCAAGAAACTTTAAAACCTCCATGTATAAACTTTAAGACATCCATATGCAAAAGAATGGACATGACAAAATAACAGATATATACAAAGAAGAAAAATCACGTGTTCAAAAGGATCACTTGTTTCTTCTGTAGAAGGTGGTATGAGACAGGAACGACGCATTCTATAAAGTAGGTCCTGTCGGAAAAATACAATTTCCTGGGTGTAGAACTTGATCCTACATCCAAATATCACAATTATCAACCACAATGGAGCAAAAGACATACTATTCACCAAAGAAAACAATACTTTTTTTAATTAAGTCAAAATCCAAAACTGGATAATTATATCCACACCATTAATACTAGTCTTCAAATCTATTGAACACAGTTCTATTTGCTTATCCCGAAGGATAAAACAGATTCATTTATCAAGTAAGCAGCAGAAGTGAAATCCCTCATGGAGCATAATACTACAGTTAAGACTACTGCAAGATCATACGGTGTTTACAAGTCGGCAATCAAAGTATTGACCTGCAAGGATTACTTGAGAAGATGGCATTTGGGACGTGCATCCGAAGCTCTTCAGTTAAGTACTTTGGCAAAGCACACCTGGGTAGAACTGTTGATGGTCCTGTATATTCAATGGGGAATAACGACTAAGAAGTTTCATGCATAGTTAAACTAAAGGGGACGAACTCATTTACAAATAACAACATGAACCTGCATCATCTGGACCAGGAATAAAAAGAAACTTGCTATTCTCTATTAATCGTGGATGAGCTGCTATCATTTTTCCCAGCTTACCAAACTGTAATCTGCACGTTCTAAATATTATTGCTTTCAACTCATGTAAATATTAGCCAACGCCGATATGCAGGAAGCAATAAAAATAATCCTTACCTGAGACTTGAGAAAGAATTAAAGGCAAGATTACATGGACGGGAACAAAAATTCCCCATCAAAACAAATAAGGAAGGAACCACTTCCACATTCTCAAACCCATCAAGAATGGTCTCTAGTTTTCTCATGGCCTACAAGATAAACAAATACTGTTAAGCTAACCACACTTCACAGACACAATACACATGAAATTTAAAGAGGTTATTTATCACCTCTTCACTATCTAACCAAATGTCAGAGAGAATGACAAACATATCATTAATGGCTCTCTTTTCCAGATCTGCAAGCCTGAGCTATTTGATGATTAAGGGAAACAAGTTTATTGCATTTAGTTTACGTGTGTATACCTCTTTAATAGCCAAAATTCTATATAATAAAATGTGAACAGCCCTTCATTCTAATGCCATATTAAGAAATCCTTTTCATAACCAAGAAAAAAGGGGGATACGGTCTCCTCTTTAGTTAGAGCACCAGCTCCAAAGAAGTCCTGGCCTGCTAGCATTTTAAGAGACTTATCCCTGTCCTCTAACGGAGGAAATCCACAAGTAATAACCTGAACAAAACAAAATAAAAAGTACATTAATAACAAAAAGAACAATATTTTTAATATTTCTATGAAGTAAGTGCTGGATATCTTAAAAAACGTTTGAGCAGGCATCCTTGTGCTTGCTATCAAATAGGAAAGTAAACCACAAGAATGAAATGCAGTGCAAAATCAAATTTGAGAAGAATAAATTTGCTTTGGATAAAAGAATAATTGCATTTTTCATCCACAACTGTTTTGTTCTTTAATGACAACCTTCAGAGAAGGTGAGCAAAATTTGCCCAATGAAACAAAAATGTTTTAAAAAGGAAAAGATTTAATTTCTCAACCTAACCTTTAACTTCTATATATCGAACAAAATATGAAACTAAACATCTAAACAGGTGGCATTAGATACTTGTCAATTGTGAACTACATGAAGTATAACTGAACAAGGCAAAACTCTGACCTGAACTAAACAAAACTAAAATCCATCTCATAGTGTTGTATAATATTATCTCGTAAGCATGTAAAATTTTTTGAAAAGATTTGATCCCGGAAGGAACTTAACTCAGGATATTTTCAGTTGCATTATAAGAACAAAAGGCCCCTATGCTGTAAAAGCACCCTAATTGCAAAGCTTTTGTTTAAAAGAATTTATACAGGATGTGCAGAAACAATTTTTAAGTACTCAAGCATTTTAAAATAGAAGAAACCGTGAGACACCATAAAGAAACCATAAAAAGTACATATTGGTAAGAGAAACACTGGACGACCAGTAGAGACACTTAATAGACTACTGGGGAAAATCTCCGACCAGTTACTTATACAGAACTGAAAGGAAATGCGTGACAAAGACCTGAAAAATTCCCTCCACGAGCATCTCTCCTTCTGCTACAACAATTGTGTTCTCAGTAAATAGACCTGTAGTTATCTTGTGCGGATTGTTAATGAAAATTGTATTGCACGTCATCTTCAAAGATCAAACAAGATCGGATTTTTCCAATTTATAGAAGATATCTGTAAAGGATATAGCATTAGATAAATTAATTTCCACAGACGCAGTAAGGTCCTCCAAGTAAAAGTGGCCATCCTCCATCTGAGATATCACTCCCATGACCCATCTCCTCCCCGTTTGCCCCACCAAAGACTGAATAGAAGAAATCTGGGGAACGTATCACAAAAGAAATTCCTGTAAATGCTCTTGTTCAATTTCAGAGGAAAGCAAGGATAGTTCATGGGTCAAAAGAGACGGAGTACCTCACAACTTCCAAAATGAGACATCCCAGTGTTGAAAGCGGGTTTGGAGAAATGTTGATCACGGGAGAGCCTCTGGGAAAGCAAGAGAAACCTATCTCGATACAAAGCAGCTTTAGCTGAAGCATCCCCATGAATTGGAAGGCTTCCAGTGTGCCTAAAGTCAAAAGTAGATGATGTAGTTTCAAGTGCAGGAAAGAGCAATGTTTTAAGGTGAAGAGATGTTATCAGTTGAACTCTACTATGTCTCTCTTTTCCGCAATTAGTTTCTCCTCTTATATCGTCTAATTATCCCAAAAGTCAAATAGGTGGTTTCCATTCTTCAATTGTTCACCAATTACTCAGATAGTATAAAGGGGGAGGGGGAGAAGAAGAAGAAGAAACATACTGGTAGAAGATCTTCTTGATGGGATCATAACGAAATCTGGTGATACCAAAAACGTCTATGATGCGAGGGGCGGATGTACTAGTAATGGTATCGGGACTTTGTTTTCCCACTTCATCAGCTCCAAGTAGAACGCTGACGGCCCGATGCACCGCATCCTTGTGTATTATAGAAGATTGCACTGCCACGGCAGGAAAAATGAAGAATTCGTCCATGAGAACGAGATGAAGTGAATTCAGAAGAATATCATAAAATGTGATGAGAATTGCAGTACGAAAGAAAAAGGACATATAGTTGTACAGGATTCGCTGTGGAGCTCGTCGAGAATAAAATCGATAGCAGCGTCTTCTTCGCCATGGAAGCGAGAGGCAAAGGAGAGAATTTCGTCGAGAGCGTCTAGTTTGAGGCTGTAACCTCTGATTTTTGATTTCCTCTGTACCTTTCTCCTCATAGTGGATGCATCCATTGTTCAGCCCGGCTCCGTTAGAGTCCGGCAATGTGCGGAATCGGAATGAATGAGGATGGAGATGGAGGTTTGGTTGGCGGGAAAAGGGAATTTATGAGCTGCAGTCTTGGCCTTGGAGGGAAATGGTAAAGGCCTCCCCTTCAACTCAAGTGAAGATGCAAATTGCGTATGGATCTAGCGCCGTCCGTTTAATCTCAAACCCTAATAATTTTAAACAATAGTTTCTGAGTTTATTCGTTAAATTTCAACTACGAAAAAGAGAACAAATAATTATATACTAAAGAACCCAATTTTTTTTTAATGTATTACAACAATATAACCATTGTGAATTATATAAATTTAAGAAAACACATTTTAAAGACTACATCAAAATAATTTTTCCCTCTTCGTTCGGTGTGGGGAATTCTAACTCACTTTTTAATCGAACTAGATTATGGTTAACAATATCAACTCTATAAATTATTTATATTCTATATCCATAAAGTAATATTACCTTATAAATTTTGTACTAAAAAACATGTTGATAACGCAATGTACTCTATTTGTTTGATCGTGTTATTTGACCATATTAGAATTTAGGCAGAGTAAATAGTATGAGAAAAATATGTAGAGTTCAATCAAAACATGTTATCTTACTCGGTTAGTTGTTTTAATGCATCTGAAAATGATACGTTGGTTGAAAAATACATGGTCATACACATAATACACGGTAGTACAAAGCAAAAGCAAAATTTTAAAAGTTTTATCTCCAGAAGAGGACATAAAGGTTGAAACAATTATGTCCTAATTGGTAAGAAGGAAGAGATTGGTGGCGTAGGAGTAGGATGTGATTTCAAACTTTATTTATTCATATTATCATATCATCAGCACACAAACACTCACTTGACAAGAAAAAAGACAAACAAACAATGAACAGCAGAGGTGAGTTAGCAGGCACCAGTCCTCTTGCCATCCACAAGCCGCCTCCAATATGCAGTTATCTCCTCCTCGATCTCCCGCTCACTCTTCTTCACATGCTTTGTAATTCTCCCACCATCTTCAACACCAGGCTTCACTTCCGCTGCCTTCACAGACACCCGAACTGGCAGGGCGTCCACATCCTTGAGGACTTTCTCGACGTCGGAGATCAGCCTCTCTGCCAACCCACGGCTGAAGTCCTCCCTGATGACCACTCTCAGGACGGCGATGTGCTCAGCATTCGGGGGCATCGTGTAAGCTGGCACGATCCATCCAAACCTCCTCAGGTTCTCTGATATCTCGAACACTGTGTGCTTGCTACTGTCTTTGAGAGTGAAGGCTACCAGGGGCACCCCAATATCCTTAGAAACGACCTCAAACCTTCCCATCTTCTCTATCCCCTCTCTCAGAACTCGAGCGTTCTCCCTGCAGTTCTCCATCACGTTTTTGTAGCCCTTTGTTTCCACCAAATTCACAAACAACACACATCATATATAACATAATGGGGTACGAAATAGCAAATTCAAAAACAAGGGGAATTCTCTCTGATTTGAGACACATGAGGAGGTCATCGAGGTTCGAATCAAAGGATAACTAACTGGTGTCAAGTAGTGCTGTTATTTCAATGCATAACAATCCTAATGCTCTGATATTAATAGTAAATCATGCATGAATTTCTTTACAAATAAATGTTAGTTTTAACTTCGGATTTACCTCAAACCCAAGCCGTATAAATTGATAATACTGAGCTATAATTTGACTAGAACCTGCAAAAAAGTAAGCATAAACGAATAAAGGAGGCATTGTTGATGAAAACAACTTGACATTGTTTACTACATCTTAAGAGATTCTGAAGTCAACAATCTGAACTCCCCATGATTGAACAAATGCTGGCTATATCAATATTCAACTACCSTAAAAATTGATTTAAGAACTTTCTCGAGTGGTATTATATGTATTACCTTTTGAGAAGTTGAGAGTGAAGGTGGGTTGATCGGAGCCAAGATAGTTAATGTGGAACACAAGCTCCTCTGGAAGATCCTCTTTACTCCTCCAAACAACCCATCCTACACCAGGGTAAACAAGACCATACTTATGGCCACTCACATTAATGCTCTTCACTAAAGGCAACCGAAAATCCCACTCGAGATCGGGATAAAGGAACGGGGCTATAAACCCTCCACTGGCAGCATCCACATGAATTGGGGTGTCCCAACCTGTTTCCTTATTCTTCTTAGAGAGGAGGTCGTTGAGGAGTTTTACATCCTCAAACTCTCCAGTCAGAGTGGAACCCAAAATTGCTGCAACACAGATGGTATTTTCATCAACGAGTTCGACAGCCTTCACTGGATCCATGACATAGAATCCTTCAGAAAGCTTCACCTCCTTTAGCTCGACCTCAAAGTACCTTGCAAACTTCTCCCAGCACACCTACACACGGCACGCATTTGGAAACAMAAAAGACTGCATCTGTCAGTTATACAAGAGAATGGAATCGTCTCCATCAGCACCTTCGATTTAATCAAGTTTTCTTCCGCAAGATCTCAGTGCATAAACATTTTTCCAGCAGCAGACAATTCAACTGTACATAATCTTAAATTCCCTTTATTCCCAATTCAATTTGACTTAATCTTAAATTCCCTTTATTCCCCTCACTGTTACCCATATTAAGGGGAAAAGATCCAAAGAAGTCTCTTACCAAAGAAGAAAAATACATTGCACCACAAGCAAAAAGATTAGAAGCAAGTAACCTGCACATTAGCTCCAGTGACTATGTTTGGGTTATGATAGGGTTTGCCTTGAGATTTTCTTTTGTTCTGCCATTTCCTCTTAAAAGCAAGGCCGGCCAGCATTATAGCCTCTGATGATCCCACAGTCCCCACACCAACTGCAGCTTCTTCTTCTCCGACGGGGGCATGGAACAGGTGGGCTATCATATTCACACATCGATTCTGCAAAAACAGAGACGATCCTGAATAGCTGAAATGACATGAATAGTGATTTGAATGAGAACACCAAAATTGGGGATCCAGTAACAGTATGGTAAACCTGTAGCTCAGTGGTGACTGGGTACTCGTCCATGTCAACATAGTTCTTGTTCAGAGAAGCGGAAATAAGGTGATCGCACTCTGGCTCCATCCACGTGGTAACGAAAGAGGCCAAGTTCAGCCTCGGTGCCCCGTCCAGCATCAACTCATCGTGTATGATCTGGTACGCTGCATCCTTGGGTATAGATTTCTCCCCCAGTTTGAACCTACAACACATCACCCACTTGATCATTTTCAACACGATTCAAGAAAGTTTCGAGCTTTATTTGATTTCGTGGTCAGAACCAAAGAAAAAAGAACTTACTTGGGAGGAGGAGAGCGGAGATATCTGGAACCAAAAGTGCAGTTCACAGAATCTCCCGAGTCTGCAACTGTCGTCAAAACCATGGTTGGCCGGATTTTGCAGTTAGAAAGGAAAGAGAGAGGAGAGGAGTTAAAATTCTGAGACACAAAGAAGATGATGAATCACAACGGAAGAACTGGGCGAGTAATAAGTAAAACACAACTAGATCCTCGCGTAAAGCAAGCAACCGACACGTCCAATTCGGGTCCCACCCCGTCCCTAATCTTCAAAGGTGCTTTAACGATTCATATCCAAGCACAGCCACAGCAGTGTTCATGACACTTCTACTACTTTTTCGTGCCATAACGCACGTTATTTCTTACAACCGTAAAAGTAAGTCCTGATAAATTTTGTAATAGTAATGACATTCCAAATCGTTTTAGTTTCAGCTAAGATTGAGAACTCCCAGAAAAGAAGTTCAACTTCGAACTTGAATTAAATATAATAATCCACAGAATTTTGAAGCAAATATCACATCAATATTGGTGTATATCTGCAACAGTAAAGCAACATGATCTATCTATTTTATCATATAGTTTATGACAATGCAAAATAATGAAAAAGAGATTTATCAAATGAACGCATATATTATTATTAGAATAATGATAACATGAATGTGATCACAGATGTCGACTGGAAAACAAATGTTGTGGCACGCCATGGACACCACCATCTKTGAAATTGGATAATACGAGACGAGACTGTTCATCGAAAAGTAAAGTATACTTAATTTATTCAAATGTGTGAAATGAAAGGAAATAGTGGCTGTTCTCCACATCCGCTGACAAGTGGAAGCAATGAAAAACAGAGAGGTGGGCTCAAATTAAAAGAAAATTGAAAGGTGGTGTCGTGTCCCATAGTCCACAGATGATAAATCTCGGTCTCCGTCGGCTTCCCCACATATCCCATCCGTTCTATCGTCATTCTGAATTTTGTCTTCGAAGCAAGACTTTGAGATTGATTTTTTTTTTTTGGGTTAAATAAATTAGATATTTCGTCTTTGTTTGGCACAAGTTTTTCTTTTGACAAGAGACTGTTCTTTTGAAACAAAAAATAATATACTTAATATATGTTCTATAGCTAACTTTTTTTTTTCCTTTCACTTTATCTAAGAGTTCGAACTATCAACCTAAAAATGATGGTACRTATGTTATCTAATGATTTATGAACAAATTAACTTTTCTATGGAGTGTCGTGCATTTTATGACATCACAATAATGGGGCGGAGATTCAAATCTAAGAAGAGAAACTAAAAATATCTTACACAGCTATGTCTCTACCTACCTTATTCTCTAATTCATGATTATAATGTAGATTATACTACGCCCGTCTAAAAGTAAGAACAATTTCATTTAAGCACTGTAACATGAATCGAGCAGGCACCACCAGTGATGCAACCGGAATCAAATCGCAGTGTCAACACCATTTAATGATAACCACTTTCTATTAAGTCCAGGATCATAGATAGGAGGCAGAAATGAAATGGCCCCAAACTAATTTGAATGAACCAAAAATAATTTTGATATTAAATGTCATGCATAACGAATGTACAATCTTTCGCTAATTGACCTTTTCACGTGCGCACAAAACGAAACGCAGTCCCAAGAACACCGAGGGTAGTCCTACTCCTAGATAGCTGGATCTTTGTATCTCTGGAAAATAGCTTCTATGTCTGCCATGAGTTCTGCCGGCAATGGCCGCTCGGTCATCGTGAAAGCATTAAGGTCTTCTCTGAGTTGGTCCATGGACGTTGCACCTATTATTGAACTCGTCATAAATGGACGGTCTCGAGCAAACCCAAGCGCAAGCTGTACTGGAGTTAGGCCGTACTTTTTGGCTAACTGTACATAATGAGCTGTTGCTTCCTGAAATAAACAAAACGTTAGCCCAACATCTGATATATAGTTTCAATTTTATTTTCTAGGAGTAACCTTTTCTGGTAATAGCATGGTTTGCACTATCAAAGCAGCAACAGAAATTATACATGCGAACAGACATACATAAAACACGTGTAGATGCCAAAATAGAGTGTTCAGATTACTGGCAATAAATCAAGGACTACAGATCTAACCATACGATTTACACAATAAGAATGGAAATTGTCCTACTAAGGGGTTTGGTTTTTTCTCTCTATCTCTCTCTCTTCCCTTCTTTTTGGTGGTGGTGGTGGTGGGCGTTCCGAGAATGGAAGAGAAAGCTTCATATCGGAAAGCTTTCATAAACTGTATTCAACATTAAGGTTGATTGGGTAAAATAAGTTCATATTCTGTCAAGCAAATGGCATACGTGAACTCAAAAGTAAAAGACATCAGCACGTTCCAAACATTTGAAGTGACCACTCAATTCTATTGTCTAATCATCTGTCCACGGTAGTGCATGTCCACAGGACAGGAGCGAGGAACGAACCTTAGCAATAGATTTGTTGTATCTACCCATGTAGCCTGGGAAGAGGCTCAGCCTTCCTTTTCCTCCACCTTGAGAATTGGCATCCAAGTATTTGCCGCTCAGAGTTCCACCACCCAACGGAGAATAACCAAGCAAGCCAATATTGTAGTTATTTGGATGACAAACCTCAGCAAGATCGACTGCAAGCAACAAGTGGATGATATTTCTATTACAAATGAGCTAATATAAGAACCAAAAATCAATTGTTCATGGTTGCAGTTATAAATCCTAGACTCATTATTTAATGCATTTTAATTTCTTATTAGCATATATATGTTGAATCTAAAACATCGTATGCATGAACATATGCTGAACCAACGAAGCCCAGTCGATCATATTACACTGCACAAGATCGATAGTTTATATGGCGGCATCTGCATATTATTTTGTCTCCAAGATCCTTAAAAGCCGATTATGAATGGACTAGGACTAAAAAGCTGATTAGGAATGGGAATTTATCCAATATTGATGATGATAGCATATTTCCCAACTTTCAAGACCTTGAGTAGAGCACTAAGTTGGTACAGTGGCGGTATCCGATGACAATTACATTTTTGCTAGAATGTGAAAGATATAGAAATCTAAAGGATGTTCTCTACTWTTTCCAGTAAAAACAGATTAACAAGATAAGCCAGCATTAGGTGTTAAAAAGATCAAGGATTCTCTAAAACTCTCAACTAATATAACTGAGAAAAATGTATCAAAAGATAATTCACCTTCAAAGCGGCATCTGTTTATAAGACTGTAATTATTTTGGATACTAACGATCTTTGGCAATCCTTCAATTTTTGCTGCGTGAACAAATTCCATCACTCCATATGAAGTTTCATTTGAAACACCAATGTAGCGTATCTGAATAAATTCAGAAACACATATCAACTAAAGTGAAGCAAAAGAACAATAAACAACCAAAACATTGTAGTAAATGTTAATCTATTTGCAGTTTTACATATTCGTAAATCCTCAATCAACCAAAGGTTTTTATTTCACTAGCCATGAGACTGTATCTCAAACAAATCAAAAGCGCATTCCACAGCGAGTAAATTACATGCAGTTTGAACGATGTAATTCTTCAATTAATCAAATAGGAACCACCTTTCCTTCTTCAATAAGTTCCTGAAATGCCCTCAGTTGCTCTGTAAATGGCACACTTGCCCTCCATTTTGAAGGATCGTAAGAAAAATCACCAAATAAGGCCACATAGCGGTCTGGCCTGAAATGCAACCAAACATATGCTGAGATACAGCAAGGGGAAATTAATGCACCACAAGTTGCAAGTATTCATATGAGATTAAAAGAGAGAAAGACAAGTTAATAAGACTATCAGATATTGTATCACAGCAAGTAGGGATTTAAAGTACAAGAGATTTATCAGATATTTAATTAGCTTCACTGAGGCTATGCCACTTAGTCGTCTCTTTATGTTTTTTCCTTCTCTCTCTTTTTTTAATTAAAAAACAAAATCCACATTCATTGAGACAGATGAAAGTACAAAAGAGAAGTGTCGTCCAAAAATACCTGCATTAAGTGCCAATGCCAAAGGAGCTAAGATTAGAAAAAAAATTATTCCGATGATCTATGGTTAAGAAGAATAAGAGAAAATAACAAAAATCCTATTCATGGAAACCCATAATGACGAGGCATCAGAGTGAGCAATGCTCCAAACCTCCTCTCATGAACCCTCTACATCCTAAAAGACCCTCATATTCCTCTCAAGTTAGAAAATATAAAGAATCTATAAGARATTGGCCTGCCATCAAAGCATCTATTTCTTGCAAAAAAGGGGATTTGGGAGGTAATCCTAAATCCATCATAGCTCTATACTCCTGATGAGGAATCCACGACATCTCTAAAGTATGTAAAAACCTGAAGAATATTCGGACGACTCCAAAAAAATATACACATCTTAGTCACCTATAACCTTAAGGCAATCAAAAGACTTGTTACATTGAATTATACCATGCACTTTAAAAGTACTTGTTTATGCTAAAATTTAAAAGTTGTCGGGCATTCACGAAAACTACTAATCTATATGGCCATTTGATTACTTGAAAGGTGGGCGGAAATTACAAGGATGAGAATTGAAACAACAACTGAGGATTTAGTTTTAGTTTTTGGTCAATTGGAACATAAAAATCTAAACTTCACCTGATTCCCCCAAAATCAGAGAATGCCCTACCCCGTAGCCCTTGCTTTTTCATTGAGAAGGCATCAGTTTCGGTTAAAAACAGTCATGCTGCCATGCTTCAGCCAGTCAATTTAATGAGTTTCCAAAAAAGTCAACAGTTTCATTTCCTTTCAAACATAAAATTTGGTTTCAATGGCAAATTGGACTAGGTTGATTGTTCAGATCTAAAAGATACGTCAGATTGTAGTAATCTTACAAGTTTCCCTCCGTAACAAATCCAAGGTTCTCATAACTTTCAGTGGAACCACGTGAAAGAGAGAGACCCAAGAATAAACGGTAAAATTAATGTTGGGAAAATGATGTTATTTGGACATGCTTTAATCATAGGTAACATAATGGAAATGTATCGGACTGCAAATCCTGGAATGACGGTTCGACCCCGTCCTTGGCCTCGGGGAGTGGCGAGCAGCACGGAACTCTCATTAAGAAAAGGGGGCTTTCCTTTGTTGGAAATCCAAAGACAAGATTCCGGAACTTCCAAAACTCATAGAAAACATGCATGGTCATTAGCCGCATTCAACTAAGCTAAAAAATTCATAAATAAAAATCTATAAACTCACCAATGAATTTGCAGTAAGTCTATGTAGTCAGTGTTCAGCCGCTTGAGACTTTTCTCTACACTTTCTCTAATATTATAACGATCAACCCGTAAAACTTTGGCATTTTCGCGCAGATAAGATGACCGCTCTGAGTAACCGCAGACTTTTGTGGCCAAAATAATCTACGGGATAACTAGCTCCACTCTTTCAGTGATAGAAATGTAAATTAAGGTGGCATAGTTATCCATCTTTCACATACCTTATCTCTGGGCTTTGACTTGAGCCAGTTACCAATGTAGATGTCTGTTCTTCCCTGCGTCTCTTGTTTCATTGGAACTGGATACTGCCAAATGAAAACGTTGCTAATCTCAAATCACAGAGGTCTTCCGTTAAATAATGAATTGAATTTGGAAAGATTCAGGAGAGTCGTGAGAAAACTTACTGCCTCTGCAGTATCTATAATATTAATCCCATGTTCATAAGCATAACTCAATTGTTCGTGGGCTTCTTTCTCGGTGTTTTGTTGCCCAAAAGTCATCTTCAAGTACACATTAAACAATATGATCATCCTCGCCGATGAATAGATTCATTTCATAAATACAGCATCGAACAATCCATCCAGAATTTTAGATAGTCTCAAATTAGTATAGATGTCTCCATGAAGCTTGTAAACATTCAGATATGAAAAGAAATTTGCCGACTTCGCTTAGTGCTCCAGCATAAAAACTTACTTTCTATACTTAATAACTAGACAAGAAACGAAAAGCGCATTGGAACAAAATGTTTACCGTTCCAAGCGTAACTTCAGAAACTTGAAGGTCAGAGTCCCCGAGTTTTCTGTACTGCAACTGCAACGAACTACTCGTGCTTTGCTTGGCACAAATGCTAATGTTTCTTACTCTCTTATGCCTTGTCGAAGAGTTACTAGAAAGAAAAGAAGAAACTACAGAGCAGTTGTTAGCCGTTGTAGAGAACGCCATGGCTATTTGGCTAAGGCGAGGGACCCCCGTTCTCTAGGCCTTTCTCTTTGCCTCTTCAGTCTTATCATCGGAGGGTGCTCCCGGTTCCACCCACCCCGCAGCCGCAACTGCACCCGCCACTGCCACGTCAATTGGGATGGGCTCTTACGTCATCTGGCAATTTGGCATTCAGATTGTTCGGGCTTCAGCCTAAGACAACTATGTGGGCCTCATTCACCCCAGGCCCATTATATTGTCCTCGAAATCCAATCGGATCACAGTTCCAAATTTCTCTCAAGTTTATGATAAAAAAAAACACATAAACGCTACAATACACGTGTACTCAAAAATAAAAAAAGAACGCTACACTATTGACTATACGAATATGGGACCCTCAAAAGTAAGATTTATTCAACACTCCCATGCATATATCAAACCGGGAGCACCAATSGGACTGCAGTTGGTTGTATCARCAACAAAAATGGCAATTGACATATATCTCCAACCAATAAGTTATAAATTCAATCCCTACCTCTATATATTGTATTAAAAAAATATCTATAATAATTACTCATTTTAATTTTGAAAAATATTTGACTCATTAACGGTGATGACTAAATCTTATCCTTACTACCAACTCATTATTTAAAAAAAAAAAAAAAACTCTATGTTTTTGCATCTCTCACTCTTAGTTTAATAACGGTACAAAGTTGCTCCTTAACTATTCAAGTATTTTCTTTAATTTTTTTCTACAGTTGACTATTACAATTATTTTCTTTTAAATTTAGTTAGAGTAGTTAGGTCATACTAACATGAATTTAATTCAATGGTAATTGACACATGTTTCTTATCAAGAGATCATGGGTTCGAATCCCCACCTTATATTAAAAATATATATAGTTAGTTTCATTATTATAATTAGGGTAATTAGATTAGAAATTAGTTGTTAGTTAATTAGTTAGTTCTTTGGCATCTGCCTAGTCTTTCCTGTTTTTTCCACACGTGTATTTAAAGGTATAAGTGACCTTTATTTAATATAATGCAGAGTATAGCTTATTAAATTAGTTTGTGTCTCCATTCAATAAAATTAAAGTAAAAAAAGTATTGTACGAATAAAAAAATTATCTTTACTAATATACTTTAAACTTTTCTTTAACTCTAATTCACATTTCCAACCCAAACCAAAATTGTGGTCAAAATTTTAAAAAAGAAAAACCAAGCAACAACGGTTTAATGCATCAACTTCGATGTTATAAGCATTTTACTTTGGAAGCTTATAAGGAGTAAATTTAGATCAAAATCAATGTCACTATACTATAAGGATGAATAAATCACCACTAAATTAAAAAGTTTAAGTTTATGGATTGAGTAAATTATAATTCATATATTGGATATCTAACAATTATAGAATTCAACCCTTTTTTTTAATAAAAAAGTGAAATATAGAATTGATTGGTAGAATAGATTTATATTAAAATATTAAATATGAGAGACCACCAAAAGAAGGTCGAGAGAGAACTTCACGCTCACATTTATACTTTACATATATAATTTTAGCCTTCGCCTTTCTTTCTTATGAAGCGAAGTGGTTCAGTAATTATGGAACGGTTCCTAGACTGTGTCGTGCAATTAATAGTCAATTAAATGATTTAATTAATATCCTCTCTTATCTTTTTCTGAATCTGAAAAGAAAAAAAAAAAGGAATAAATGCCATAGATGCCCCTTTACCAATAACTTGTTCAGTTAAATTATTAAAATTAAATACGCCAACAATTATATACTTATACATCAACAGATGCATACATTGATTGTAGTGGCTCTCACTTCCCCACTTGCTTGTTAATTTGGTGGAAGAGGAAAGTTCTGTCCCTGTGGCCCACGAGGCCACCAAATAATTTATTTTAATGAAGTYAAAAATAATTAAAAAGTAAATATATCTCTTCAAATAGATTTCATTCGGCCTTTTAATACATTTTGAAGGAAAAAAGTATTACATTTGATATGAAAACGAGGATTAGAAAACAAAATACTTGTTTCTTAACCATGTATCCTCAAAGAGAATTTCAAAAAATAGCACAAAAGAAATATATATAGTATTAGGGTTAAAAATTTAAAACTTATACAATCATATAAGACCAATTAATAAAAAACCAAAAAATAATAATATTTTTATAAATACATATTTATTTTATAACCTTTAGTATAACTTTTCCTTACAAAAATAGTACAAAASAAATATGTATTCATATATATAGCGTTAGGTTTAGAATTTTAGTATAAATTGTAAACTTATATAATCACWGGACACTACCTAAAACTCATTTTTATGATATTTTARGAAAAAAAATAATGATATTTATAAATACATAATTATTTTATACCATTTAGTATACTTTCATTTTTTTTCATTTTCCAAATATAGTAAAAATAAGTTCATTCAAAATCATTTCATAAGAAATAAGCATTATTGTATATTTTTTTAATTTAGAAAATACTGTTCAATAAATAGAGAAAATGAGGTAGTATTTAATATGTTTTCTTTATTAATTTTTTATAGTACAACAAATATGAGATATGAGGATATTAACGTAGATTCTTGTATGGCCATGCAATGTTTCAGGTTGAGATATTTAATTCATTTTTTAATGGATCATTATATGCGTAAAACAATACAAATAGAAAATAGTTAAATAATGAAAATTTAAGCTTTCAAAAATTATAAGTTATGTAGATTAAAAAAGAAACAAAGAAACAAAAGTTTAGCATTGATATCCCATGGATTTGCATCATTAATTGCAGTATGGTAGTATTAGGAAGAACAATTAATAGGCTTTCTCACACCACACCTCCCCCTCACCTTTGCATCTGTTATCTATATCTATTTTTTTCTTTAAAAAAAAAAGAAAAAGAAAAAGAAAAAGAAAAGAAAAGCTCCTCTTTTTCACTCATTTATTTAATTTCTTCAAATATATATTGAATAAATCCTGCATTATATTTCTCTAAGAAAATAATGCTGATATTACTAAAAAAAACACAGAAATAATGCATCGAGTAAGAGCCAAATTTTGCACCCCTTTGTCCAGTCAAGTGAATTATTGAGTGACACTCTCACATCATCTAACCCTCTACGGATAATAAATTTATCATTGATTTTTTGTCCTCCCAAAATAGGCCAGAGGTAAGAAGAGCCATTGCTCAAACTTGAAGGGAAGAATAAGAGAACATTTACTAATTAATTATGAGCCATAAATTTGATCATTTAGACACAAATTACAATCATATTCACTTGAAACAACTCCTATTTCTCTTAAACACATGTAGAACCCAAGTCTTTTTAGAGTAGAGAGTGAGTATAGCATCATTTCACATACAAAAATGAATCATAATTAAACATGCACATTCGATAAAGAGATTGATAGAATGAGAAAAATAAAAGTATCCATTTGAGAGTCAATGCCCGAACCATACCAAGTTTTCAATATTGGTTCAGAGGTGGAATGAATGGTTAATAAAGTATGAGACAGACAGACAGACAAAAATTAACCTGGAAATATGTATGGTGCGTTCTTGACTCTCTGTGGACTGATCTGGAGTTGAGATATCGAACATCAGCAGTTTCTCCTGTCACGCCAGAGCCCCCAAAATAATTAATAACAMAACAACAATATTGACCGTAAAATGGGTGGGAGTTGGAGTGGGATAGCAAGAACTTTGGCAAAGCCCCAACTAACCCAAACACAACTCCTCCGCCAGAAAAAAAAAAAGTGTTGGTTCCCCTTTCCTCAGGAACTATGGCAGTTTAAGGCTGTCTTGATCTGGTGGACAGTGGTGCTGATGAGGTTATTAACTGTCGTCACTGACTCCAAATTTAGCTTTCCCGATGGCAAGCTGCTCACTAGTATTTGAAATGCTACCGTCACCAGTGAGCCCCTCGACCTACTGTGCACGTCCGAGCTGCTCGACGCCCCCTCACCGGGGTCCCGTCGACCGTCCGGTAAAATTGTGAATCCTGACGGCAGTAAAGGAATACTTGATGGGTCCTCCCCACTCATTGCAACATTCATGGCTGGTAGATCCACAGGGCAGTACACAACAAGTGATCCAGACGAGTCTATGCAACTCTCCTGAAGAATCAACATGTTGTTCTGACTCGTATTGAAAGCCTGTTCAAACAACAAATTTGTATACGTCACATAAAAACACTGACACAACTTCCAATTTGATCCATCCTAAACCTCCCAATCAAATTTCGAACATGGAAAATTAATTACAACAGAATAACACAAGTCTCACTCTAAGAACAGATATGCAGTTCCCTGGATGGGATCCGTTGGCTATATGAGCAACCTCTTGAACTGGATTGCCATCCGAGAGAACATCCCACTGATGGAGCATCAATCAAACTTTTAGAGTTAATGAAGCCATTATAAAATGTTTGACCATGTGTGAAACTTTGTGTAACAAATACCTGAGATCTAGTTCTGTCATTCTTAAAGAAGTTAAAGATGGTTTGAGGAGAAACTGGGAGCCATATCGTTGTAGCTGCACTAAGAACCACGCCATTGGATTGGCCAGGATCCATGCTTTTATGCACTGTGACACGAACACCAACCTCATTCATCCCCGAAAGGGTGGTCCAACGGTGGCCATGAGATGTGCTAATGCTAGCACAGAAATTGTTCACCATCCGCTGTGCTAGTTTCATCATGCTTTTCTTTCCCTCTAATGATGTAATGACTGAGGGAAGAAAATCATCCGTTAGGAGACAGTAAGAAGAATTATGCATTTGATTGTAAAATTCGAAGTGAACCACGGAAGTTACCTCCGCCAAGATCTCGACTGGAACTACCAGCCACCATTAAACAGGCAAACCTTTCACACATCCGTTGAAGAGTTGCAAGCCACCGTTCAGCACAAAAGGCTAACCCATTATGAATAATATCTCTGAAAAGCCAATGAGTAGAGCCTTTGTCTTCGATTTCCACATGCTCAATCCAAGTAACCTGTTTGTGGTGAGCATTGTGCAGTGAGAATAAAATTGGGAACTGAAGGAATGAAGCAATTATAAAATAAAATGCAGAACATAAATCAAGTGGTGTGGCAAGTTAACCTTGGAATAACCATTTGGCATGTCTTGGATCAAGCAGCCGGAGGGAAACCGGTGACATTGAGAATCTCGAGAGACTATTTGGTTCTCTCTGGGGATATTATAGGAAACATCTACTACAGCCCACGTGCCTTGCTCTATTTGTTGACAATGTCTGAGAACGTAAAACTGGCGAGTCGAAACTAATGGGGAAAGAAGATGCAGTTCTTGGTACATCTGCAATTCAAACACACTAGACTAAAAAATAAGGATAAGAAACTGAAAAAAGTAATGTAACATTGGAAGGTTGCAGCTAGCTATAGTACCAGTTGCAAGGAGCCACTATGACTTCCCAACATTCCGGTTGATATAACTTCGATTGTTCTTGCAATCGAGACAATTGTGGGAAATAACTCTGTCCATTTGGTCTGCACACTCAACTCAATAACTTTAGTTGTTGTTACACTTAAGATATTATGATGTGGAAAGAGGAAGGGATAGTAACACAACCATACCGAGTCCATTAACATGTCAACCAATGATGCACTGTTCATGATCACCATGCCTGAATCTCTAGATGCCTCGGTGCGAGAATGGAGATTCTTCAACTGAGTGTTGGATCTTGGAAAAGCTTGTTGATAGCTTTCAAGGTCGAGAACATCTCGGGCATCACTCGGTGATTTCATCCAGAATGGTTCATTAGTTTGGGAAAGTCTGAGCAGCTCTCCCATGGCATTTGTGGCAACTTCAGTCATGAGGGACTTATCCACGTCGGAGAAGTGAATTGGATGGTGGTATGGCAAACTGGGAACGCTTGAAGAACTTGCAGGAAGTAAATCAAGATCAAGAGAGAGACTACCCATTTCTTGGGAGGCAAAACTACCCATGGATAACTCTAATGAAGAAAAATGAGAAGGCTGAATGGGTGGGAGTTGAGAAATTGGCCTCCCAATGTACTTGGCCGCAATGCTAGATACTCTATCAAGCTGTCAAACGGTATACACATCAACTCAGTTAAGCCAAAGACAACATTTTGATGTGAGGTTAGAAAAGACTCYTTTTTTCCCCCTCTTAAAAGAAGACAGTAAGCTAGCCAAGAACCTCTTCTTTCAAATGGGCATTTTCGATTCGTAATTTCTGCTCGTCGAAGTAGGGGTCCTGAATGGGAGGGCCACCGCAGGAGGGACATATGACATTTTTTAGTGCCTCTCTGATGGCTATGTTCTCACATCGAATCTTGTCGTTCTCTGTCCGCAGTGCACTATTATCTGCCCTTTCATGTTGAGCCTGAACAATTATTATACATTTTATGTGAGACTCCAAAAACAAGGAGTTGAAGAAAGAGAAAGAGGAGAGATACCTTCATCTGGGTTCTCCTGTTCTGGAACCAAAATTTGATTTGGCGAGGAGCCAATCCCAGCTCTCTGCTCAACTGTAATCTCTGCTTCTCATCCGGGTGAGGGCACTCTTTGAACATTCTTCATTGTCCAAACAAACAGTAAGAAAACAAACTTCTTAGATCCTATTTAGTAATGACATTGAGGACGAAGAAGAGTGCATTTTCCAAAACCCATCTCAAAATTAAAGACGCAAAACGAAGAAAAAGAAAAAACAGAGGGTGGAAAGGAAAGGAAATGGGGTTTACGCCTCGAGCCTCTGAATCTGGTTGGCAGTGTGCCGGTGGTAGCGTTTCTTCTTGCGTTGAGGGTCGGAGGAGGAATCATTGTCCCAGCCGGAGCCGCCGCCTCCACTGCCGTAGTCCATTGCATTTGGTTCTACTCTCTCAGCGTCGCCTGCTGCACTGGTGGTTGCTTGGAGAGTCAGTTAAGTTGCTGCATCATCTCATCTCATTTCATGAAAAGTAATAATAATATAATACCACACTACACCATGGACATGGACTGAATGTACAATACGACAGCTAACAAACAAGAGAGATATGATGATTTTGGGGGTTCATACACGACAACCCTTCCGCTATAATGGCGGCCTTGAGCGCAGAGGAGAAAGAGACGAAACGGCTATGGTATTGAGTAAGATTTAAAAGTGATAATGAAAACAAAAAAGGGGGCTTGATTTGGGAGAGAGGGGGGATGAAATCTTGGGGCGTAATAAACCAAAATTGCTAATTTGCCAGCGCTACGTAGAAGACAGGCGGAGAAAAAGCCAAGTCTCCGCTCCCTTCCCCTAATCTCTCTCTTTCTAATTATATGATTCAAACTCAAAGTAGTGTAACCGAAGGGCGTGGGGATTTAAGGCAATTGCCTGTTGGGCGTCGTGGAGAAAACAGGTGTTAAAATTGAGTGTCACCGGCCGGTACACGGTACACCCACTCCCATTACAGGGGCGCTCTCCTTGGGTTCGAAATTAGAATAGAATTGGGAAATTGAATGAATGAGAGTGGGGAATGGCAGGGCTCCTTAGCCTTGGCCTTGGCCTTGTTATTAATAGTTCCCCCTCCCCATCTCCAGCTTCAACCGTCCCCATCATTTTCCGGCCATCAAGCCTCCTCTTTTTCTTCAACTTTCCATTCCCTGCTATCAGTTATTACCGATGTCGATGCCAATAACATATAAAAGTCAAACTCTAAACAACTTCCATCCACATTCTGCACATTCACATCTTTCTGCTCAAACCCAATCATAAAACTCCATATAATATAATATATGTACGTATAATTTTGGAATTCATCCAAATTAGATACAGTTCTTCGTGGCGTGGACCAATAAGGGTTTTGGTCCTGCACTTATAACACGTGGGGATGCTGTCAGAAAAGGTAGAGCAGGTCGTGTTCTCCTCCTTTTCATGAGTTTCAAATTAGATTACTGCTCCACCCTTTTTTTTTTCCTATCCCCTTTTCTTTTTAGGTCTTATTTTTTATCATTTATAATTTATATTTAAGTTGTGAACCTAAAGTCGATGGTTCACAGCAATTGTTGAATTATATAATATATATATATATATTTATATTAGTGTGCAAATATATATTCTGTTTAAATAAGGAAAAAAAAAGGTAATTGTACAAATAGATGAAAATATCTATTATATAAATATATGAAAAAAAAATATTATAGTCCTTTCGCTAATTTGTAGGTAATTAACTAGATATAGATGTTAGTATTCCGGAAAAAAAAAATAAATAAACCTAGATATAGATGTTAGAGCTTTGATGTAATTTCTTTTAGAGATACAATGAAATGTTGTTGTCGAGGACAGGATTCCCATACGAGATGGGATTAAAGTGAAATATATATATATATTAAATTTTGGGACTAGAAAATATTTTTGCTACTTTGACAATTATTGCACCCATGATTCTTTTTTTTTTTTTTTGTATTTTTTGTATTCCTTTATTAATATTATATGTTTGGATTAGATTTACTCGTTAATTTTACTGCAGAATATGTAAAATAATTAATGGTAAAACTAATATAATAATATATATTATTTTCATGTTTATGAGATAAAATATACACATGTAGATATATTTATCAGTATTTAATTGTTTTTGTTTGTAAGAATAATTTTTTAAATGAAATCAATAAAAGAAAAAAATCAAATGTAACATATAAGGTTAAAAATATATTCTCTAAAATTTGCCTAATGTAGCTGCTAAGATTTAAAATATTTTATTTTGATCATTTAAATTAAGTTATAAATTCAAGCATTGGGGTGAGTTTAAGAATATTTTTTTTTTAAATGACATTACTTATTCTTATTCTTCTTTTAGTATTCTTTTAGTAGAAGATTTTAATCGTACATAAATATTTTAACCAGTTGAGTTGAGTTGAGTTACGTTTAAGTTGGTGACATAAATTGTTCTATTATTAATTACTATTCATATATAATTAATTGGTAGTAACATAGACATTAAACCATAGATATTATATAAATTTTTGGTAAAATTTTAAAAAGAATGTAGTTATTTTTTCAGAAAAAGAAAACATGCTAAAAACTTAAGTTTTGCAGTTCGAGAGCCATGTTATTTATTATTATTATTTACAATAGCCACAAAGGAGTTTTCCATATTCAAAGCCCTCTTTGCTGGATCGTGGGCTAGGAAATTCGGTGCTTGATGGGTATGTTCTATCCTTACCACTTCAAGTTCAGATTTACATCTAGCTTTCAAGTTCCATTTAATTTTAGTAATTATATTGATATTAAAAGGGTTGAAAATGAATAAAATATTAAATTTGATGGTGCAAAGTTTGGGAATCATCTCATTGTGAATTAGAAGGTGGAAACTTTGTGAAAGCCGGCGGATTGGGGTACAATTCCGGCGCGCGGTGGGAATTACATTGTGAACCGATTTGGCAAAGGCGAAGGGAATTAAGGATATTAGGAGACATACCCGATGATTGCATTGCTGATCAACGTAAGTCGTAACGGAATTAGCTACCTATCTCTTCTCTTCTCTTCTGCCACTGCCACTGCCACTGCCAGCCCTGGCCCTTCATCAACACTTCCACCTGCTTTTCGTTTCCCCTAACTTCACAACCGGACCATATTTTCGCTATTTAATTTTCCTTTCAAATAAATCATTTTTAATTTAAGTCACTGCTTCCCGCGCTTCATGATAAAGAACCAACTGCCAACTGGTCCAACATTAATGAGGGACAGCAGAAAGTGGTGTGTGCGATGCACTGGATTGCTCCCCCTCACCTCTTTGCTCTCCACCCTCCACGTGTACCAGGATCAATTTTGCTTCAAACTTCAATTTACCATTTTTATATTTTCATTATTTCTTCCCCGATTCTTCTTTCGCTTACCTAATTATTTATCTTTATTTTCTGAGATGTCTTAATAATTCGAAACATTTTTTAAATATGAAAGAATTGGCAAACTGTATTTTTTTCTTATTACACGTCAACTTAAAAATAGTTAGGTATGGAGCAATAAATGGAAATTACAAGTAGAATAGTAGGCTAAACAATAACTAGACTGATAATATTGTAAAAATGAAAGAATAAACTTCCAAGTTCAATATTTTATACCACAATATATAAAAATTATGAAATTGGACCAAAACAAAATAACTATTTTAATTAGTTCACACCTAATTAAACTAGTAATTATATTTCAATAAACATCAGCTTGATTCTTCAAAATAGTTATTGGTCAATGTGCAAGTTAACCAAAAAAAAAAAGTAAAATAAATAAAAGAAACGAAGAAAATAGATAATTTTTGCAATTTGTGGTATTTTAATTGGATACATATTTACAAATAATTATTTTTATATCCTTCATATTTTTTGGTTTAACTTAATCTAATTTTGTTGTATAAAAAATTGATTTTGAGAGAAAAAAATATCTGCAAATTAAAAGACTTTTCAAATAGTTTAATCAGTGGCAGAAATTAGAACATGAATATGGAGTTATACACTTTTTTTTTCTTTTCCATTTTTGATATCAAAAGAAAAAAGTAATATGTGTATTCAATAATAATTAAAAAAAAAATTCACTCTGCATCTTTAATGCGGGGTTTTAACTGTAGTATTATTTAATGTGAAATGGCTTGCGCTCATTATTACATCATATTAATTAGTACACATATAAAATGAAAATTATATATATTATTTATACTAATAATATTACACAAAAAACTAAATAAATATAAATATTGTATCAGTACAATTCCCTTGCAATAAGGGTAGTAGGGATGAAGATGAGGAACTACCTCACCTCAACAGTCTACCTCCAAACTGAGATGCGTAGCCATTTATTTTCATTTATGAGTTCTTTTTTCCCCCCAAAAAGATGCAAATAACTGTTAAGATGTAATTAGACTTTGCCAGTTCAACTGCAATTAATGAAAAGTTATGGAGCTCATTTGATTAAACACCATATACATATCATCCATAAGATTTAAATCAAAGAATATTGCGTGATAAACAAGACACGGTGAGATAAAATAATGAATTAATTGGGGGAGGTATGAAATTAAAGCTGGAAGAAAGAATATTAGACTTATAGGCCATGGCTTGTTAATAACAATGAGTTAAAGTTGCTTTATAGATACAAAATTGACAATGAGAAAGGACTATGCTTTCTAATTATATCTACTATTCATTCCCAACTAACTACTTTTTTTTTTTGTATGCATCATTATGTATATATATATATATATATATATATATATATATATATGGGATAATCTAAATGGTTAAAATTATAAAGATCCTAAGTTGAAATATATATGTTATAAGAAATGGGAGTCGTAGTGCATGGAGAAGCTAAACGTTGGGTATTATCAGCATTAAGATTGTATTAGGCAAGTTCTTGTCACTAAGATGGTAAGCTACCACTTAAAAAGGGAAAAGGCTTCAATGGAGACTGATCATGATATATATAAAATCCTTTATGAATTAAAATTGTGGTTGTGTTATGTTATTTATTTGTAGAAAAAGATATTGATTAAAAATAAGTACTGCTTACCGAGGAAGGGCTTTGAAAGTTTTATACTGTACAAGTTATGATGTCAAAACTTATCAACAATCAATGCTTTAAATATAGTCTTATTTTCTAGCACACTAGAAGCTCCATTACCAACAAGTTTCACTGCCAAATATTCTATAAGAATAATCACCTCATAGACTCTATAAYGGTGATCAACACTTTTTTTTTCTTTTTTTTTTGTCAATGATAATTCACACCTATCTCAGAGGGTGTGAGTTCGTACTAAATTTTTTAAACATTTATATAAATAGGATAATATAAATATGTATATTTAAGTAGAAGAGAAATTTAAAATTGTTTTAGTAAAAACAATAACTTAAATTCAATTCAAAGTCAAATATAATATAACATTTTCCTTCACGTGCGTGGCAATATATTGAATTAGTTGTTAGATCGAGAGGTTTGAGCTCGAGATAGACGCTTTTTCCGGTATCTCCAAGCTACCTGAATACGTGTTGTTGCTAGGTATCTCCAGTAGGGCGATTCGTACCTGCCAAATTTCATGTTAGTTCGTACTGAAACAAGAACCAGCAGATCAAGAAAACAGGCTCTTGATCCAATACAACACATTTCAAAAATTATGTTCACATTTAGATAACTCATTTGGAGCAAGGCACATGGAAGTTTGAGGTTGCTGCCGGAGACATTCTCAACATTAAGGTTTCGATGCTTTATAAATTTGAATCGAATGATTTATCAACAGAAGAGAAAAATGCAGAGCTTATACCTAATAATCATATTTTGGATACTTTGTCAAGGCTCTTCTTCGAAGAGCATTTTACCTCGACTGTGGCATACACAATTTTTAGAGAGAGAAATAATTGAACAAATGAACAGGTAGTTCTTGTCTGAGGCAAGATTATTGGAAGGGAACTATTAAAGAAAACAAACAAACAACACTTGAAGCCGTTCCATTCCAAACAAAAAAGGGTACAAAAAGTAGAAACTGTAAAGCTTGAAGTTTACAGAGATTACCTTATGGCTCCTTGAACACGTGGATTTCGCAAGAATCTAGAGAACATACTAGTCACTTCTTCAAGGTCTGCAGCCCGGAGAGAAAATGCTTCAACATTTGTTAAGCACCTTACTGTCCGGTTGCTGACCAATCTTGGTGCTGGAACTTGAAGGCGCTTCATATCTGTATTTAGACCATATACGTAAAATTGTGTCAATCACCTTCGATTTAAGACATCTTATAATGAAGCAATTGAAAGTTACGATAACAAATTCATCAATGCAAGTGTAGAACACGCATTGAGAGTACAATACAAATACCTCTGTTCATGGAGGAATGCTCAAGACACCATGTTAGAAGTTCCTCACCGCAGACATCTCCTTCAGATAAGGGAACCACAATCCCATCTACACGGCTCTCCATTTTCCCCCGTACAATGAAAACCATCTTCTCAATGATATCTCCAGAAGAGAAAACTTCACTCCCTTCTATGTATGTCTTTTGTCGTAGTCTCTCACGTATTGCATCCAAAATTGGCTCATAATCCATCAGTGCAAAGATTCGAACCTGGGCCATATTTTCAATAAAACTATGTTGCATCAGTTCAAACCCAATATCCAGTATAATTCCACATATTGTGATTCCATTTCCGTCGGGCAATAAATATGCAACATGTGGAATAGTATTTGAGTGCAGAAAACTAAGTATCACCCAAAGGTAAAGAAGCCAGATGTCGAAAACAACCTTCAGGAAGAATTGTTTTCATCAACTGTTCGGATGAGAAAAACAAAATGTTCTCTAAGAAACAGCTAGAAGAAAAAACGCATGATTGATTTTCTTTCCTACCTACACCATATGGTTGTTGTACAATGTTTCACTACTAAATTAGTGTTGATTAATAATTTTCATAATGTTCGATAAGAGTCTTGGAAGTATATATCAGAACTGCCAAATGAAAATCTCCCCCCCCCCCTGGTTTTTCCAAGTCACTATATTACTAGTTGGATGCTAATCTCTAAAAGAAAAATAATATCAAACTGCCAACCTAATGCAATCTGATTGATATATATGATATATTTCTTATTATTCCATACTTCAGCATCGAGAAGTTGATTGCAAAAGCTATATACTCCATGGTATATCGCAAGATATGCAAAACTTGGCCAACATAAGTAAATTAAGAAAAATTTTGCAATGGACTATTTGACTTCTTGGAAGATGTTTAATCAGCTGCAGCCTGCAAGTCTTTTGTTAACGACAGGATTTTAAATTACCAACATGAATATATCTTAATGATTAAGGCATCTACTGTTCTTAAGATTGGAGGTTCAAATCTCCACCCCATAATTATTGTATAAAAAAAAACTATAGGATTTAAAAAATGATGTACCATGCGATAAGAAATTTGCATGAAGTCAGAGTCCCAGACATTCCACTATCAATTACTTGGTTTCTTACCACTCAGTTTTTATGAATACATATGAAGTCTAAGAATGTTGTCTTTGGATTTCATTCTTTCTTTCGCTAGATTGTATTCTAGATGAATTTTTTTCTTCTAACTAGCTACTTTTTTAGATTGGGGGATGTTGTCTTCTCTCAGCTAATGTCTGAGGCAGTGAAAGAAAGTAAGCTAGAACTTAGAATGGAGAGATAAGCATGGATAGAAACTTTTCTATCGAGTACTTCGGCACTTTGCTCAATTGGAGCTTGATTGGGGTGGAGAACACCTTTATTTATAGGTGTTTAGGAAGAACTCTAGATAGTTCCAACACCAATGTCCTAGATAATTGTTATCTAGAAAATTACATAAACCTTTCACATCCAAAGAAGTCACTTATAATAATTCAAAGGACTTATTGGAAATACAATTTACATTTACTACATATCTTGGAAATTACAAATTACCTTTTCAACACCCCCTCTTAAGGGTGTATAGACATGGCTGAAAACCGATCCAACCGACTGAACCAACGGCGGTTAGTCGGGGGTCAATCAGTCGGTTACAATAAATATACCCAAACCAACCGACCGACCTATATATATATCTAATAGAAAAAATTAAATATATATTATACACTACAATCCAACTTCAATTTTTTTTCATGTGATTTATATTCTTTTTTTTTCTTACCATTCACGTGAATGGCTCTCTTTTTTTTATTTTATATATTTATAATATCTTTCTCTTTCCTATCTCTCTTTCTTCTCTTCTATTTTCTCATTTTTCGAAATCTTCCCTCACCTTTCTATCTTCACTTTCTTCCGTTGTTTTTCATCTTTCTTCTTCCCTCTCCTTTTCAGATCTATCTTCTTCTTTCTCCATTTCTATTTCAGATCTATTTTCTTCTTTCACTCCTCTTCTCTCATTCTAAGTCAATGCAATTAAGCTTTTAAATGTAAGGGTGATTTTAAAATTTTAATATCATTTTAATTAAGAACCGTGTTGATGGTTGATATTGATATTTTTTATTTCGCGAAAAATAAAATTACCCACCTTGTTGACAAATCTAAAGAGATGTCGTCTTATGTTTCTTTGTAGGTCCTCAGGCAGATTTTCAAAAATCCTTTCTTCATTTACGCCTCTTGTAGAAGCCCAATTGTACCTTTCAGCCTGTCGTACTTGCCTTTATAAAGGAAAATCATACGGGTCAATTTGAACATCATGAAAATAAACAAAGGATAAAAAATAGCATATAGCTATGAGGATATGCAACATCATAACACTTTTTTTTTTTATTTTTTTAGTAAGAAACAATTTCATTGATGGATGAAATTACAAAGAGAGGGGCGAACCCACAAAAAACAACCAAAGGAGTTACATGAAACTTCTCCAATTGGTTAGTAAAGAGTTACATGCAACATAAAAGGAGTTACATGCAACATCATAACACATGAACTATGAGGCACCAATTCCACCACACAAAAACACAAAAAAAAAGTATAAAAAATAGCATATAGCTCCGGAATATCTGATTAACATTTATGAGACCACGATATTTAAGAGAACAAAAATAGTGGCTACGTGTTGTGCTGCAACATTAATATAAAAACATTAAATATTTTTCATTCAAGATATGAATAAACTTTATATGTTAAAAATGTATAATAAATTCACTCAATATTTTTTCAGAAAATAGGTTGCAACTGTCCAATGGAAACAGGGAAATGTGCTGAGGCTGCAAGAAGCATGCCAGGGTTTAGCGCAGAGCAGCAAAGCATGCAAATAACGTGAAGCAGAGTAAGGTACAGAATGTTGACCAGAGATTTTAAGAGAAAAACGAAAGAAGAACAAAAGAACTAGAGATGATTTTGTTATATCATTTATGCTTACAGTGCTCCAAACATAACAAATTCGCCATATAAAATAAAAAATAAAAAAGAATAATGAAAATAAGCAAAGACCTCAGCTCTCCTCAAGATTTAAATTTGAATCGCGTGAAGTTCTAGAAATTTAACTAACCATCCCAGTTAGGAAACTGTATAATTTAATTAAGTCGATGAAATTGTCACTATAGGACTCATATACCATCCCTCGGTTATAATCAAAAAGGGACTCCTTAGACATCAAAACGTATATTGTTATATTAGATGCAGGATTATTATATGAACATAAATGATAAAATAACTGAACCTTCTTAAATTTTCTGGCAAGCGACGATGCTCCATCCACTGCTCAACATCACGACGTCTTAATGACATTTCTAACCTCCTGGAGAGAAGTAATAGTTAATCGGTTCCATTAATAGATAATCATGGTAAAGTTCTTTATGATTAGAGCAAAAGCAAGTATTTAGATTTTTAGAAAGGAAAAGAAAAAGGAGGGTGTCTGACTTTGCTTGTGTGTAGTAAACATGGTTTTCAAGAACAAGAAATTCCAAACTTATTTGAAATCCAATTTCTGTTTAGCTCACAAGAATTTGACTATTAAACAGGGACAACCCCTTGCTTTCTATTCCTATGAATGGATACTTCACATTACTAAGATGAAAAGAGTATTGCTATTAAATAAGTACTGTTCCTTACTAGCTTTTTCTATGTCTGGAATGTTGGAACCCAAAATCCACTCCAGGAACCTTTATTTGAGATGAGGCTTGAGGGACCAGGGATGACTGGAAGTTTGGAGAGGTTAACCAAAGGGAAGATAGAACAGTTTGAAAGCTTGAAGCGTAAGGGCTTTCTCCAGCAATTGTCTCTTCATATTTCTGACTAACTTGAGCTCTATCATTCTCAAAGCTTTGATTGGAAGCACTGGGAAGGAATCATCCTAAAAATGTAAACTGTAAACTTCTTCCTTTGGTCTTCGTCCATCAAGAGTTTGAATATGACAAAATTCAAAGGAGAACCATATCTTACCTTTCCTCTCATATTGTGTATATCACAGAAAAATGGCAAAACAATTGATCGTTTATTCATTCCATCAGTGGGCTCATTCCTGTGGTCTTTTTCTCTTTTTGGATTTGACGTCTCTTATTACAGACTTGTATGGGGCACATTATTGAAGGAAAAGCAAAAATCTTTTGGTGGAATATTTAGAAAGCTCTTTTTTGGAATATTTGGCCCAAGAGGAATCTGAGTGTTTGAGTATTAATGCAGCGCCTTTTCTGATTTCATGAATTTGGCTTTAAGTAGCTTCTATGGACAAAATGTGACAAAATCTTTAATAATTATTCTTCTTCAATCATTAATTCTGATTATATGGCATTTCACAACCTTCTTGAACGTCCTTGGGGATTCCTTGACCCCCTTTTTTTAGCATTTCGGTGTTTTAAGTCTCTTCTGATTCCACCAAAAAAAAAAAAGAAAAAAAGAAAAAAAGAAAGAAAGAAGGTCTAAGGTATTACTTTGCTATTCGACGGAGACAGTAATTTAATAATTAATTAATTGGTGTAGGTACTATGAGATTGATATAATAGTTATATGAAACCTAGTAATTAGTGCCGACTTAGTCTACAGTAAGGCAACAAACCAACTTAGGTTTAGGCTACTTTCAAATATTTATTTTTCCATCCTGCCCAACTTTGAACTCTTACCTACCTCCTTCCTAAAATAATTCTAAATATTCAGAAAAGCAGCCCTGGGGCTTATCTTTACCTTCTTCCAAGAGCCTGGAGAAAGTTCTGCATATTCCCTATGAGAAGCGCAAACAGCAACAGACCAAGCCCAATAATGCCCATGGTGAAAAGGACTTCCCATTCATAGTAGCTAGGAACTTGATTCCCAGCCAGAGTACTGATTTGCTGCATAAAACAATTGAAACTACAAATTTCAAGGGGGTTGTACTTGTGTTCATATTTAAGATTACATTTAAGAGATTCCAATTTAAAATGTAGTTCCCTGTGTCATTAGCTGATAGATCTTAATTTCCAGCTCATCTTAAACAGCTGAGTAGGATAAAATCATGGAGACAAGAGGCAATAGTTAGTGGGCGAATAGTGAATGATGGTATTGTCCAAGGATAAGAGGCTCGTTAGATAAGATGAGATCAAGTTGGGATGAAAAGGAAGTACCACTAGATTGCTTTTCAAAGAGGGTAGATTTGACAACTGATAACTGAAGCAGATGCTTTCTTTCCAAAGGCTTAATGTAAAAATTCATGGTGTCGCATTCTTTTGCATAGAAATTATTAAACTGAAATAATAGAAAAATAGATAATAAACCTAAAATATAGAATCTTTATTAGGATTTTAGAGTCTAATTATCAAATAGGCTGAGTACAAACTCAAAAGTTGGATCCAAGCCTAAACAAGGGTTTTATCAATATGCGTGGGCGCTGCAATGCTAAACCAAGAAATGTCAAAATAAGGATGTCAGTATGGTGAGGCAGGGATGAGAAATGCTCTCCCACCACCTCAATCATTCCCTGTCCTCATTAAAAATGCTATTGAAAAGTCGAGTATGAGGTGAGGGATTCCCACCAGAAATTTTGCGAGGGACAGGGTTCCTTGTCAGGAGTTTTTCCTCTTAATATATGTACATGATTTTGAAGTTAAATTTTGATTCAGCTAAAAAGGTTTTCATTCGATTATAATTCAATGTTATATATTTATTTTTGTGATCTTATACAAAGAACATATATTTTCATAATATTTATGGAATTATATGAACTAAAACATTAAAATTATATCAACAAAATATTGGACAAATCACATTTTTGGCCAATAAGTTTTTACTTCTGTACCTATTTGGTCCTTAATTTTCAAACCTTATGATTTAAATTCTATCTTTTCAAAGATAGGAACAAATAGTCTCTTACATTCAAGTTAACTATAGTAATGAAAAGTTGATGGGACAAAATTTTTTAATTAAAATTTTAATTTTAATTTTGCTGACATAGCATCAAAAAAATAAATTTTAAACCTATAACAAGTAGCCTGCTCAACTATAAGAAAACAAAGGGAAAGAAAGATAAAAGAGGTTCATTACCTAAACCCTCTAGAGACATGACATTCCACTATTTTTTTAACAAGGAACAAACTTTTCACTAATATTATGAAAATGAAGAAAAATGTTCAAGGATACGAACTCCCAAAGGGGGAGAAGAAAAAAAAGACAAAAACAACTGAACAATGAACAGAGCTCTAAAAATTACAAGAGAATAAAACATTGAAGAACAACATAACTAAAATCTTGACAAAAATGACGAGCCTAAAAACCAAAACCACTTCTTCTTCAAGCTGCGAAAGCAACACCAATCAACTGAACAAGAGAAGGAAACAACTAGAATCCTTTGATGAGTCAAGGAAAGACCACATAGTCAAAACCACGCTGCACACAGTTTTGACATTCTAATAACAAAAATTTGCAAAAACAATGGCCTGGAAAATTTCTTCTTCAAGACTTGCTCTGGAAAAAGACAACAAAAATAATAGACCTTCCCATAAAAACCGTCTACTAATAAGTTACCAAAAACAACTACTTGTCGAACGTTCAAATATTTGAAGATTTGAAAAGAAAAGAAAGATTTTCAATGATGTCTAAGAAGTCAATTGGAGCTACTAGTAAAGAGGAAGAACGGCTTGAAGAAGGAAGAAAATCCCCAAAGTCACTCCGATCTTCTAAATCAGAATCAATGCTTTTAAGGCTAACTTCTTAATCTTTACTAAAATCTGAAAATTCATCTTCTAAAGCCTCTTTGACAATGCAATCATTTGTTGAGTGAATAACACCTTGAGAAAGATGAATCTTCTTTGAAACGTCCCAATAATCTTCTTTCAAGACATCATTTTAAATGGAATGTGCGATCACCTTTGAGATAGCTTTCAAACCCTTTCTGCTGCTAGACTCCGTTGAAAACTCCTCATGAAAGGATTTAGCTCAACTTCGAGGTTTAATTTCGATAGAGGGTGATTACTTCTTCACAATATCGGAAAAAAGCCTTCCTTTTTGTTGCTAACAAGAGAATTATCAATGCTTTGGCTGATGGAGCCTCTTGAAAKATTGGGAGTATAGTATTAGAGTGAGGAGAGATTTCCTCCTTGAATAAGAGATCCAAGTTTTCTTCAAAAGAGTCTTCATCAGAATTTAAAGTAACCTCATCTTCAAAAGAGTCTTCATTAAAAGTTGGATCAGGAGTTAGGCCCCCTCTATATTATGAGATTTACTATAAGCTTCTATTTATTAGTAAAATATATATCTCTCCGTAAAATCAATTATTTTAAATAACATGAAGTCAAATAAAATAATATCATTGAGAGCTGCAACATGTACATTATTATGTTGCATTCAAGTAGATTAGAAGACAAAACCGGTTGTTCATACCCATTTTTCACTCTTTGAACTTGTCCTAGTTATCTAGAGACATATAATAGAGCAACAATGAAGGCAAAGATATGGAATATGTATCAAGCCAGGTATATAAAGAAAGAACAAGCCAACGATGAAAATAAAATTTGGATAATCCTTCAGATCTTTGCTGTTAAATAAGATATGAGCACCACCACTTACAATTTCAGGATGCTGAATGATGTCATATGGGCAGATTCAGAGAGACTATGGTTATTGCTCAATTAAACAAAATTAGAAGTATCACAATCAATGTCAAAATTCCAGTACCAAAAAAATGGTGAGAAATACCTGGAATCCCCAAAACAGTGAGTAAGTGTATCTGGTGATTATACTATTCTTTGTAGTAAGATTTACAGCCTGAAGGTAGATTCCATAATCAAAATCTTCTTTAGCAAAACATGCCTTAGCATTCCCATTTTCTCCCCATTTTCTCCGCGGTTCATGATCAGGACTCCAAGCTTCATCCCCATGTCCACAATCTATATACTGTAAGCAGTCTCTACTTCCAGTTTTATTGCAGGCATCTCGAAAACATCGATTCACACCCTGGGGTAACAACATATAAAGATTCAGGGAAGAAGGGAATAACCATTAGATTTTCAGGAATTTTCAAAGATGATGCCTTTTCCTCTTGTTCGTGATGTTTCTCTATACTTGTTGCTAAGTATCCTTGAACTTATTCTATAGAAGTTCCTGGTTATTAGATCATTTCCGAGTTACCACATATAAATGCATAAGACGCACAGCCTACATGGTTTGAAACGATACTATCATTTTGATGAGTATAAACAACAGCACGACCATTGAGGGATTAGAGTGCCTTTGCTACTGGAACCATGCAACTATCAGACACTCATAAAACATTTATAACATGAGTGTGATTGTTTTAACTTGAAAATAGGAAAAAGAATAAGAATGGAAATTGAAATTGAAATTTTTGCTTCCAGAAATCACTTGGTAAAAATTTTCCACCGAATGTATCCCAACAGTTCAATGACTGTAAAGGACAACTGTGAATCCAAGGGAAACAGATCAGTACTAGAAATTTTAGAAATGGGAAATGAAGCACATCAAAAGAGACCGAAAGTTCACCTGAAGCCCTAAGAGATACCAGAAAGACCCAACAATATGACCAGCCAACATAAAGGTGAGAAGGTTGATAACAAAATTTGCCCACGCTGTCTCAAATACAAAGCCACTTGGAGACTGACCAGCAAGAAGAGGTAGAAACCTATACAGTCTGGGTATATATTGAACAGTAACTGCATTGCGTAGTAGATTTTTAGCATAGTTTGCTCCAGATGACCCCAAAGACTTTGGAAGGACCAGAAAAACTATTATCTGAAAGAGAGAGTCACAACAAATAATTCTTCAGAAAGAGAATACAAAAAAGTGCTCTAGTTTGTTGTATTAGGTATTTGAACATATAGCTTAATAGGAGCAATCAGCAAAGTGAACTAAGATTCTTTTTCTAATCTTAAGGATTTTTTTAGTGAACTAAGATTAAATCCGTGAAACAATTAAGTGCAGGATATTTTTCAATTGGATTTTGTCGAGTACTAACTCCATCACTAGAACACCTTCACTTTTCTGGATACTGGTACTTCCAGACCATCTTGCACGACATAATAATAAAATGGAACCAGTTAGCTAATAATTAGTGATGCCTTACTTAAAAAATAATAATAGGGGTGCATAACCAAACCGACAAAACCGATCCAAACCAAACCGAAAAATTGGTTTTGTCAGTTTTGTGGTTTGGTTCGGTCCGTTATAATTGGCAAACCAAATAATGCGGATCGGTTTCATTTTGGGGTTAAAAAATCAAACCCAAACTGAATCAAACCATGTATACATATATTGTCTTCCCAAATCCCCTCACCTCTTGTCTCAAAAAAAAAAAAAAAAAATCCCCTTACCTTCCTTTCAGCAGCCTTTCATGTCCTCTCTCCTGTCAGCCTTTTCCTTTTTCCATTTTTTCTTAAATCAGTTTTCTTTTCTTTTTGCCTGTCAAACTGCAAACTAAAGTGCAGTTTGCACACCAACTTCAGTTCAGTGCGTTTTTTTACTTTTTTTATGAAAATTCGATTCGGTTTCGCTTTGGCTCGCAGACCGAACTGTGTAATAATAAAAAGAATCTTCCACAACCTATTATATGAAAAATATTTTGATATATATCAAGGACATCTCTGAAATTCTAGAATTCAGAAAAACCAGTATTTTCTACAAAAACTTGAGACTTTAGAAATTTGATCCATCTCAAATGAAGAGTGTGACATTGGTGACCTCAAATTTTTGAATTGGAAAAATAAAGTACTTGAAATGTGGAATAGCTGTGTATGTGTTCGTCTGTGTGAGCCAGGGGGTACCTGAGGCAGTGGCAAAACAACAAGCAAATCTACAAAAAATTTTCCTTTAATGTAATGCAGAGCAATTTCCTTCGGTTGGTCAACTAATTCACCTGCACCAACAACTAAGGATTCTGGTGACACGTACGCCAACCTAAACTGCATTTGAAGACATCAAAATTTCTAGTTAGATATTGACTAGAAAATAGAAGATTGTACAAGATTGGTATTTAGTCCTATGTTTGAGCTTAGTTTTAATTTAATTATTAAAAGATTATACAATATTAACTATTCATGTACAAATACTGATTCTTTTAAGGTTAAATTGCCAATTTTAGTCCTACATTTGAGCTTAGTTTCAATTAGATCCTTATGCTTTTAAAGTTCCATTATAGTCTCTGTTCTTTAGTTAAATCTTCCAATATATCCCTATCATTGTGAGATGCTAACTTCCTACCTGTCATGTTTTTCGAATGTGGGCAATGAGTTGGCATTCAGTTTAGATGTGTTAATAACAAAAAGACAATAGGGAAATCATCAGGTTTTCGGGTAAAATTTAGTATTAGTTCAAATTCAGACAAAAGAAAAATGAAAGCTACCTGGAAAAGCATGTTTAGTAAATTGATAAAACCAAAGAAAAATGAAAAGCTACCTGGAGAAGCATGTTTAGTAAATTGATAAAACCAAAGAAAAATGAAAAGTTACCTGGAGAAGCATGTTTAGTAAATAGATAAAATCAGTAAGGCTACGGAAAGCCACCAGTGTTGTGGTCAAGGGCCAGTTAATAACAATGCACTTTTTATCCTGCATTAGTAACGCAAATAAATTATTATGATTTATGAGTAAATGGTATATACAATAGTAGAATAACTAATATTAGTGCCACCATAAGCTTAGCTCAATGACTAAGGTATCTTGCTCATTTTCTAGAGGTTGGAGGTTCAATCCCCGTCTCCACATTTGTTGTAATAAAAAAAAGATATTACTATGTTTATTTAAGAGACAAAATGTAAATATTAGGTTTTTCTTTTCTTTTTCTTTTTTGACAAATGACAAACAGGGACAAGGGATTTTAACTCACTAATGAAATTTGTTGAATCACTTGATTCAAATGGATTAATATAGTAACATATAGCTTGGGTTTCATTTTCATTGAACCAAAAAATACTTTTAGATTTCAACGATTGGAGAAAGAGGAAGGAAGCCATACCTCTTTGACAGCAAGCAAGAAGAAGAATAATGGGTCCAAGAAGATCGCCACTAAGCAAGAAATGACAAAAAACTTGTTCCATTGTTGAACAACTTTTGCATGAGGATTCATAACTCCAGGAATATATGGAAGCAAGAATGACCAGAAGGTCCGAAACTTCCCTGCCCAACCTTTCCCATCTCCAAAGAAATCACTCTGGAACTGTACAAATGGGACGAGTTCATCTAAGTATTGTTTCGTTCACTTCGAGTCACAAAGCATATTGTGGGAATATGTTAGAATATGAATAAATAACTAAATTTAACATAACCTATGAACTTAATTTTTTGGTTCAATTGATGATTTAACATAGTACCAGAGTAGGAGGTCCTACGTTTAAACTCCTATAATATCATTTCCTCCCAATTTAATATTGATTACCACCAGTTGGATCTTGTGCAAAATTTCAAGCCCACAAGTAGGGTAGAGTGTTAAAATATAAATAAATAATTAAATTCACCACAATCCATCAGCTTAAGTTGATTTAACAAAATGATCTGAATCTATTCGACTTTTGAAAAATTAAGGAAAAAAAATTATAGTAGATCATCTATTTCTCAAATAGCTAAATCATCCTTCACGGACGATTGTGTGCATCACATGATCTCTGTCCACTTGTGCGCAAGCTAAAGAGCACAAACACTTTTGTTTGGATAACGTGTTCATCTCGAACACATGTTGGACACTCTAGCACTTGGACACTTGTTATCTAAATAGAGTAAGTTGTCTTGTGTTTGATAAGATAAATGAATACACATAAAGCGACATTATTTGACTCCAAGCAGAGATTTTACATCATTATCAACAGTTGAGATTAAACATGTGTGAAAATAATTTCTACATGTCTTTAGACGTCCAAACGTCAAATATTGTAAATTATATTCATATTACGTGCTTCTATGAAGTGAAGGCTCCCTAAAAATATGCAAGTATGAGTTAAACGAGACGAGATATTCATAAATAGGTCACATACTAACAATTCTATCATGTAATTCCTGAGGTTAACAAGAACAATTGTGTGAGCTTGATTTGTAAAAGTAACCCATTGGTCCAAGAGGAGAGAAAATACCTTGTGGTCAAATATGCCCGACATTCTTAAGCTTTTATGTTTCGATGCCTTCAAGTTGTATGTCGGGCAAGTTATACAAAAAGGATCACTGCACATTCCCAACTGGCCAGACTTTATTAAGTGTTCGTTTCTGCCAGCATAGTTATGAATGGACCAATCAGACTCATCCTTTGCCTTGAAAGAAGGAAATTTGTCTGCCAGTGGCTCTGCAGTTTTGCTTTCAGGCACACCCGGATTTGACTGTGAGAGTCTTTCAGGTTTGCGGCCAGTATATGTTGAACCACTCACCATGAATGAACTTTTTCTATCACTTCGTAGGGGACCAGTATGACCAACAAGATTTGCCTCATTACCATACAACCCAGAGGAAGTTGTTGGAATTGATAGTGATGAACTCCGGGTCAATGATGCAAATGAGGGAAAATAAGAACCCACTTGTTCATCTAACATTGGTGGATCGGTGTTTGATAGCATTGGTATATCGTCTTTTTCAAAAGCAGCCATTTCTAAGTAACTAGACCTAGGAATGGAGAATTAAACAAGTTAAAAATTAAACAGTGTTTCCAAAGTTAAAGACCATTAGATGTAAAAGGTGAGATGAGAACGAGAAGTGCACAAGAGACGTGGATTTTTTTCCCCTGATGTATGTGAAAAACATGAGCTATCAGTCTAAGATATTTCGTAAGATTGCAGGCTACTAAAGGATTAATGATTTTCCTTTTTCTTGCGCTTGTTTACAAAGCTCAAGAGATGAAGCATCCCCCGACTGGTATTATTAGTTCTTGGATTCAGAAATCTATGCAGGATTTTCATAAAAATAAAATAAAATTCAAATGCATGCTCCGAAAGAAAAAATTAATCGAAAGGAACAGTAGTGGAAACTATATCTGTGCGCGCGCGCGGTTATGCTTTTACCGAACAGCAAGAACGAAAGAGAGAGGGGCAGTCGAAAAGGCAGAAAAGCAAGTGCAAGTATGTTATAGCATATAAGAAGCTGAATTGAAAGAGAGAAGCAATTCGATAATCACGCTGCTGAATAAGCATCAGGAAGAATACCAATGAAGTGTAAGAAAGAAGAGCTGAAAGAGGCAGACACTTCCTTGCTATCCGATCCGGAAGCGAAATCCACGGCACCGGAGGGGAGGAGGAAGTGAAGCTGCAGACCTGCAACTGCAACTGCATTGTGAGGGGGAGGCGATATTGTATTGTAAATTTGTAATAGTAAAGGAGCTAACCCAGGCAACGCCGAAGACTTTGAATTTTCTCATATTTATTTTATTGCCTTTCCTTGCCTTCCCTTCCCTTCGCCCAGTGTTCCTTTGTCTCGTCAACCGTGGTGTGTTTGTAATTTGCATCGTCTGGTCTGTAGTTGACGCTGACCTGTTTGCATAAATAGCATTACCCTTTACCAAACTGAAAACTAGACCAACCCCTTTAAATAACGTAATATTAAATGAAAGTTGTTATTTGTTAATCCCCTTCCCCACGCCGACCTCCCTTTTTCCACAACAAACAGCAACTTCTCCTCCTAAGTCCTAACACTTTTATAAATTTTAGAAATTAGTTTTTATTATCTAATCAAATATTATATAAAAAATATATATAATGTTTTTAAAACTCATTCCAAACTCACGTCGCATCTACGGGAGCTAGACGCAAAGCCAACTTTTTTTCACAAGAATGGTTCAATTTTTAATATAATATTTTAATTTATAGAATTTAAGGACAGATAAACATCAATTTTTTTTAATATAATTTCTTAACCTGAAATGAGTTTGCCCCTATTTTCACCTTCCCTCCACCTTTGTAGGGAGCACCAATCCAGTTAGTTTGCTCCTGTGTTTGTAAATTTTTTTTGTTTGAATTCTTTAAAAAAATAATTGTTGTTTTAATAGAATATTAATGTAACTCGAAAACGTAAAAGTTGTAACGCTTTTGAAATTTCTCGATTAAAGCTCTATAATTAAAGATAGGAAGTAAAATGGAATAACTTCTTTATTCAACCTTTTTAAATTTCATACATTAATTCTTTTCTTTTTTTAGTACCATTAATGTACTTAATGATATATTTAAATTTTTATTTATTCATAGTTAAATTTTCAAAAATTATATTTTACCTAATAAAAATTTTATTGAATTTGTAATCTAATTGCATTATGAACCTATCAAATTTTGTAGAAAATAAATACTTGTAATATTTCACATTTAAAAGTTAATGGTACTTATTTGAATCCATATTTTATTCATTTGTGTATTTAATTAATAATTATAGTACATTGTATACATAYAGGAGATAGATAAGTTGAAACTTTTGAGATTCCAACATTAAATTATTTATTCTAATTAAATATAAAATTATAAATTGTTATATATAAATAAGCCAAACTTTCCATATTCATAACTTCTACATTATTATTAATAAAAGTTATAATAAAAGTTATTAAAAAAAACACGTTTAGTAAATTTAAAAATTGATAAAGGGATACGATGGTCAAAAAAATGTTTTTTCGATATTAATTAGCTTAAAATAATTTTGTTTATTTTAAAAAAATATTTCTATAAAATTTAAATATTATTTGTTAGTCCATTTTTTTAGTACCTACTAAAATATGTCATATTAAATTAAAAAACTAAAAAAATAAATATGTTATTAGATGTTATTAGGAGATAAAATTGATTAAGAATTATATTACACCGATTAATTATGAATAAATAAATAAAAAGCCTCTAATAAAAATTAAATTTCAAAATTATATGTATGCATAAACTTTTAAAATAAAAATAATAGGAATATTAGTTATGAAACAATCTATAAAGATTTATGGAAGAGATACACCTTAATTTTCCACTAGTATCTAATATTGTCCATACTTTGTTGATATTTAGATCATACCACCTTGTAGGAATCAATTACGTCTAATTATAGGACAACACTATTTTATCACTTTCATGTATCGAAATACTTAGTGTGATAGGCCTGTACAATATGACACTACTTCCAAGCACAAACAAAAAAAAGGAAACTTTTATTGCACAAAGAAAGAAATATCCTCTAACCAATCTTGAGATTACAATGATTTTAGTTCTTCAACGTTAAGCGAACCAAAGCATCTATCACTTTATTTTCATCTGTTTTAGTAAATTTGTATATCGATCCTCTACGAGAGTGTGTCATATGACACTACTAAATCTGTAAAAGAAGTAAACTAAAAAAAGAGTTAAATGGTTGTGGACAAAGTTAGAGATAAACTTCATATATATTATATAAGAGATATATATTATATAAGAGATAGACCAATTGAAACTTTTGAGATTCCAACATTCTATTATTTATTATAATTAAATATAAAATCATAAATTATTAAATATAAATAAGCAAATTTTTTTTATAATATATCGATATTATAGATTATAGATATTATAGATACACGAAAAAGATCGGTATTAACCACGGATTAGAAGCCCAAACTTGAGAAAAATCAAAATCTAAAATCCGGCCCGCTAAGATATGGACAGTTTCATTTATGGATCTAGATATATAATTAAAGCCCATCACTTGAAGACTCTTCCTCCACAAATCGATTTCCTCCAGAAGCACGCTGAAGGATGAAACTCCAACGAAGAGGTCTTCTCCATTATTTAGTTCCGTTTATACATTATATAAATCAAAACAAACCCAATCCACTTAATATTATATTTTTTTAGTCTGATAGCTCGAATAATTATTTAAGAATTAATTAAAAGAAGACCTGCAAAATAAAAGTGAGCACTCCCAGATCGGTCCATTTTGTTTAGTATTAGTAACTCTATTCGAATGAATATGAGGATGAAATTACCTATAGTATTTATAGATGTCGAACGATTGAAACCATTCTTCGACGGCCATGTCGTATATTCCTACTAATAATGATGATGAGTGGGGAGTTGAATGATAATTTTTCTGAGTTAACTTTCTCGAATCCTTGTTTCTCCAGTAGATCGACTCTTAAGATCAAACCATTAATCAGCATTTGTATCCCCATATTTGTTAGTTCGAAATTATTCCTAAATAATATTTTCTAAAAATGACTAATAAAATAAATAAATAAATAAATATATATATATATATATATATATATATATATATTATCTTTGTCATCATATTATTATTGCTATTTAAGAGAGGTTATATTATGATAACTAAAACATTGAAAAAAATGGCAAGTGAGAAAGATGAGGGTATAGCTCAATTATATGGAAATATAGCATTATTTTATTGCTTTATTATTATGAAATATATTTCAAAATTTCTATTGACAGAATATATTTCCAATATTAACCTTTGGCCAATAACGATATATATAATTTTTTTAGTTAAAGGTGTGGGCTTTGTGGTTAATAACGATTTGTGGTGTGTGGCATCCATCAAATTTTGATTATTATTTAAGAGAGGTTTAATTATATTTATAATCATTATAACTCTAATGAAGAAGAGTCCTTGGGAGAGATAAGAGTAGTTTAATTACGAAAAGATATTATTGTACTAAAAAAAAATTATTATTATGTCATTTATACTTCCAAACTTAACCATTGGTTCATAGTGTTATTGTCATTTATATATATATTTTAGGTAATACAACTGGTTAATAATGATCTGTGGCATGGGGTGGGGTCCATCAAATTTGTATTATTAATTTAGGGCAGTTTAATTATGACAGTTAAGATTCATAACTTGACGAAAAATGGTAATTTAATAAAATTTTGACAAATTTGAAATTTGGTGTCTTAAAAAAGGCATGGACAGAACGGAAGTGTTGCGTTGAGACGAGGAGAACTCCGGTCCGCCGACCACCGCGGAAGCGAAAGCGATATGGAAATGACGAAGCCTGAAATTAAGGAGAAGAACGAGGAAGTTCCGAAGAGCCTAGACGACTTCCTGACCGTGAGACCCTATGTGGCACCGTCCTGGGCCTCCCACCTGAACCCCATCCCGGATCACTTCTGTTCTCTTGGCCGTGTAAGTTCCAAATTTCCACATCTCTCTCTTCTCTTCGTCAATCGAAATAATCGCATCCTAAGAACTAAGAAGCTGCCCACTGCCCTATAATATTATATTATTGTTGAAACTTGATTCGTTTCTGATTACATTAATTTTGGGGTTGGAATCAGTTTCCTACTCCCATTCACAAGTGGAACCTTCCAAATCTGCCCAACAACACCGAGGTCTGGCTCAAGGTGATTCTCATTCATTCTATTTCTGCTTACTCAACTTTCTCTTTTACACAAACTCCATCATTTTATTGTTTTTTGTTTAACCGGATTTTTAACCATTTGATTTGTAATCAACAACTCATCATCCTCTGACCTCTTATTGAAGAACCCGATATGAGACTTGTTCTTACCTTTATTTTGATACAATATAATTTTTACTTTCCCGACACAGTAGATGTAGGCATTCGGCTGAACCACCGTAAAGAATTGTGTTAATTTACTTCTATCTCTGTTTTTTGGCTTTTCCTCCCTCGTGCAATTTGTCCATACGAAAAATAACTTTTTCGTCTCTTTGAAATGAACTTCATAGATTGATTTCTATTGCCGCATGGTGTGTTTTGTCCTCTACTTAAAACACAGAATTAGGTGTAAGCTGTTCAACACGTGTGACTCGACTTTCAGTTTTTCAGCCAACGTGGAAATAATGGAATTTGAAGTGTCAATTCATTTATCCTTACCTTTTTCAGCAGGAAAAACAGAATTTTCATGCAACTCGAAAAAGAAAAATAATGAAAATAAAAAATTCGGAGCTTCAAAATTTCAGGCTGAACTCGAAAAAATAAAAAAATAATTCAATTCTCTTTTAATTAACTTACCACATACAAGTTGGTATGTCTGTGTGAAATCATGTCATCATAAAAAATCATGCAAACGCTCATGGGGGAATATCTAGGTTCTTGATTTCTTGTTAATTTGTTTTCAGCTGATCTTAAGAAACATTAAAAAGACAAGTATTTATTTTATTATTTTTTACTTCTAAAATACATAATAAATATTGAAAGAAACTAAAATAAACATATTAGTTTTGAATATTTTATGCTAATTTCAAAAATTCATTTTCTAAGTAAGAGCTTTAATTTTTTTAATCTGAAATTTGAGAAAATAAAAAACAAGAGGTGAAATACCAGATGTTTATTTTTTTCAATAAAAAAAGAAAGAAATACTAAAAGTTACCAAACAAAATTTACAAGATTTTCAGAGTTTACCTTACCACGTGGATGAACCTTCCTATCACATCTCAAAATAGCTCAGTTTGGACTCACCAATATTGGTGGGATCTTTTTTAGAGCGAACTTCTTGTTTGTGCTCCAAAACTAATATATTTTAAAGTTTTATCTCAAAATAAATTGACATCGATAGTAATGATCACATGCATTTTATAAATCTAGATAATTCATCATTTACCTTTTCGACAAGATTTAAGTTTTCATGCTTATAAAATAATTAAAAATTGTTGAAAAATGATTACTACAGCGTGACGATCTTGCTGGAATGCAATTGAGTGGTAATAAAGTTAGGAAACTAGAATTCTTCATCGCAGATGCTTTGAAACAAGGTGCCGATTGTGTTATTACTATCGGAGGCATCCAAAGCAACCACTGTCGTGCTACTGCTGTTGCTGCCAAGTATTTCAATCTCGATTCTTATCTTATTCTATTCACTTCAAAGGTTATTACATTTTTTTCCTAATTTTGGCTTTCTTGATTGTCTTCGTGTCCACGATTTGATATATATATATACATGCAGGCGCTCTTGAACCAAGACCCTGGATTCACAGGCAATCTTTTGATCGAGCGATTAGTTGGAGCTCATATCGAACTTGTCACCAGAGAAGAGTATCAAGAAAATGGATCAGAGGTTTTGTTTATTTAATTATATATCTTCTTTTGTTTTACTAAATACTAATGTAATAATGTTCTCTCTAATTTTTTGTGTATTTGTAGCTTATTTTTGTTGTCTCTGTTTTAAGTATAGGCAATGACAGATTACTTAAAGTCAAAATTAGTCGCTGAAGGAAGAAAGCCATATGTTATTCCTGTYGGAGGATCAAATTCTCTTGGAATTTGGTGAGACTTGATTCTTCAACGTTACATACAACTTTTCTAAAGGCTGCAACCAAACACTTCATATATATATCCTTTTCGCCCATTATTTATTAAATTAATAAGGGTATATATTATTTTTACATACTTGGTTTTATTATATTGTTCAGGGGTTATGTTGAAGCAATTAGGGAGATTGAACAACAGCTGCACGGGAAGATGAAGTTTGATGATATTGTAGTAGCTGGTGGCAGGTTCTACCTTTGCCTCTAATTTGTTTGGAGGGAGGGTGTCTATATCAGGCTAGCCGCTGGGTGTGCTTGGAAAGTTTTCCAAGTGATTTTGGAATCAGTTTTTTTCGTTTAACAAATAAAAATCACTTTTATAATATATTGAATAATTGTTAATAATATATATATTATATATTTTTTTTTAAAACCACCCTAAAGGGTGATTTATTGAAATTACTTTAAAATCACGATATATTTTGGATATATTTGGAGTTGATGGTAGAAATAATGATTTTGAAAAAAGATATTTAAATATAATTGATTTTAAGCTTTTCTAAAATAAATTTTATAATTTACCAAACATAATAAATGGCAAGAGAGGTGAATTTGACAAGGAAAAGTGATTTTGGCAATGCGAAATAACCCAAACACACCATTTGGCATTTGTAGAAATCACTTTCGAATGGAGTGACCAAAATCACTTTATGTACGTTGATCATGTTTGACAAATTAAAAAATTGATTTTATAAATTTTAAATTGATTTTTAAGCTAGGTGATTTTGGAAAATCAATTAGACTTAAACCTCTTTTTTCAAAATCACTGATATTCTGTCGTCACTCCCAAACACATCCTAAATAAATTTGTGATTAAAATTACTTTTAAGAAACGCATCCTTAATAAATTTGTGATTAAAATTACTTTTAAGAAAATGGAACCACTAAACTATTTTAATTAAAACTATTTTTATAGAAAGCTTAAAAGTATTTCTTATAAAAGTGATTAAATTACGAGGTATGACAAACTCAATGGGTAAGTAATATAATAATTTAGTTCTTCCCCGAGTGAAATAAGATTTCTCAACAAAAATCAACTTATAAGACTCTATGAGGCTGGCTTAGCCTTTAATAATTTTGATATATAACTTGAAGTAGCTTATGTATGAGATTTTGTTTTTTTAATTTTAATCAGATTGTTCTAGAACCACTAAGGGCAAGTTTGACGTAGCTTATTTTTAATTACTTCAATATATATATTCTCTTCTTAATTAAGGCAGCTCGTATGCTTGCTTACACATTTTTTTTAAAGAGCTTTTTGAATCACAAATTTGTTTGGTTAAACCTTATATCTACCCATGATTCTACAAATATGAAATTATCAATAAAGTGATTCTCAATTTTTCATTTTAGAATAACTTTTTCTTTATAATAATTTTAAAGTGATTTTTCTAAATATTATCCACGGGTGGTTTTTATTTGTTACTCAATACTCTTTTAGATCTCTAAAATTATTGGGAAAGTTAATCCAAACACGGAGTAAAATTATGATTTTCACGATTTTTTTTTTCATTTTTAAAATTTTTGTAACCCTCCCACTTTATTTATCTTTAATTTTATTTATCCTCCCTAATTTTATCTCAAATTTTTTTAAACATCTCTCTAAATTTTTAGTTACATTATATCTCATTTCTCTCTCTAATTTTTTTTTTTTACTCTCCCTCTTAAATTTCTGTCTCTAAAATTTTTGTTCCCCTCATTTTTCTCTCTCTAAAACTTTTTGTCAAATTCTATCCTTAAATTTTAAATAACTTTGAATTATATAAACTTAATTGGAAAAGTGAGTAACTAAATATTAGAATAATAATATAAAAACAACTTTCAGGATCAAATGAATCATTGAATCTCTGGTCGGGCCTAAGACAAGTGGCTGTTTCTTTCTTTTATGCTTTAGAGTTTTGATGCACTTTTACCTTTCAGTGGGGGCACGCTTGATGGTTTGTCAGTGGGTTCATGGTTAAGTACGCTCAAGGCAAAAGTATGAGTTGTTAATTTCGTCATTGTCATTCTTATACATTATTGTTGCTCAGTTTTACTGAATCTCGTTTTAAATTCTTTTGAATATGTAGATTCACGCGTTCTCCATCTACTACGAAGATCCTGAAAATTATTTCCACGACTTTGTTCAACGCTCGCTCGATGAATTTCATGTTAATGTTGACTCACATCACATTATTGAAGTTCATAACGTAAGTTTGTGTGGGCCCTTAGTTGAACTAATTTATGAATTGATATACCATATACCATATTTTATACTTTTATTTTGCAGTCTTAATTTTAATAATTCTAAAACTACTGGAACTGTCATCTTCCTTTCCCTTTTCTCCCCCTTTTTTAACACTCTTGATCCATCCTTCAACATTTCGTACAATGCCATGATCCATAAGGCAAAGGGTCTGGATTATGCAATGAATACGTCTGAGGAGCTTAATTTTATAAGAGAAGTTGCTGAATCCACTGGCGTTATTCTAGATCCAGTATACAGGTACCATCGCTGAAATCATTCTACAACTCAAATCTATGCTATTTTTCTTATATATGTGTATTTTCAGTGGGAAAGCTGCATATGGAATGATGAAAGAAATGACCGAGAGTCCAAGAAAGTGGGAAGGGAGGAAGATTTTGTTCATTCATACAGGAGGACTGTTGGGGATGTATGGCAAAGTTGACGATATGGGTTCAGTAATATCGGAGAAATGGCGTCGTATGGACATTAATGAACCTACCTCCAATTAATGGACTTGACAACACGTAGTAAAAGAAGAGAAAGCCACTATTTATACCTACATGTTGGATGTTAAAATTAATAAATCGACTTGTTTGTAAGTTATAATAAATGCACGTTAATTCAAACCTGATTTAGTCGATAATATCTTACTTATAGCTGGAAGTTCAATCCTATGCTGAAATAAAAGGAAAAAAAGAAGGTTTGATATTATCGTAATAGGGTGAGTTAGTCCATTCTTTTATCTTTTCAATGTGGGATTCATATCGTGGCTTTTTTGGCTCATCAATGTTGTTTGGATCCCATTTTTTAACCGATTGCTGGTTTTAGCGTTTTGGGCTCTGATACCATATTAATATTCATGGATTCCATCTCAAAACCAATTGGCAACGAAAAGGAGATCCTTTTTCTTTCGATGTGGGATCCTTTAACACATTGAGTCCATCTCAAAACTAATTGACAATAAAAAGAGTAGTCCATGTCTATTATAAGCCGATTTTATTTTCAATGTTTTAAAAAGTTCAAATTAAATTTGATAGTATATAGGTACGTGAATTGTTTCTTGTTTCCATGCTTGAGTATTTTTCTTTGTATATTTCCTTTTTAGAAAATGGTTTATTTGCTTATTAAAAATATATCTCCATAGACAACTTGATAATTCATATATCAGCTTTCTCTTGAAATAAATATTTGAGAATATGGACACTTTTGTAATTAGTATATATATGTTAAAGGTAAGCTAATTATGTATTTAACCCGAAAAAAAAAACTTTTGTTTGGAGAGTAAAATATAGCCTGCCACATGGATCAAATATATTGATCCACGACCAACCTATAACATTGATCGATCTATAGAGCTCTATAGACAATATTTTAAATCTAAAAATATCTAAATTCGTCTCACCTGAGTACTAGTGGCCGTAACAGAACGGTCTCTCATAACTTTAAATATGTCATCATGACCCAAACACTTTGCTCGCCACGGATTTCTGATTACCCAGAAATTAGCGTATAAATTCATATAATAGCCTAAAATTAATGATGGACTTCATTTTTATATAATAATAGACCTGATATTATTAATAGTTTTTTTTTCAAGAATATTTATTAATTATAAATAAATAAATGTTAATTTTTTATTTGAAGAAAAAAATAGTATTTGATAAGAGCATTTATTAGTTGTTTCTCTTCCTTTTGTTTTTTTTCCCGAAATGAACAGATGACGAGTTAAATTTATTTAATTTTTCTTTTGACTGGAAATTGTTTTCCTTGCGTATATTATCTGTTTTGATCCGTTTGGACCATTTTGGTGGCTTGGATAATATATCCATTTGGTTTTGGACTTCAAAATCGTACTTTTACTTTTATGATTTATGATTTTAATTTTTTTAAACCAGAAATGTTATTTTCTTTCAGTGACGCCCTTGCGTACTCGTGGAAAATATTTGGCTCCTTTATTGAGGTATATTGGAAAAAAAATAAAAAATAATCCGACGGGAAAGGTGGCCGGCAATGGGAAGGAATACCAACACCTGACGAAATGTTGAGCTTGAGCAGTGGCAAATTCCAAGGAGTGTGTTTACTCACCGTCACCGCAGCATCCTCGAAGTCGACGTCATCATCGACCTTCTTTTCAATTTCCTCTGGAAGCCGCAGCCGGTGCCTCTCCTTCTCTCCGAGTCCGAGTTTTGATTGCGTTCGTTGCAGTGTCTCACAGTCACAGCCCCAGGCGATGGAGATCAAGCCTGAAAACGACGACGTCCCCAACGGCCTCAACTTCCTCACTAGCAGACCCTATGTCCCTCCGTCCTGGGCCTCCCACCTCGACCCAATCCCCTCTCGCTTCTCTTCTCTCGGCCGTGTAAGTTCCCGATTTCCTTTCCTCGCGTGGTTCTACTTCTACTTACTGATTACAATTTTTGCATCAGCTTCCTACTCCCATTCACAGGTGGAACCTTCCTAATCTGCCCAACAACACCGAGGTCTGGCTCAAGGTAATCCATTCCGACTCAACTCTTTCACTTATAGTTTTACACGCTGCTTCGATTGTTTTTCAGCACAACCATCAATTTTGATACTGAAATTTGAGATACAAGTTTTATGAATCATTTGAGTTAGCTTTTCGTTTTAACAGAATTTTGAGCTCTTTTGTTTTTCCGGGCTCCCTCACACTTCTCTTAATACTCTGCTAATTCGACCCCTTGAACGTTCAAAATTGTCAAAAGCTAGACACGAGAAAATTTCTGGTAGGTAGGATGGGAAACTTCCCATACTGTAATCTATTTTCAGCCGTATTTGCAACATTTAAGAACAATGCACGGCCACAAAATAAATAATATATCAACCAATGGAGGGAGTGCATTATTTTTTCCCAATCTACCATGTCTTTACTTTTGGCGGAATTTTCGCATTCTATCTACAATTACAGTAACTGTACCAGCCTGACCGACGTTATAGCGCAAAGGACATCATAATTATACTAAAATTCTCCTCCTATCAATAAAACATCTCATCTTTGTTTAATTAACTTAGCTCAAGACATAAGTTGGTCGTCCCCATCAAATCATGTATTTGCAAGAACCTGGAAATTTCCGGTTGGGGCTTGATTCTTTACATGGTTTTTTTGTTTGTTTGGATTAGATTTTACCTTACCATGATTCAAACATAGGACGCTCTGTATGAACTTTCCCATTACGTTTAGAATGGCAGGCAATATGCACTATTAATTTGAAGATAGTTACTATTTATGCTGTTTATAATTTGTTTCTAAAGATTCCTAGATTAGACATTCTGTCTATTCTTTTTTTTATTTTTTTTTTTAGTTTTACTTATTTTCTTGTTTGTACTAATTGAAATATTCTTGAAAAAATGAATACAGCGTGATGATCTTTCAGGAATGCAATTGAGTGGCAATAAGGTCCGAAAATTAGAATTCTTGATAGCAGATGCGTTGCAACAAGGTGCTGACTGTATCATAACTATAGGAGGCATCCAAAGCAACCACTGTCGTGCTACTGCAGTGGCAGCAAAGTATTTCAATCTTGACACTTATCTTATTCTACGCACTTCAAAGGTTATCATTATCTTCCAAATCTATTTTTGACTTATTTTGGTTATAAACACACCTGTTTTACATTTTGTTAATATTACCTCTGTCATGCTTTTCTTATTTGCTACAATTTGATGCCTTATGTCCATGATGCAGGTCCTTGTGAACCAAGACCCTGGATTGACTGGAAATCTCCTTGTTGAGCGGTTAGTTGGAGCTCATGTCGATCTTATCTCTAAGGAAGAGTATGCAAAAATCGGAAGCGTGGTTTGTTGATTTCTTCTCTGTTGCCATCATCTTCTTTAGTTCTTGAAAACAATTTATTCTCTTATTTGGTCAGTTGATAGTCTTACTAATTCTGGACATGCTTAACAGGCGTTTTAAGAATCGTGGAGCTAACTAGTTTCTCCCTTAAAAATGACGCCTTTAAAGATTATGATTTTTTCTTTTAGATTGCAGGAAAATTCTACTAATGATATGTTTTCTTTCAGAACATATGCATTTGGCACCTGTAAATATTGTGCGTATTAACTGTACTTGAATCTTGTAGTTTCAGCTGATATAGGTTGTCAGGCATGCTAATTATTTGATACGAGGTTATCATTCTTTCCTGTAAATGTGGTTAGAGTCTCTGCATTCGCGTGCTGTGGTTGTTCTAAGACAGAATATTCTGCTAATTTCTTTCAAATACCAGAAAAAGTGGATGCATGAGAATTTCTTTTTCCCCATATGTCCTTCCTTTTTGACTGAATTATATTTATAATTATATTTTGTTTTATTTTTTATATTTTGGCCAGAAATGAATTGTTTTAACTGATATTCGTTATTCTTTCCCCACATTTACTTGGGATATGATGTACTTCACTGTTTATAAATTGCCAATGCTATTTTATATTGAGTTTATTTCAACATCTGGTGATAGTTTTTTGTTCTTGATTTTAAATTCAGGCACTCACGGATTACCTCAAGTCAAAATTACTCGCTGAAGGAAGAAAGCCATATGTTATTCCTGTTGGAGGATCAAATTCCCTTGGAACTTGGTGAGATTTGCTGTGCTTGTTTCCTGTTGTCCATTATATATATTACTTTTTTTTCCTCATTCTACTTCTACCGCACACCTGTAATCTTTGCTTATTGCATTAGGTTGCTCATGGATAGTTATATCGAGTTGCTTTTTAGTTCTATTGTCACTGATAATATTTCATGTTGAAGAATCATCTTATGGACAGTATATTCCTCTAAAATTTTGGACAAACTTTCAGGGTAGGTTCCATTATGTTATAGTTCCCATGCTTGTAGTTAAAACTGCCTTGCTGAAACTATGACTACCAAGGCATTGCATACTCAACGATTTCGCCAAGGTGTTGATTGACAAAATTGTTGGAAAAATTTGCAGCAGTTAAAACGAAATTGCATAGATTCAGAAGGGAGACAGGAGTTTTTATTTTATCTTAATAAATATCTTAAAGATTAAATTATTGGTCATATTTTAATTTATTATTATTCATTATTGTCTTAACTCTCTTCATTCAATTACTTCAATAATGTGACCTATTATATGTACTATCTAAATCTTGAATTAAAGACTGAGAAAAAAGAAAAAAAATCTTGAATTAAAGAGAAGATGACAGCGTAGAGACTTAAACATGTGCTCCCTGCTCTTGTACCACATTAAATAACCTATGTTTCAAAATTTAAAGCCATTAGATGAAGCACAATCTATTCATTTGTATATACATTCTTAATAAACGAGATATTATCCATCAGTACATTTGGTTCGATTTGGTGATGATTATTGACTCCTTGAAGAAGCATGCTGACGGATCTATGGGAAAGAATACAACAATCATGCTAAAAGGAGCATAAATAGTCACTGGGTTTCATTCCTCACAGCAATTTAAGATAGTGAGAATTTTATATTTTTCCTGCTTATTTAAAAACTATCATTCTTGTGTTATTTTTCCTTAAAAATTTCTACTTCACTTTACTCTTTAGGATCATTTTCCAGCAGCATGTTTGATTTTTCCTCAAGATTGTTTTTTCTGCTTCTTTTGTCGTACCAGTACCACTGAATGAGGCTGATTCAAATTGAAAATCTGGAATTTAGACAATGTGTCTCCAGATATGTGCGGAAAAAATATCTAAATGGTAGATAGGTCAAGACCAAGACATCACCATGCAGAAAATAAATAACTTTTTGAAGATTGAATATCAGAGTTAACAATGCAATCATCATTGTATCCTTTCCAGTTTACATCTCTTCATTTCTATCTCTATTATAATAATATTAATAAGTGTAAATTATTTTGGTTATGTTTAGGGGTTATATTGAAGCAGTTAGGGAGATTGAACAGCAGCTGCAGACTGGAAATGACGAGATCAAGTTTGATGATATTGTAGTAGCTTGTGGCAGGTTCTGCGTTGCCTCTATATTTGGTTCCAAGAATACCTGATTCTTGACCTTGCTATGTTGTTGCATTTTGGGGAACTTTACCTAGATTTCATTTATGACTAAATGACCAAGTAGATAAGCTTATGACTAGAATTTGGAGGATTAAGCATAATTCTGGTATAATAAAATTTAGACCGTGTATTCCTAATTTGCTGCAGAAGTTTAGAAATTTATTTGAGACATGCGACAAGAGTATAATTTGGGGGGACGGTGTTTATGGGGCAGGTCAATTCTATAAAAAGAGTTGCAAGTGATAATTCTTCTGTAAGTGAGTTTGTCGTTGGAGTGAACATGAGGCTGTATTCTTGCTTAGCCTCAAAACTTATTCAAGATTCGTCATATGAAGCTTTAGAGGTTTAACTGCTTCAAGTGGCTCATAAATTACTTTTTAGATTTTTGTGAAATCACCAGAATATGGGTAAGCTTGACAAGTTCAATGTCAAAGGATGTATGATTGGCAGAGTAAGGGTTGGTCGAATGAGTACTGACTAAAGAGGTGGTGCTGGGAATCTATGGAGAAGCGGTACTATAAAATGGGCTGAATAATTCACTATTTTTCAATAATGGGTGATAGTGAATGAATCTTTATTCTTTTATGCTTTAGTCTTTGATATTTTACTTTTATCTATGATCAGTGGGGGCACGATTGGTGGACTGTCATTGGGATCATGGTTGAGTACATTGAAGGCAAAAGTATGGATTTCTTTTTCATCTTTGTATTGTTGCTGTCTACATGTTAGTCCTCTTATTTTAGGTCTGTCAAATATGCAGGTTCATGCATTCTCTGTTTGTGATGATCCTGACTACTTCTACGACTTTGTTCAAGGTCTACTTGATGGGCTTCATGCCGGTGTTGACTCACGTGATATAGTTGAAATCCAAAATGTAAGCTGGACTTTTAGTTGATTTATGAAGATTATTGATTTGCGACAGTTTGCTTTTGGTTGGCAGCATTATTTGTATTATTGTATTGAAGTGAAACCATCTCCAGATCTTTCATTTGATACGAACCTTACTTTCTTCCCCTCCTTCTCTTTAGGCCAAAGGTCTGGGCTATGCAATTAACACATCTGAAGAACTTAATTTCGTAAGAGAAGTTGCGGAATCAACAGGTGTTGTTCTTGATCCAGTATACAGGTATGCTATTACACTAGTCAACTTCTGCAGCCCGTCAAGTACATTCTATAACTGTATACTGTAAGACATTCTATAGATTGTGCATGCAACAGTAGACAGATTTCATTTCATGCAAGATAGAAGTTGTATTTTTTAAACCAGTTAATATGGGGTACATGGTTTGGCTTGGGCTTTATTTTCAGCGGGAAAGCAGCTTATGGAATGATGAAAGACATGGGTGAGAACCCAAAGAAGTGGGAAGGGAGGAAGATTCTGTTCATTCACACAGGAGGACTGTTGGGGCTGTATGACAAAGCTGATGGGATGGGTTCAATGTTGGGAAAATGGCGTCGTATGGACGTTAATGAATCTGTCCCTCGAATTGATGGAGTTGGGAAAATGTTCTAAAACAACTCACACCAAAAGGGGTGGCCGCAACTGCTGTCTAAACATTGAAATAAACTTTCTTGGGATTTTAATATATTATTGTTACCAATCATTTCACCAACACTTAAAACCATGAATGCACATTAAATTTATTTTAAACATGAATGCATTATGGTAATAACTACCATGGGTTTGGTGAATGATTATATAAATAAGTTATGATTTTAATTGTCTTGAAGTATTTGATTCATACTTATAAAATTAAATGTTATACAAAATTTCTATGGAAAATAGTATATGATTACATAGTTGTTACATAATATATAAGTTTATATGTAGAAGCTGACATGGAGATTCGCGAATCTACAAGTAAACCATTATTACTTATTATTTTACAGTTGTGGAAAATGTTTACCTCATATTTTTGTATCTTGTAAAATTATTTAAGATTTCTTCTCTTTACTGTTTGTTTATCAGATAAAAAGTTTATATTTTTTTTTATATGCAATAGTTTTTATATTGCTTTCTTGTATTCTTAAAGATGGAAGTATGTAACATGTTAATTGGTTTCTAACTTGAAAAAAAAACGTGTTAATGACTTAATTGTTAAAATTATGATTTTTATTAAAAGCTGTTAAAAAAAAAAACGAAATAATAGTAACATTGTTTAGTACGATAACAGTAGATTTGAACCTCGTGGAGTAAAACGCCTGATGTCGTGAGAATAGAAAGAAATCGCATGTCAAAGATATGATTTACATAAATGGTGTTTGGATATTGCAATTTAATCGTAAATCGCCGTAAAGGCAGATTAGGATTTAGTTCCCCGATTTCAGCGTAATCGCGTTTTCGAGAATGCCTCTTCGTCTTCGATTTTGGTGTTCCTCACATCTGCTCTTTCTCTGTGGGCTTTGACGACAGATCAAGATTAGTTACTTCACACCAATACTGGAAGTCGACTTTCCGTAGGGTTTGCGGGATCAAAGGTTAAGGAATCAATGTAAGTAAGAATATTTGTAATTCTAAAGCGAAAGGCATTGAATTAGCGCAGTCACATCCCCTCCAAGGCAGGATTATCGTCATAGAGAGCAAGGAACAGAGCATGGCGAGGATTGCCCTAACCCTGAAGAAACCACAAAGCCTCTTATCAGTTGCAAACGAATCTTTCTTCTCTGCAAGAAAGCCTAAAGAAATCTCCGATCTCGTCTCTCAAATTGCCTCTATATAAAAAAGAAAAAAACGAAGAGAGGCTTACAAAATTATCTGCATTCAATTGGATTGCCGCACGACAACAAACCATACCAATTACCAACAATGGCAAAAGATGGAGTGACGTACGAGGACTTCGAACCTTTCTGCCAATGGAAAAGACTCGATGACTCTGACGTTCTTGAGGTTCATCTCCCAGGTTTGTGCTTATAATTCCTCTGCATTCTCATAGTATTCATAGTGATTTGAAATTTATTTTTCTTGAACAATACGTTTAAAATTGTGCTGTATTGTGTACTGTCCTTACAAACAGAATTCAAGAAGGAAGAATTGAGGGTTCGGATCAGTAACAACGCTCTCCTTACAGTTTCCGGCGAGCGCCTAAAAGCCAATGATCCGAAGAAGATCAAATTCAACAGAGAATTCAAACTATCAAAGGATATATACCCAGACCAAATCCGTGCCAAATTCGGTAGCAGTGTTCTTTCGATCACGATGCCTAAGAAAGCATCAGCGGGTGTCGGCAAACCAGAAGCGGGCGTATCCAACTCCGAGGGTAAACGAACAGCAGACAGTGATAATGATAAGCCAAAGAACTTCATATCAAGTCGATTCTCGAGGTTGAAATTGAGCAAGCAGACGGCCGCGGCCATGGCGGTTGCAGCGGTGATTCTGGCATTGGGAGCTTACTATTTAACAAAAAACTAGGGATGATCTTGCAACGCTGCAAACGTTTGTTTATTTGTGGGAAACTACATAATACAGAATATATCAAATGTGTACACTTTTTAATTTAGATTCATGAATAAGTATTCATTTGCTATGAGCCCTGATCCCGATTGATGACGATCCACTTTGATTTGATTTGATTTCTGCAATTTCTTTGAACCTTCGAATATCCCCATAGCTGAGAAGCTGACAATTCAATGGGTGGGGGCTTCCCAGATAATCAAATCCCCTTTGATTTTTGAATGCACAGGATGAGGAGAAAGGAGACATTTTTGTTATATAGGAATTAATACTTGCATTAGTGTAAGCGTTGATTGAAGCTTATTGATATGACATCTCAACAGTGTGTCGGTATCTCAATTTTTATCTGCATCTGATTCTAGACTTTTAGTAACATGTATCTCGGCACAACAATTATATATATATGAAAGAGATGAAATACATTTCCCTTGAACAAAAATGTCCCTTGATTTATTGATGTATAAAATAAACCTACTTTAGTCACCTGAAATAAAAATAATTGAATGGTTTGAAAAGGACATCAGACGGCATTGTCTAAGCAAGTTATTAGAGGGAGTAGTCTAGTACAATGAGAGAATTCATATGCACACATATGCATGTTCATGTTATTGGCTTTAGAATATATATATATATATATATATATATATATATATATATATATATATATGAGTTTTATTTATAGAGTTGGCAAACAATTATCTCCGATAACTAAAGATTTTATGCTCATCCGATCCAAATACCTATTAACCGTTAGAATTAACAAGAGGCTGGAAGTTCTTCAAATGGATAAGACGTACCAATTATCATTCTAAGGTGGATGGTTCAATCACTCGAAAAAATAAAAATTATACTTATAGGCACTAAATTGTAAGACAATTATTGTACTTAAATCAATACCTCTTCTCATGAATAATGCATTCAGCTTTTTGTTTTATACTATAAAAAGGATAAACATTAATTAGTTGATGAAAATATCCTTACATCCCTTGCATCTGTCTATTACTTTCATCCATGAATGACATGTTATTAAATTCACTTACAACAATATTTGAAGGATATATAACCTTGTTTCCTTCTCTTCATGACAATAAACAACAAACAATAATAATTAAAGAGAGAGGCCAAATAACCTAGATTTACATAATAATCAAAATATATATTGTATAAAACATATTGATTTTATGTTTACATGTCTGTTGTGATGTGTATTAGGTGACCCAAATCATTTATTTTTGACCTCTAGAGAGGAAATGGTGGCATAATTTTGTGATATATCCATAGACACCTAACCAAGCAGACCCATGTGCACATGCAATAAGTTTGTTTATATATTGACAATATTAATTTAAACTATATATATATATATATATATATCATTTCCCCTTCTTTTATGATCACACTTTTTTTAATTAATTTATTCATGTTCTGTCCATCTTTTAATTAAAAGCATGATGGTCTTACAGTTTATCTCACTAGAAAGGGCTCATCGATATTGAATCAATCGAACGCACTTCTAATACTTATTCCACTTTTGGAAGACCCTGCGTTATATCACTAGATCGTGATTTTTCATATATAAATGTAACTAAGGTATCTCCTTCGTAAAGGATTTCTCCATAACGGCGATGAACAGTTGCTTAGCTATATAATTATTGTTAATTAATTTAAGTGGGAGGAGTTTGGGAGTGGGGTGAGATGAAAAGCAGAGGCAGTATAAATAAAGAAAAGAAAATTAAAAAAGAAATGGTGAGAATGAGAGCGAGAGCAATCAAACTTAGCTTGGCAGCAAAGCGTGTGCCGCCCAGCCATTACCAAGGGGCCTACAAATTTTAACAATTGTACTTTGTGTAATTTTTTATTTTTTTTTTGAATTTCTTTTCTAAGCTATAATATCTCATGGGGTTGTAAGCACCAAAAAAGATATATCTGGAAAAAAGGCAGCCATTTGATTTTGTTGAGTGTGACATATGAAAGAAAGCCTGGGATTGAGGAAGAATAATTGATCGACGATTACGCATTGAAGGGGAGGTTTCCAAGCCCACTGCCTAAGCCATTGCTTCCTTTTATTTTTGCAAAAAGGAGTTAATGGATAAAAATTAAAAGACAGAATATTAATTCCAAACACCTATCTCTCTATTTCTATTTGTATTTTGGTGTTTGGAAAAAGACAACCAGTTTCGTCAATGCGCCGTCTGGTGGGAACCCTCCACTTTAATCACCTATGTTGCTAATTAACATTATAAATTCTTACCCCTTTAATTTCTCTCTTTCTAACTACGATTTACATTTCCCAATCTTCCATTCTCACAAGCTTTTCCAAACGCCCCCTTTGATGGGTCATTATTGTTACAATGACATATTGGAGATTGGAGATGATGAGTTTTTACTAATCTTATCCTCTCACGAACGGGATTTTATCATGTTATCTTCTCGTACAAACAGTTCTTCTTTTTGAATTGAATGTGTTTAGAGTTGACCTAAAAAATTCTCAAATCAAATAGGAGCTAATTGAGAGTAGTTTTTACTGTCATAATCACTCGTGAAAGCAATGTTGCCATGTGAAGGAACTTTTATCATGTATTTGGGCCACTTGATGTGAGGTCTATTGAACAAATTTTATAACATATCCTTGCAAATAGAACCGTTATTATGGATAAGGCCGAGGCATCATTATAATCCGAATCCCTATACTGCTCTCTAAATTTTTATCCAAACTCAACTATCAAAGTAATTTTAAAAAATAACATGTTATAATTGTATGCATCGCTTACCATTTAATCCAATAAACTAATAGTTCGTATTAACATTTTGGGAGGAAAAGAAAAGGGTGGAAGGTAAGCTCCTCCTCAAATTATTCCATGGATAATGACAAATTTAATCCAAATATGTAGGGTGTTAGGGGCTGCCTATCATACACAAATATGTGTCCTCAAATATAATTCATGAAGGAATCTTTCTTGGTTTTGCTATGTCCACCTAATTAATTTGTTATTTTTTAACTCCAATTATTGATGGAACATTCTAATGCTCCCTTGTTAAGCCTATTAATATATACTTTAACTAATGTTAAAAAAGTTATAGATTTTATTATTATACTGATCTATGGAAAACTTTTTCTTCATTTATTATTGAATTGCTTCTTTTTGTTGTTGTTATGATTCCTATTCTCTTCTAGTCTTTTTGTCAACAACAATCAACTGGTTGACAAACAAAAAAAAAAAAAAAAGGGAGGAAATTAGAAAAACAACATTATATTAAATTTATTTTTGGCTTGCTCCTTATTAAACCAGCAATTGAAATATGTACTTTTAGTTTTGTTATTTTGTCCTCTAATAATCTTCAAGCTTTCGTTGTAAATTTTGCTTGCTGGTTCTTCTAGAAAATTCACCCTTTTTTTTCTTCTTTTCAAATTGTTGATATATGAATACGAATGCTTTCAATTTTTTTTTTCAATCTCGAATTGATATTGAATTTCCCCTTTATCTACTCACGCCAAGCCAAATCAAACTCTCAACCATTCCGAACAGATAAAGTTGTTCAAATGCATAGTTTCGCTTTCAATGAACAAAATCAATTAGGACAAATGTCACAAAAAAAATTAGCTTCAATTGACACACTAACCCTCCAAAACTATTTCAAAGTCAATGTATTATATACCAGACACATACATTAGAAAAAGGAAAAAGTTACGTGTAACAATGTAAAAGGGCAGTAATTAATTATCCAAAATTATCATCATATGCCTTTGAATATATTTTGTTGTGATGAGTGACACATGATTAAAATATTTATAAGGTAGAAGGAAATGATGAAAGTGGGCGTGGGTTTTAAATTGAAATTGGGTGCAGAAAGTCCAATCATCATTTCACAACCTCAACAGCTCCATCATATAATTGAAATTGAATTGATAAACAAAGTTATGGAGGGATTGAAGTTGAAGCTGAGCTGCAAAGTGACAATGAAATCAAGCTGTCAAAGCTATCTCTAATGGCTGCTTCCTCGGGTCAGACAGGCCAACCCTCCTCACTGCATCACGTGTCTTTCTTTCCCATCCCAAAATACCTTCAAATTTTCCGCTGCCTACTCAATTTCACCTATTTTGAAGGCAGTAGTGAAAATTAACTAACTTTTAAATGAACTCTTTCTGTTACTTTTACGAGTTTTATATGTCCATTTCAAGATTATCAAATTGGATGTAATAGGAAGGACTTTTGTCCACGTATTACAATCTTATCGAAGACATTTTTTATTTTAATGGAAATATCTTACCAATCTTATTAGAAGCAAATAGTATTTAAAAAAAGGAGGGAAATATCTAAGAGATGTCGTTCACAAGCGATTTCCAAATCAGAAAGAAAAGGGATTTTAAAAATGGGTTAAATTTGTTTGAAAAGGAAACCATATTTGAAGATTAATGTTAATTGGATTGAATGGTTGACCGGTTCAGGTGTAGTGAACCAAAAGTGCATATTGATAAGGCAAAGTTGCACACTTAAATATATATTATCTTGAAGACTAAGATTGAAAAAAAAAAAAAAAAAGACTCACTATTTCAGAATTAAAATGTTAATTTTTATCAGACGGCCGATTGAGGCAAACGGCGTCAGCGGCGCTACGGCCCATTTTCCATTTTAAATTATAGTTTTTTTCTCAATCAATTCTCCCCTTAAATTTTATCATGGTAACTGAAGATTATCGAGGGCATAATTAAAAGGAGGGAGGGGCAGTGGGGTTTAGAAAAAAAATGAGAGTATGTGACGGTGCCCAATGCATCAGCAGAGGGCTAAATAAAAAGGCCCCGCGGGAGCCACTCCATTGCTCCTAAGTGTATCTGAATCTGATGGCGAAGCTGGATGGAGCTTCATTTTCCTTCCCCATCTGTAAAGCTCTCCACTGCCTCTAAACAGTCGCCTCTCTTTTCCATATCTAAAGTTTGCTTTTCATTTTTCCCTTTTGATCTCCTTCCACTCCACACCCGTCTTTCACAACTCAGATGTCCCTTTCTTTTTAAAATCTACTTCGACTTCGAATCATTCCGCTCTTCCAGTTTCCAAGGAATCTACACTACTTCTCCTCGATTCTTTCATCTTCTTCTTCTTTTCTTTTCCTTTCCTTTGTTATAATCTGATCTATCATCAGATTTCATTTCTGGGTCTTCTTTTTTAAATGTTAAAATGGCGGTTTTGAATATGCTGTTTTCTGACTCGGTTTTTGCATACTAGTTTCGCTTCTGGTTGTTGAGAAGCAGAGACTAGTGTTCTGTTTCCAGTTGTTTCTGTTTTCCTTTTGAATTTGTAATACTTGAATCGAGGACCCCATGGCCGATCTGTCGCCAAAACCGGTGTTTAATGGTTTGACGTTAGAGACGGCAATCTCAGTTACAAAATCGATACTGCTGTTTGTTGGGCTTGTATCCACTGTAATTTTGTTCAAAGTGGCTATAATTCCAAAATTAGTGAGTCTTCTCATCACGACTCCTCCTCGCTTATGGGTCTCCTTCGGATTCTGGCTCTCTCCACCCTACGTCTTCTTCGTCTTCAATTTCATCATCGTCGCCGTCGCTGCCTCCTCCGCCTTCCGCCGCCAAAAAGACCCACCCGACGGTAATTACACCCCCATTTCTCATCCATCCACTCCCTATAAATCGATGCACGAGGACCAAAATTTTTCGATCACTGCTCGCTCCAGAGAAATCTGGAATAATGGGATCTTGCACGAGGACGATCAGAACGAACGTGGGAAAGAAGAAGAAGGGAAGCCGGTGAAATGGGATTTTTCGACCGGAAAAGTCGATGACCCGTTGGCGGAGAAGTTGTGCGCATATTCCGGCGAGAAGGTGGAGGAGGAGGAGGATGACGGCGAGTCGCTAGACGCGACGTGGAAGGCCATAATGGAAAGGCAAGGGAAGCAGACGGCGCAGCTGAAGAAGAGCCAGACATGGGACTCCCCACCACGTTTAATTAGAGCCGTGGCGGACGGCGGCGAGGAGGACGCCGCGGCGTGGGCCCGGAATGAGGTGAAAAAGTCGGAGATGTTCAAGCAAACACTGTCGTTCCGGAGAAGGATATCGATGAGTTCGGAGGAATTGAAGAGCCGGGCAGAGGCGTTCATAGAGATGGTAAACAGGAACATTCGCTTACAGAGGCAAGAATCAGAGCAACGCTTCCTGCAGGCACTTAAACGCAGCGTTTAGTACGCTAAATTACTCCTTTCCTTCCATAATAATCCAGTAATGCCTAAACCAAATTATATTTGGACTTTGGAGGTACATTTTATTTATTTTAAGCTTCTCTTTAATTTATCCGTATCCATGTCGCGTCGTGTGTTTGTTATGTCATTGTCATGTGTATACATTTTCTCTTCTCTTCTCTTCTGTTGTAAAATACAACCCTTTATTTCCTTGCCATTTCCATTGAACTACAACTGAATATCTTGCCCCATAAAGTATTACTTTCTAAAAGTTTTCTGACTACTAATTTGTTGAAATTTTCAATGTTCAAATATTTTTGTTAAAAAAAAAACTCCCTTTTTCAAACCTTTTCAATAAAAAAAAAAGTCTACACCATATTTGATTAATTTATTTATTTACAAAGGTATATAAGCAAGGGTATTAGATATGGGAATATGAGTAGGACTATATATAAAGACTGAATTTTGTATGTTATAAAGTCGTCGTTTTTTTTTTAACAAAAATTAATCTGGCAATTAGGAATCTTGCATAACTGTTGAAAATTAGGCATAATTTGGTCTTGTTGGGTTGGGGAGTTAGTTAAATGTAGTAATTATGTATAATAAGATGTTAAAAGGGTGGAGGTGATGAATTAAATAATGTAAATGGAATGGTGTGGAGTGTGGAGGGGGAATATCTTGTTGGGTATGGATTCCAAATGGTAGGCAGAGGGCAGCATGATTGCATGGCTTGTTCGGTGCACCCATTGACCACCAGGACGACACGCACACAGCCACATGCTTTAAGTATGACTAATAATTCATCCTTTGAATTGCTCCAATGCTTTCCATGAAATTGGAAGGTGAGGGCTGATTGGGATATATCCCTTCCACTTCCGAAATGAGCTAATTATCAACATTTTGTGGTTGCTTGAGTATTCATTACAATGAACTAAAACCCTTCTTCCTCAATTCTATAATTAGCCATCTTTCTCAAAACTGCATTTTCTTTGAGCAGCTTTCTCCAACTTTCTTTACCTCACTTCAGCTGCAACTGCGAAACGCATATCTAACTCTTTACCAAAGATCATTATCATCATTAATACTAATTTTGCATTTAACAAAGAATCCTACTCGAGAAATCTAGAATCAGTCCCTAACACACAGAGATTCAAAATGATATCAGCAACAAAAATCACTCATCTCGTGTGAGACTTGAGAGGCTAAAGCAAAAAGGGAAGAAAGTGTTATCTATCTAATATCTATCGACCTACCGATGAGGATGAGCACAGCAAAAGTTACGGAGGAATACAAACCGGCAACAAGCCTCCAAAATTCACAAACAAATTTTCCTGCGCGCGTATATAGAAGAGCAATCATGGCATTGCATTGTCAAAGTATGAAATGGGATCTTACTTGGTGGAGATCATAAGCAGAATTAGTTTCAGAAACAAAGCCTATCGAATCAAGGGATGAAAGCAGGGACGAGTTGCCAGCGTGCTGAACAACACCCACCACCACCACTTCAGTGGACCACCTTTCATCAGCTCACCCACCCCGGAGTCGGAACAAATGCAAGGTGATCGGGCCGCCGGAGTTTCCGGCAACGGTGGCGGATCGAAGGCTGGAGGAGACGGTGGGGATGGAGCAGATGGATGCTGCGGTGGAGGAGAAGGAGAAGGGGGGCGTGGTCTACGGCGGTCTTCTTGGTTGCCAGCGCCGTCGTCCGTTGAATTGCTGAGGCGTTGGAGCACTTGGACTCGGAGCTTAAGACCCATGAGGCAGTGTTGAAAGCGACCGCAAATGAAGTAGCGAGTGCCTGGTTGTTTCAGGTGGATTGCTGTCTCTCCATCACTGTGGGTGCTGATTGGGTTCACGGTGTGGCAATTCGAGAAGTCTGTTCGGTTCACTTCCAGCACGTCGTGAACTGGCAAATAGTTGAACACTGTACCACACCAATCAAACAAAAAGAATCTGCTCCACATCAAACTCCAAACTCTGTTTGTCTAAATCAAAACAACAAACAGATTCTACACAATTCCAGTACTGTTTAATACTGACCAACACTAGTCAGTAATATGAACGCAATTAAGGCTGCAATCCTACCTCCCCCTTCTTTTTCCTTATTATACAAATAACACACAATTGATTCAAGAAACAGAGTCGTTCAGTTACGGTAACCGGAAGAGACAATCGAATAAATATGGTTCCAAACACTAACGAGTGATTGTATTTGGACATATACATGTGGCATGTCATAGAAAAAGAACTAGAATGAGGCAGCTAAATAATCATAAGAATTCAACTCAGTTATAAGTTATATAATACAAGAACAGGAGTTCAAGAAGACATCGTCCTGTGTCAGCACAATCACTAGTTGGAGGAAGGTATATAATTCAAGAAAAAAAGGCATGCAAATCAAGATTCAAACAAGCAATTGGAAAAGTAAGCATTCGTTGTAGAAACTATATAATTCAAAATGGTAATCGAAGAGAAGTAAGTAAAGATCAAACAGTACGATTTCCCGGGGCAGGGGAAAAACAGAGGAGGAATGAACGAACCGAGATAGTCACCGACTTGGAACGTGGTGGCCGCAGACCAATCCTGGATGTTGGAACTGAGATCCCAACCCGAAGCTCCACCAACGGAGTGGTTGGTCGCAGTGACGCAGCGAAAGAAAATTGCCGTAATTACCATCACAATTATTACCCTCACTGCCCCACCCGGTCTCAGTGCCTCCATTTTAGTCCAAATCTCTATACACGCAGAAGATCAACAAAGAAAAAGTTAAGTACTAGAACTGAAGAATCTATCAAGAAAAATAGAAAATAAATCCTCAGGAATCGTGACGGTTATGCAAGAATCGACGATGGCAATGGGCAACAAATCTAGATCATACCAAGAAATGCTTCTTCAGTCGGTCCAGAGCTGCTCCCGGTCCCGGACGGCGTTTCTATAGTAACAAGAAGAAGATGAGGACGGAGCGAGAGCGCAGCGGAGAGTTGTGAAGGTTCCACTTCTACATCACCTCCTCTTTCCCGCCTTTTATATAACCGATTACAGTTACTGAAATTTGGTGCGTCGAGGGATTTCGCTGTTGTCATTTTTTAGTTCTACTTTCACTAGAATAATATTTACCTTTTTTCCTTTTTTGGCATACCAAAATTACTGTTAAATAATGATTAGCATAATTAGATCAACTTGGCTCGACTTAAAAAGTTTGTCAAATCAATTAATAGAATAATTTGACCAACCAAAGCATCCTTCTCAAGCTGATCCAACTATCAAAAGTGGAGTGTTTCTTGTTGAAAATGAAAAGTTAAGAGCAATATCATATCAATCTTTTGAGGACTTGAACTCATGCTTCCATTTTGTCGCTTTAAACTTATAATCCTGTTTATATGTTTGCAATTTCAAGCAATCAAAATCGCTGGATTGATTATATTAAAACATATGAATTTGGCTATACACAAGTGCTTCTCACGCCTGCCCGATGCCTACGACCATGAAACATTGTCGAATTTGTAAATGTCAAGGCCATTGTGTCCTGTAAAGTATGACACTTTCATGAGTGGTAATGGCATTTCATTTACGTTTTCATACTTGCCAGTTCTGTAGAATTATCAGTTACCACACTAAGAAAATAGCGATAAACGCTATTCTTTCTGGTTTTAACCAACTTAAATAAATAAACTCACAGACATGGAATTACTTCAACAGTAGGTAAAATTTGACTATCAAGTACAACAAGTTCTTAATTTAACATTTTTTGAAACGCAAAGGAATCTTAAGAAGACATTAAGTAACAAAATGCTGAGTAAAACATCAAAAATAAGGCATTCTAAGTAGCCCTTGGAGTGGCCCACTCAACTCTAAGGATGAGATTATCATAGCCATATCCATTCAGTTTGTTGATTGCTCTTTGGGCATCCTCACGGTTCACAAAGTTCACGAAACCAAATCCTCTGCTCATACCAGTCTTTTGATCAACTGCAACGTAAACTCGGCTAACAGCACCAAAAGGTCGGAAAAGCTCGAGCAGGTCAGGCTCTCTTGTGTCCTCTGAAAGGTTGGTGACACGAACAGAGTTTTCATCGTTCCTACGTCTCATATCAGTTCCAGTCCTGTCTGCACCTGCTCTCATACCTGGAGGAACATATGTTCCCTTTGTTGCGCCAGGAGCAGCTGCTGCAGCCTCTGGTGCGGCAGTCTTATCCAATCCCTCGGCTTGTGATGCCAAATCTTTGTAAGGGCACCTTGAGGTCCAGTGGTCACCCTTTTTGCCACAAGTCCGACAGACCATAAGAACAGCACCACCTTTTCCAAGTTGAGCTAAAGGGTCTCCTGCAACCTTTGGCTCTTCTGGTTTGCTACCTGTAATCATTTTCATTCCTCAGAAGAAAACTAATCGGAATAAGGCAAAATAAATAAATAAAACACCTAATTTTGCCTGTAAAGGATTAATATGAGAAGGATACTAAAAGGGTACAGACATACATACAATGCCTATGAGAAGTGCAGAGGCAAATTCACAACACTAAGAAGTCAAAAGAAGCGCACAGGAATGTTTCAAAGATGTCATATCTCCTTTACACAGAGGATATTATTTGGTAATTTTCTGATAAAAACATTATAATCGATCATTTGAAATATTCAGTTCAAACATAACCCTGCAAGTCCTAAGAGGACGCCAACCAAGAGCACCATTCTGCAAATTCTGGGTCACTAATCTCTCCTTGTCTTAAATACAAACGAGATACGTTCTCAACCTCTCAATAATCAAGCACCACAGTTTTTCAAAGCTCATTCACCATCGTAACCATAAAGGAACCTCTTTTCTGCAGATGTGGGAAATTTTTCGATGCTCTCCCACATAGGAGGAAATGGCATATTCAGAAACTTGATTATAAGCAACTATATGTTGTTACATAAATCAAATGAAATCAATTCCAAAATCCACAAACGACAATAAGCAAAAAATTCTAGATAAATCGAAAACGAACCAGGAGCACGAGGGCGTTCCAGGAGGATCTCCTCAGTGGAGACCATAGTGAGGCGACTGCCGACGTCTTCGTGCACAGCGTCACCGAACTTTGCCCAAGATCGGCGCTCTACGGCATGTTTACTGAGGCGAGCATGGGCGAGCTTGCGAGTACGCGTGGTGGTCGTGATCTTGACCTTATTACCATCTTCGTTAAACTGATATTCGATAATCTTCTTGAGGCCGTTCTCGTCTGGCCCGATAATTTTCTTGGGTGGTAGAAGAAAATCCAGATCCCCGTCGTCATCATCTAGCTCTCCCCACCGCAATTTGGATCGACTCGCTGTCTGAGCCATTGGGAAGGATTGAAAGGCAAAGGCTCGCGGAAGGAGATTGCCGAATCTGCGCTAGGGCAAGCTGGATTAAAGGGGAAATCCCAAATAAGAAAAAACATATATGCCTGATTTATGAATAATGGAATAATCGTGGAAACGAAAAATCTCCTAGTTTTTCTAAATTGTATTTTTTCCTTAAAAAAAAAAAAAAACCTCTGATTTTTTAAAGTTTAAATGCTACCCTCCCTAAAAAATTTCACATTTAATATGACTGGTTGTGAATTCGTTATTATTTCTATCCGTTGAATTTTTTTTTACTATCGTTAAATTTCATATTTGTAGTACTACATAATTGTGAAACAAGTCAGAATTAGTTACCACGTCTTTATAATTTTGTAGCATCAATTTTTCGTTCAAAATATTTATAAATATTTACTTAGACTATTTTTTAAACTTGTATGAAATATATTGAAGCGTATGAAATAATATGAAAATATATTTTTTTAAGCCTATTGCAAAGTCCATGGTTTTCTTTTCTTTTTTTTTTTTTAGCATAGAGACTAAATTTATTGGACCTTCTAAAGTCATTTTTAATTTTATGAAATTTACCTTTAATGCACTAAAACCCTTCGATTAGTGTCATGTTAATATGAGTTTAGCTCTGTGATAATTGACACCAATATGAACATAATTCTACTATCTATTTCCCATAAAAAAAATTGTATGTATTTTACTAAAAAAACATTGTAATTTAAAAGTGTAAAATGCATGCTTGAAATAATTGTAATTTATAACGAAATGGTTCGGAAAATTTTCAGGATTGACCTAGATATTTGTGCTTTAGAAAAAATTTGTTTTCGTAACATTTTGCTCATGTCACCATGTTAGATTATGCCCCCGTCATCCACCCACTTTCTTTTGAAGGTAGGATCCTTGGCAGTATTAACAATGGAAATGAAATAAAAATATAATTTAATATTTAAATTGTTGAAGTTAAAAATTTATGGTTTAAATCTAGCACATTGTTACTATATTTTTTTTTTGTTGGGAGTGGATGTAATTTGTAAAGGTGAATGGGTACTCGTTTTAGCAGTGGGGAGAGGGACGTAACGACAAAAAGCAGGAGAACTAGAATTTTCGAGGAAAAGGGAAAAAAAAAAAGCATCTAAAAAAGAAAAGAGGTTAGATGCATTTGTGCTAAGCTAAGCAGGAATCAGGAGTCAGGACAGGCAGTGGCCACATACACTTGGACTCTCGAGTGAGTATCTGCCAAAGTAAAAACATCAAAATTGGAGGGAGGGATCCGAGAGACAGAGTTGCTCGTTTTCGAGTTCCGATCTCAACATTGAAGTTAGCGAGGACGAGGAGCAGTTGTACGTCAATGGAGCCATTGATCTCTTCCTCCCAGGAAATGAAGAGGGATGTGAAGGAGGAGGAGAAGAAGAAGAAGAAAAAGGGAGCGTTGGGTTGGATTGAATGGTTCAGAGGTTGGATGTACGTCATACATGAGATGCTATTTCAGAGAATCATGGCCAGCCATCTGCAGAATCCTATGCCTCTGCCTCCCGTTAACGACCTTACCTGCATTGTCACCGGATCCACCAGCGGTATTGGCAGCGAGATTGCCAGGTTTTTCATCTCTCTCACTTCCTCTCCTTGCTTCACAGACCTCTCTATGCAGGCAAATTCAATTTAGTAGAATGAGTTCCTTCTTTCTGTTCTCGCTCAGTAGACATGAAAATTAAGAATTTTGTATAGCACGTTCTAAATGGTCTTCACCAAATTCGCGTATGATTATTTTGCGGTTTGGTTGGAAATGGTTTCGGGTTTCTCCGTTTATTTATCTATTTTGGTGGAGCTGGGGGATGTTGCAGTTCCTTACTTAATTTTCTACATTGCCAAAGCCTGTCACTGTTGTAATTTGAACCACGTCTGCTTTCTTCTATTACTTTTATGTGTATCAAATTTATTCACATTGTCTCATAAAACATCCAAAACGAATGGCAAAATGAATAGAAAAAAGCAAAAGAAAAGGAAAAAAAAAACTGTCCACCAAGTACTAACTAGTCGCTCTCGCGGTCTTTTAAATTTATTTATAGCTCGAGTAATTATTTTGTTCCTTTTCTTTTTAATTTTCGATGGAGCAGGCAACTGGCAGAATCAGGGGCACATGTTGTCATGGCAGTGAGGAACCCAAAGGCTGCGCTCGACTTGATCCAGAAGTGGCAAAATGAATGGTCTGGCAAGGGCCTTCCTCTCAATATTGAGGTGTCTAAACTCGACAGTCCTATAATTTCTTTTAGAAGAGCACTCGTATTTAAACTCTGTAGCTTTGCATCAAAAGAACTCCGAACTTCAAATAATATTCTACAATTTTTTTAATAAGAAATAGTAGATATGCATGGTTAATTAGTGATATACATTCTCATTTTTCTAGGTAATGGAACTTGATCTTCTATCTCTAGATTCTGTTGCAAGATTTGCTGAAGATTATAATGCCCGTATGGGACCTTTACACGTTCTTATCAATAACGCAGGAATATTTTCCATCGGAGGTTAGTTTTTTTACTCATTTGTCATCTTATATTCCATTTCCTTTGCCACTTCTGAATCAACCAAGTTATTTACAAACGTCAGTTACCTATTGACTTGTTTCTTTCTCCCTTTTTTCTTTTGGGTAATAGTATATGTTTGGTATTTTATATTTTTAGAATACAGTACATTTCTTGGAAGTTTCTTGTGAATCTGAGATTGCTTACTTGATATGCATCATTCACCTTGCTCATTGATTACTGTTCTGATAGATCCCACGGTCATGAGGGTTTACAGATGTAAGTGAGGGAAGAATGTAGTGCCTACGTAATATGTAATAGATTTATATTTTATGTGGGGCCCGGACATATGAGTTAGTTTTGAGAGGATGTATATAGAGGAAGATAGAATCTGGGGGTTCGCTCTGAGTAGTTAGTTATCTTGTTCCCTGTGTGAGGCAAGGGGGAGAGGTAGGGAGCTCTAATCTACCTTAGCTGGCAGTGTACCTTCCGATGCATAAATAAACTGGTTTCTATCGTGTTTCTATACTAGTTTCCAGCTTTTTTCACCTCGTTTCTGTTAAAAACATTTATGCTGACTATTCCTAGCAGAACAAATGCTTCTTACGGTCCTATGCTTGTCAATAACTTAACTGCTTTAAAGAAAAAGAATCTGAATATTGACAAGCATATTACATTCTTTTGATTATAATAATATTTATAGTTTGGTAAAAAGTATGTGCCAATGTCTTATTTTAATTTGAGTTTGTTCTCTCTAGAGCCACAAAAATTTTCTAAAGACGGTTATGAAGAGCACATGCAAGTGAATCATTTGGGGCCTGCATTGCTTTCAGTATTACTCTTGCCATCCCTTATCAGAGGTTCCCCAAGCCGCATAATTAATGTGAACTCTGTTGTAAGTTTCATGGGCACTGTACAAAAGCATAGAACATATGTTTTCTGCATCACATTATCCATCAATGCATGTGCATATATAGAAAATGGTAATCTGTTTCAAGCTTTATCTGTACACATTGTGTTTAGCTCATAGATTTTATAATACTGATTTTATCTTTGCTCTTTTTTCATTCAAAGGAAGACAAGTGAGCAAACACCTTTTTGAGTATTGTGCGATGAAAGTTGATAGCCTTTCAATATCACAACTAAATGCATATATTGCCTATGTGTGATAACAATTTTTTTTTTTTGGAACGATAAAATAAAGATAAAGCCTGAGAAAAGATTGGAATGATTTAACTTCCTTGGGTCCAATTGTAACTTGGAAGCAGTTTTTCTTCACTATTTGTTACTAGAGATCATGGTGGCACAGATAGTTTGTATTTGATCATTTCTTGCTTGTTCCTGTCATGATAATTATGATTTCATGCTTAATATGTAGATGCATTATATTGGTTTTGTTGACACGGAAGACATGAACCTTGTTTCAAGGAAAAGGAAATACACAAGCTTAGTTGGATATGCGAGCAGTAAGCTGGCACAGGTATAGTTACTTGTCAATTACTCATTTCCTTCCCACAACTGTAGCCCTTCTTACGTTTGATGACCTGGAGGCTTTCCTTAAATAATTATATTTCAGTTTTTCTTAATTTGTTATTATTTTGAATTCAATTATGGTATTCCACGTTTCTTATTTCTTGGCTAATTTAATCATTTAATAGCATACAAAAGAGTGGTTTTTTTTTTTTTTKTTGTTGTTGTCGTCGTCGTTGTTCCCCCTTTTAAAGTGTCAATACTTGAGGCACTTCTGTGTAGGAGCATGTATTCGTTAAAATCTTTTTGACTATCTCAACAAATCAAGTATGCTTTTGTAACCTTGAAATTTCTTTGCTCTTCTATAAAAAAATATGCCGTGTTCCTAGCATCTATATGATTTTTGTTTCACTGTTTACTATTTAGCTTGATATCTTCTTACATCCTTTTTGACTCTTTTGTTTTGTACTCTTTAAGCAAGGAGTCTAGACTCTAGAGCTAGCTAATCATATTAAATGAACTTTATTAATATCCCCATTTTATTTATTTGTTTTTGGTAATAGTTGATTGACCAATCTGTTGATTCTTAGATGCTGTATTTACCGTGCATTGATATCACACTTTGATTTTCTGGTTAGATCTTTAACTACTGGCTTGTAGAAGCTGTTTATAGACTGGTCCTGGGTGCCAACACTGTAACTTGGTCTGATGGTTTCTGGATTGCAGGTTATGTTTAGCAGTGTTCTTCATAAGCGGCTACCTGCTGAATCTGGCATCAATGTAGTGTGTGTATCACCTGGGATTGTTCACACAAATGTGGTAAGTTTTTACTCAAGAAAGTCTCATTTTTTGATAGCAGAAACAAGATCTAGAATATATATCTTCTACTGTATTTTTTGTCGTCTTGTACGTTCCCTTGGTATTATATGAGATTGGAGTATTTGCATTTGTATTATCCCATCATTATTGTTTCAGAAGTGGTAATGATACTTAGCTATTTGATAGCTAAAATTGTGCACGTTACTAAATATTCAGATGATATCTTAATAAGTGGATTAAGTTTCTATTCAAATTCTCAGCAGCTTCTAAAACTCACCAGAAGATGTTACTGAAATGTTCTTTATCTGTGTATGGTAATTCACTCTGAGAGCTGTAACTTAAGCCACTATTAATTTCAGCACATCTGTAATTGTGTTTAGCTCGCACTTCATTACATAGCATAGTATAAATTACATTATTATAGCCAAGCCTTATGTCGATGGTGTCTGCTTCAAAACTCACATTCATGTTACGGCCTATTGTCTGGAATATATATTTTCTGGATCCTATACCTTATTGTAATATAATTAACAATTGACATATGCTGAGTGGTTTCACTATCAGTTAGGTGGGAGTAGAATTATATATTTGAATGTAGTCAATATGAATTATAATTGCCACTATTTGCATCAAGTTCAATTTTGTATTTCAATGCAGGCAAGGGATCTTTCGAAATTTGTTCAAGCTGGTTATCGCCTAATCCCTTATTTTATCTTTACTCCTCAAGAAGGTAAGTCGTTTCAAGTGAGGACATTTTTTGTTCTCTCAAGTAAATGAGATAATTGTCAATCTTTATTGAGGTATTAGTATCTGCTGCTCAACACGTGGGTTAACCATTTTATTATTTAGTGTGTACCATCCATATGTATGTTTCTCTTGCTGCCTGTAAGCCACATAGAGGCGTTCTTGATATTTTATTTGTTCTTTGTTTTTAGCCTTTTCAATTTTATCTTAAAATGAAATGAAGTAGCTACATTTGATAACCGCTCCTTATTTCACATTTCCGCAGTTTTTTGTGGTTGAGATATGTCCCATCAAAAAGGAATCACGTTAGAAAATACACGAGATTCTCCCAATATTAAAAGTCAAAGGACGTCATATAAAATAGCTCTTCAATTGACTTTTGTAAACAAGATAGTAATTACAGAAACCATTAGTTAAAGAAATTCCATCTAGAAGCGGGAGAACAAACTAGTGGTAGGATTTCTAGAACATCTCACTCTTTTAGGAGTGCTTGAGGAACCTTCCTGCTTAATATATCGTAAATCTAAAAATGAAAAGAAAAATCTTGCTTGATGACCAATTATGTTGCTTGGTTCTTTAACCTTTAGAAAGAAAGCTTCACTTTTATTCCTAATGTTGCCAGGACCCAGGCTGCCCTCCTCCAAAGGTAGAACCACCTTATTCTAATCCACAAGATGTTAGCTCTAAAATAGGTTTCTATTTTTATTCAAGGAAATACAAAAAACTGGGGGTGAATAGAGAGTGCATCCTAGCTGTAATGGATTGGAGTTTCTAATTAACTTACGCCTGTCTTTCCCTTTGCACAACTCTACTCATATTCCCACCAGATGCTCTCTTCCTCTCACCCACCTGCCCGTAACTAAAAGGACAGATTATGAACATAAATTGGAAGAGTGCTGACATCAGCAATCATCCTCCTAATTAACTAACCCCCCTAACTGTGACATTGCCTTGCCCCTGCATCTGCAGTTCTTTGTATTTTTTATTTATTTATGTTTTTGATGAGAAGCTGAGCTTTCTTTAAGTAAAAAATGAAAGGATATACAAAGGGGAATGGGCATTAAAAAAACAAGCCCAACAAACGGGGAACCCCTACAAGAAGAACCCCAGTCCAAAAGGATGAAACCCAACTGGGGAGAAGGAATTCTCAAGTTTGGTCTCCTAGTCTATGAGAGGGTTTTTCTAGTAAAGGTTTTTTTTTACCATATCTTTGAGTGTGCTTCTCCTGGACGCTCCTAAAAGTGAAAATTTCGAAGAAGATCAGGTTCTTTGTTTGGCTGGTTTTACATGGGAAAGTTAAGACACTCTTCCCTCTTTCTTGGTGTACCCTTCACGAACATGCATATGAGGACATCAACATATTCTTTGGATTGCTTAGTCGTTATGGGAGCGGTTTTTGAAAACTTTTGGAGTTTTTGGGGTGAGAAATAGAGATTGCAGAGTGATGGTGGAGGAGGTTTTGATGTATCCCCCTTTTTGGGTTCGGGGCAAAATTCTTTGGGCATGCATATTTTTTGCCAACCCAAAAGCTTAAGTTAATGGGTTGGGTAAATTTAATTCATTTATATGGATTCTAACGTGGGGTATTTAGATTGAATAGAAAAAATAGAGTTTTCAGTGGGGTTAGATGGGTTAGGGGAGGCCCTCTAGGAGCTTATTAGATTTAATACTTCCATGTGGGACTTAATTATTAGTTTGCTGTTATTCTTGTGGATTGGAGTCCCTTTTTGCAGGCTTGGCTTCTTTTTTGTTGGGATATATATATATTTTTTTTTGGTATATCATATTCTTTCATTTGTCTTCATGAAAGCTTGGTTTCTTTAAAAAGAAAAATATATATGGTAATTACAAAAACCTTAGAAACCGACACGCACAAGGGAGGTATATAAATCTAGCAAGGTCTCAAATATCCTTTGAAGACCAATCCACCTGTCTAAAAATTCTACTATTCCTCTTAATGCAAATACTCCACAAAGAGGTATTTTTAAACTTGATCACGGCAGCCTGTCACAAAGATGGTCCCTCCTTTTTGTACTATCATATTCTGGAAAACGTTTCCCATAGATTTTCAAATTCTTTTGTGTGAATATGGGAATGTTATTTTTCCCTTTTTTTAATGAGAAAATTTTCATTGATATGGAAATCTTGAAGACAGAGAGATGATGAGTTGATAAATAGATAAGATAGCTTGGGCTGGAGTCTATATGTTTTTAATACTCTCGAGAAAAGGGTTCTAAAACTCTCTACCTTTCGAGCTTATCAGTGATAGAAAATGTAAGATTATGCCATTTATTTTGTTTCGATTGTTAAAGAAAATCGTATGAAGATACTTTTATGCTAACATACATAGGTTTTGATGCATGTTTAATGTTTTATCTCCCGTTTCTCATGATTCATCTTGGCATTTAAATTCAAATACACATCACTAGTTCACCAATTGCAGGTTCTAGAAGTACTCTCTTTGCTGCGACAGATCCTCAAGTTCCAGAGTACTGTGAACTACTAAAAACAGATAACTGGCCTGTGTGTGCATTTCTTTCTCAAGAGTGCCGTCCAACAAATCCTTCAGAAGAGGCACACAACGTTGAGACTTGTTACAAAGTCTGGGAGAAAACATTGGAGATGGTGGGCTTGCCTTCGGATGTGGTAGAGAGGCTATTAGAAGGGGGACAAGTTGCTTGTCGCTACGGAGCTGAGTCGGCTGACTAATGGTAATTCGTTTTCGGCTTCAACGAATTTAATCTCATGACAAATTTCCATCATACATAACAACAAACAGAAACGAAGATTTTGTTGTATTATTCATATATCTATCACTTTCCATGAGTTCTGTAGAAGTTCAATTCTCATTAACAGACACAGACAGCAATACTTGTATATTGCTGCGCTTTTGTGCACGCCATGGTCATATTAACCACACAGGACTAGTATTTGGGTGCACCCTATAAAACTGTTACAGGGGCATTTATCCAATATATAATATAATACTGCCCATTTTATGTTTTGACAGCTATGATCGTCTGCGTCTCTTCCTTTCTCAGAAGATTAGCTAAAATGCATAGGAAGGAAGGGTTATGTGTTAATCTCAACTTTTGCTTAACTTTTATAATCCTTCTTTATTTGTTTAAAGTCGTGAGAATAATAAAGTACAATTGTACCATCATTTAAACGTTGTAGAATCAGATAATTGTTCCGTGAGATTAATAGTGGTGCATGCAAGTTGGTTCAGATACTCACAGATTTCAAAAAAATAAAAAGAAAAATCGTACTACCATTAATATTCACATCGGTTCTATATTCAATAATCGGTTCTATATTCAATAATCTTTTATTTTAGTGGAAGCACTACTTACCATAATAGTATTTTTTTTAACTGAAAATTGCCTTATCTAAAATAAAGTAGGAATAGTGGCATGATTACACTATAATTAAGTTATATTTAAATAGGTGTATAAACCTTGTTAAACAACAACTTACCTAGTGTAACCATGGAAAAGGAATGGGAAAAGCACGTAATGGTGGTGGCAGTTACCTTCCGATTTTGTTTTGTCCTTTTATTTTATTTTAACGCATTTTTTACAGGTCAGCAGCCACGAACACATGTGTCCACGTAAGTAACTCCTTAGTTGCTAGTCATATTTCAGACCCTCCATAAAATATCTTTAAAATTATTTTGAAACAATATGAAAAAGTGAACGTAAAATTGAAAGTTTTAAAAGGTATATTCGAATACAGATTATACTTAGATTAAATCGATTAAATTTAAAAATAAATCTAAAATTTGCACCACATGGCAGTTTAATTTTTCTTTTTCTCCTTTTGAGTTATACTTCTAGACCACATGGCATGCTTTCTAATATTATATACAATAATAGTTATAGCATAAAGTTTTAAATAATGATTTTATACATTTTAAAAGAATGGGAAGAAATGTCAGTTTATAAAAATATAGATTTAAAACATTTAAAACGCATACGTTATTGGAAAATGTCGATAAAGTCGAAGGCATTGGGAAAAAGAGAACTACTTTATTATGTGAACTGTGAAGTATCGTTCAAACGGAAGCAACCTGATCCCTAGAATCTCTCTCTCTCTCTCGATCGGTTCAATTTCTCGTTAAATGCGCAGTCTCTTCAAAATTTGAACACTTATCTCCTCAGCCTTTCTATCAAAACCTTGAAGATCCCAATCTCGCTGTAATCGGTAGCTCGCCGCTCTTCTTGGCCTGATTCAGAAGCGGTGCAATTAGAGGTAATTTCCACGCTATCTTCTCTAGTACTCTACTCGATTTCTTTTGAATCGTCTGCTACTATTTGAATTTGTTTCACTGTTAGACTCCTATTCTGTTTGCCGTCCGCTGATGTGAACTCTGTTTTCTTGAGTGTGCCTCATGCTGTGAATGCTTTTCATTTTGTGAAGTTCTTTTTGCAATGCAATTTCAAGTTTATACAAGTTCTGTTCTGTATAGTGCACTAGTGCCAGGTGTTTTGCATTACCTCCGGAAAACGATGATGGCAGTTCCTAAAATCGGAACGTCATCTCTTCCTGATCTCTCTCTCGTTCTCCGTTTTTCTTTCCTTCTATTTTCCTCTCCGCCAAACAATCAAAAGAAACTCCTCCTATCTTCTGTTTCACCGCTTGAATCGTAGCTGGTACGGACCAAATCGCCGGAATGTAATCCCCATGTTTTACCCCTCAGTGTAATTTTGCACCAATTGGCTTGAGTGCCTAAGGGCTAAGAATAAGATCGGAGTAAAAGATACGTGGAAGTATTATAAAATGAATCTGGGGATTTGAGTAATACGGTTTCAGCAGCTTCTGGTACCATGAATGTTGAGACAGACTGTGTGATTTGATTTGCACTTGTTCTTTTACACTTAAAATCTTCGAGATCTGCGCTATTTTTTAAAGAAAAAATGTTGTGAATTATCTTTCAATTTGGTGCCCATGATCTGCTGTTATTCTTTTTCTATTCTAAACGCAGGTTAGGTTTTTGTACGGCCTGCTGCTTTTATGGCGTTGGATTTTATTGGATATTGAGCTGCCTACTTGCCTGCAATCCCCAATGACCTTATGGGCCCTGCCCTTTTAATTGGAACTTACCATCATTACTCCTGGCACTCTGTACAATTACAACATAAATTATCTATGTCCACCAATTCATTGAAATATTAAATTTGTAATTGCAAAATTTGTTTTTTTTGGACATTGAAGTAATTGCAAAATTAATTCTGCAAAAGAGTCGGAAATATATTTAAGGCCCGTGTGCTTATTAGGAATTGAAATGATAAAGAATGAAATCAAGAAATTTATTATTATTTTTTTTAAGTTGTCGTAGATGTTTGTACATATATGATAATGATTTAGAAGGGCATCCGATGAATACCTAAAAACAAATATGCTGTGCTTGTGCTTTGTGTGTTTAAATTGCGTGTTGCTTATCTGTGTCCTTAATTTTGAATTAATGTTGGCTAAATGTGAAAGAGTATATTGTTGCTCGTTTTATCGTTCTGAAAAGTACTCGTTTTGTATATATTTACTTGTCGGTTGGTTTAAACAGGGTACAGAAACCGTGTTGTCAGCTGCCGTGTTCTTATGGTTGATGCAGTTTGACCGAGGAGAACATTTGAGATAGGATGAGTGGGTTGCATTGTGTTGCCAAAGCTAACGCTCAGATGGCGGTGGTGACCCCGGATGAAGAAGAGGTTTCGACCAATCGAACACCTTCATCTCCCTCTTGTGAGAGCTTCAGCAGCAACAGAAACAGTCTAACACTCACCACCAAGCCTTCTTCATGGGTAACCTCCACTTTTGCAGGTAACCATAACTGTTGAATCACCTCTTTTACTGTACTTGCAATTTACTTTTCCTGTCTCATTCGTTTTCCACCTCATTTGTCTCAAAGTTTTCTATGGTTCGGGGAAAAACCGACCACAATATTAATGACCGGGAAGGTGTGGTTGGGTGGGGAATAAGCTCAAAGCTGTTGATTACCTGTTCTTGTGTGTGTGCTTTGTTGAGATGCGTCTTTAAAATAAATTACGTTGCCATGTTCGATTTTGAAAGAGTATATTGTTGTTCTGAGTGTGTCACAGCTCACAGTCCAGGTTCGATTTTGAGCTCCCCAGTCCCCATGGTAGTTTGTTCCCTTTTTGTTTTAAAATTTGAAACTCCGAACGTGTGAGAAGAGAAGCCTCTGTACCAAACCACCTTTCTTGTGGGAGTGTATATATGAGCCTTTTCTTGGTATTCGTAACAGCGACCTTTCTGTTCTTTCGTCCCTGTCCGATGCGCAGTCCTCAGAAGCTTTCCTGTAAAGAGCATCTTATCACTTGAATGATTGATGCAAACCCGTGACAGCTTCGAACTTTGTGAACCTATAGCCATTTCTTTCCATCTGGTAGATTTTGCCATTTTAATCTTTTAGGAATTCAAATTATTTTGAATGCTTTCAATTTTATAATATTTTTAATTGAAACGTGAGGTTCCATTCAAAATAATTTCTGTAGGATTTGAATTTTGAGTTGGTAATTTATGATATGATAGAGATTGTATTTATGGATGGGTCATTTTCCTGGATAACAATATAATGCCAAAGAACCGTCTTGGGTGGGAACCATGCCCTTCTGCCCCACGATTTGACAGGAATTCAAAAATTTTAAGTTAGAATTTGTCGCGAGACTCAGTTGCCATCCTCGTGAATATTTCTTCCTATGTCCTCTAAATATCTAAAGCGTATTGACGCAACATTTTTCTATTTTGAAGAAAATGATGTGGCAATTCAAAAGAAAATTGGACCAAGGCGTTATAAACCTTTTAATATAATAATTATAGCCAACATCACTGAAAGATGAAATGTCACATCAATTGATTTTGGAATATTTAATGTCATTTTATAGCATTTCCGTTGAAGAATTTGAAATTATAGTTGATTTAGAATGTTTTCATGTCCGTTTCCCATAACTCCCGTCATGGATTTTACTTTCCTTCTCCAACCCTTTCCACGTGAAAACTGTTGTAGCTCCTTGGTTGGGTCGGCTGTATTCTCATTCGTAAGCAGATAAATAGAACTTAATTATTTTGAAACTTGTGAATTGGACTGGCAACTCAATTTTCAAGTGATATCACTGTTTTACTAATTTTATTCTTAAATAGAATTTGGAATCTCTGTGGCCCCTTAGAAGTTGAGCATGTTTATACATATTTCTGTATTAAATTAGTAAATGCATTCACCTTTATTCTGGGTAGTGATTACATTCATAATAAAAAGTTACAATGGAAGAACATATATTGGCATGGAGTTTTATACGGTGACAGGCTTATCTTCCATTATTGGATTAAGGATATTTTCTAATAACAAATAGAAAATAGATGTAGGCTCCATTACATCTGACATCCATTAGTCTCTCAAACAAACAAAGTCTTCTATGTCAAATCAACTAGAATTAGTCATTTATAAGGAGTTTTCCTTTGGGGGGTGCAAGACTCATGATTGGAAAACATGATGTATTCATCTTTTTTTTTTTGGGGGGGCTTTACGTTGTATTGAATGATAACGTGCTATGACAGATATGGAGCAAAGGATCAATTTACTTGGTATGAAAAATGTTGAAGACGACAACGTCGGGGAAACTTTTGCTGAACGTGCAGAATTTTACTACAGTAAACGACCTCAACTGCTAGCCCTTCTCCAAGAACTGTACACTGCTTACACCACCCTATCCGATCGCTATATCCAAACCGTGGCCAAATATCACAACCATCATCACCGCAGACAATCGTCTCTTGCTTCAACCCTCGACTCTTTTGATGGAGCAGAATATTTGGGGAATAGTCAGATTGAGTCTGATGCAGAGAGCTCTCTCTCCTATCAGCAAGTATGTGTAACACCAGCTAAAAACAATGCTTTAGTAGACAATGATGCTTTTATTGCTGAGCTCGTCATCAAGAATGTGGAGTACGACATTCTTATAAATGAGGTAAGCATCTTGGAAAGGCAATGCTGTGATTCGTCAAGGAAGATCGAGCTTCAGAAGAGTTTGCTTGAGGTCCTGGAGTCTGAGAGGCTGATACTACTGAATGAAAATGCAAGATTGGGATACAGGGTGGATTCCTTGATGGAGGAAAATAAAGGCCTGGTAGCAGAGTCTGTTTTCATGAAGCGAAAGGCAGGTGAGATGGCACGATGTATGCTGAAGCTGCGAGATGATCACAGGGTTTACCTGCTTAACCAAAAAATCGAAGATCTTCAGGGACAGATTTATGGGCTGGAGAAAAGGAACAAGGAGTACTATGAGCAGCTCGTGAAGAAGGATAAAACAATGGTGGAGAGGAGATGCAACAGTAAGCACAAAGACCAGCATGGGAACGAGGTAACCTTGGAGGCATGCTTTCAAATTGGAAAAGTTAGATCGAAGAGGGATGGTCGTGGTTTCAACCACAGTGGCAATGCCAAAAGAAGTGACAGTGGGAGGAAGGTGTACAGATGGTGGGCGAAGGTGAAGAGCATGGACATGTTTTTATGTGGTCACAGTACCAACCCTACTTGATAATTCCTTTTGCCTTTTTGAATTGGGTTGGGAAAAAGCCATCCCTAGGTAGATATTTTGTAGCAGCAGTATAAATAACTTAGTCAAAGTAATCTTTGTTAGTGACTTAGTATCTGTGGCATTGGACATAGAACACTAGTCTTACAAGGCAGTATGAAATAGTTTAAGCTCTCTCATTTTCTGATTCACCTAACTTTTATCTGTTCTTTTGTTGTGCTTTGATTAGAGCAACTAGAGAAAGGGAATTTCTCTTAGCAACGATGCCACCCATTTTCAATTTGACAGGTTCATAATGCAATCGCAACACCAGGCCAATTTCGTAGAATTGAATAAAGTATCATACTTCTCAATTTCCATATTATACCCTTTAATACATTTTGACACTCACACTTTAATTCATAATAATTTACTTTAAAAAATGTAACAACTAGTGGTATCAACAAAATCAGCCATTGAAAACTCATCTCTCTCATCTCCAGTTTGCTGACGATGCCATTCTATTCGGTTCCGGTAATTTTAGGGCATTTGAGAATCTTAATGGCCTTCTTGGTTTCTTTGAAGCTATTTCGGGTATGAAGATAAACAGGGGTAAGAGTTCTTTATTGGGCATTAATTGTGAGGATGGTAAACTTAGTGAGTGGGCGACCCTTGTTGGGTGCGAAGTTGGCAAGTTTCCCTCCTCTTATCTCGATCTTCTTGTTGGTCATAACCCTAAGTCTGCTATCTTTTGGACGCTGGTGTTGGAAAAGTTTCAGAAACGCCTCTCTTCATGGAAGAAGGCTTTCTTTTCGAAAGGTGTGAGACTCATGTTAATTCAGTCTGTTTTGAGAGACATTTCGAATTAACTTTCTGTCCCTTTTCAGGATTCCTATGAAAGTGAGTGAAGAGTTAGAGAAGATTACGAGGGATTTTCTTTGGGAAGGTGTGGAGGAGGGGGTGGGGCTTTTAGGGTTAATTGGAAAGAGGTGTCCAAGCCTTTGGAAGCAGGAGAGCTGGGTATTGGCCAAATGGTTATGGCGGTTCTTCCACGAATCTAACGCCTTGTGGCGAAAGATTATTGTAAGTATGGGCGATATCCGTTCGACTGGATTCCGACAGGTGGGTCTAAGGTGAGCAATTTCAATCCTTGGAAGGCTATTGCGTTGTGTTCCCCATTTTCTCTCTTTCTCTTCGAGTTTCTGTGGGGGAGGGTCTTAATACTTACTTTTGGGAGGATACTTGGGTAGGCGATAAACCCTTGAGTCTTGCATTCCCTCGGATTTACTTTCTGTCTAATAAGAAACTCCTTTCTTTGTCCGAGGTGTTGAATTTTGGGGAAGAGGATTCGTCCATTTCACTGGGGCTCTCTCAGTCTTTAACCAAACGGGAATCGTTAAAAGTTACCGCGTTACTTGATCTGTTGTCTAGTGTTTCGTTATCCTCTGGGAGGGAAGACGTGAGGGTGTGGATTCCCAACCCCTTAAGAGGTTTTTCTTGTAGCTCTTTTTTCCATGTTCTGATTTCCTCATTTTCTTCTTCTTTGTCTTCTCTTTCTTCATCCTCTTCTCCGTCCCCAATGACCCCTTGGTTTACCTCTCTTTGGAAGATTAAAATTCCAAAGGAGATTAAGTTCTTTGGGTGGCAAGTCTTACTTGATAAAGTCAATACCTTGGATCGGATTCAAAGGATGTCTTCCTTTTACCTGGGCCCGCAGTGGTGTGTTCTGTGTAGAAATGCCGCGGAAGATCTTGAGCATTTGTTGTGGTCCTATCAGTTTGCGTAGGAGTTATGGTGTCGTTTTTTTAGAGGTTTCGGTGTTGCTTGGGTTCGCTCCGGAGATTGCAGGGCAACGATGAAGGAAGTGTTGTTATTGCCCCCTTCATGACAGAGGCCGCTTCCTCTGGCAAGCGTGCTTTCTGGCTTCTTTATGGGGTATCTGGCTGGAGAGGAACAATAGGTTGTTTAGGGGTGTGGAGAAATCTGTGGATTATATTTGGGACCTCATTAAGTTTAATACTTCCTTATGGGGTTCGGCCACAATGGCCTTTTGTAATTATCCGTTAGATCTTATTCTTTTGGAATGGAGCCCGTTCTTATAAGGGTTCCCTTTGTCGGACTGTTTTTTTGTATGACCTTTTTGTGTAGCTTCTTTTTTCATTTCTCTCAATGAAATGACAGTTTCTCATAAAAACAAAAACAAAAAACAAAAAACAAAAAACAAAATCAGCCATTGAAAGCTGACTGCTGAATTGCAAGCAAACAATATTAAACACCTATTAACCGAGGACAGTAGCAGAGAGACAAGGTAGCAGCCCTCACGTTGCTAGTCCCTCAAGGGAAGAACCCAACAATAAGTAACTAAACCTGCAAGAAAGTTCATAACCCCGATACAAGAATAACAAGGAATGAACAGGGGTTGTGAAATTTTTTTTTTTTTATTATTATTTTTTTTTTAATACAACGCATATCGTATGATGTCTTATCTTTCTTGTATGCTTCTGCATTACAATCCTATTTAGGAAATGCTCAATCCCAGGGCTAACAAGAAAATAGTCAAAGGAAGATTTCAATGGCAATCTCGTAATGAATCACATTTCCAAAATTTACCCTATCAGATGAAAGAAATATAACCAAGGCAAGAAACAGATCTACAAATTTTACCCATCATTGAGATTGCTATAAAAAAAAAAAACACACACACGCACGCACGCACATTCCAAGCAGAAAAGCAGCAAATATAAGGCTCAGGTCAAAATCCCTTATCAGAATCTCCATCTTCCTCCTCAAGTTAGGAATCACTTTATCCATGCGTATGCATGCATGCCTTGAGAATAATGATTTTGAGAATGCGAGATTTTTTCCAACATGAGAATGATTAAAAACCATCTCATGCTTTAGAAACATAAAAAAAATTATTAATCTCTAGATAATTTTCATTGCTGTCAAATTTTTTATTTAATTTTTTGAAGCAGGAAGACCATAGTGGCACAACTGGAACAAGGTGGACACTGTATAATCCATTGGGACAAGATTACTGAATCATGTTTAGTCCTTTTTTCTTCATAAAGTTATGTGCTTTCTTATTGACATTACTGGCTGCTTATTCTTTTTGGGATCCAAATCATTCTCATGTACAATTATACAAATTCCCATTCAGATTTCCATGAAACTCCAAAATTGCCAAAAAAAAAAAGCATTTAACCTAAGACAATCTGAGTCAGGAATGTGAAACCTGGAAGCAACCTGTAGGAATCTCGAACTGGCCATTATTCTTGTTCCTTGATTCACATCTCAGATTTAAATGGAGATGTTCACAGCACTGAGTTTCTCCTGAAGTTTATCAACTCGTGCCTATGGAAGAAATGGCGAGCAAATTTTAGAAGTTAGAACAATATTACGGGAATTCTAGAAGCACTAAAGCAAAATCTGACTTCAATCATATTTTGAAAAATGACGGGGAAGGAAAAGAAAACCTAAACCATCATCTTCGCACGTATTATTTCCTCTCTCGTTCTCTTTTGAGATTAATCTAATCGCTCAAAGGGGACGATTGAAAGAGATAAGTGAGAAAATTTGATGGCAAAAGCTTCAGAAATTGTGCTCGGTTTGGGGTCAGAATTCAAAAAAGTCATAAAAATAAATAGTCTTGTTTGGGAGACTATTTTCAAACCAGTAACTGTTTTTGTTTTCAACAAGTATGAGGTGGCTAGTAACTGTGAACATGAAAGTTAAAATCTACAAGTATATGATTTTTGTAGGAAGAAAACTTAAGTTGTTCTGAAATATAGGTTGGTCACAAGTGTGACAACAACATTTTGAAAACAGCCTTTTTTTTTATTTAAAAAAAATTACAGAATTTTGTGATCAAACCCAGAAAAATAGCCCCAAAACTCTTCTAGCCAATTCAACCAACATTTCAATGGTAACCATCATGAACTTGTTTCCCTGTGTTACCTATAATTGATCTTTGGTCATAAACTTTCTGTAGTGAAGAAGTTGAAAACGATGGGAAAGAAAAGAAAGTGAGGAAAACAAAACTTAAAATTGGTGGGTTAAAGTGGTTAGCTTTTATGTCCTAGTCATGAAATTGACCATATTCTCCTCATATCTTGAGAAGCGCAGCGAATCATTAATCAATACCTTGAATGATTTTGAACGGCGAATTGAAGGATCAATTTCTAAAGCTGTTGAATATGACGTCTCAGCTGAATCAAAATGGTCCATAGCGAAGAATGCATCACCTTGGCAAATATAACCCTGCGAAATAAAAATCAGGGAACGGATCTTGAGAACAATACGATCATCTATACAAGAGCTAGAATCCCTTTGTTCTCACATCTTCTCATTTAAAGCACATGAATTTGTAATGAGCATCAAAAGGTTGCATGTTCTATTAGTTGGTTTAAGGACCCCTAAATTGCAGTTTAGCATCATCAGTCTTTTGAATTTTAAATTAACATCTTTTGGGCAGAAATTTAAACTAGGATCGAGAGTGGTCTACCTTTTTATTATTGACATATAAAGGTTGATGCATCAGAAAGACTCAAGGAGCCGTACAAGAAGTTGATCCCTGAATTTACATTTATAATTGATATCCATGTCCTAAATCTTCCTGTCATCCTCCAATTTTTCTTTCGCTCTTGCATCTAGAGCTTAGCACTACACAAAATTTCCTTAAACGCATTTGAAGTCAAAGAAAGTGGAACTCCATATATAGTGAATCTTGTCCATAAATTGAGGTACTATTATATCTACACGGTCTCAGTTTCAAATATTTTCCCCTTCGGTATTAGTTATATTCAGAACCCAGACTCAATAAAGCATAGCCTCCTAGTTATTTGCTCAAAACCAAAGTCTAATTTTTGAGATAGAATGTAATGCATCTTATGATTAACTAAAATACTTCTCACCTCGGTATATTGAGGAGCTACTTTTAGAGCTTCATTTGCATCTTCAAGGGCACCAGAATAATTTCCTTGTGCTAATCTTACGATGGACCTGAAAATTTAACAAAAGTTCTGTGGTAAATAAATTATCTGGATGCCGCTGCTATAGTGAAGTCATGCAAAGAGACTTTTTAAGGGCGGAATTATCCCAATGCTAGAGAGAAATGAGGCATAAATTATCAACAGAATGGAGCATTTGGGAAGAACTCAGACGACCTAAAATTGCACGAGCGATCATAACTGTCAGCGCTTATTAGCATAAATCCAACTATCGTTGCAAATTTCAATAAAAGAGCATACGATTTCTATATCATAATAAGGTACAACGAAGAAGTAGAACACCTGTCCTTGAATATTATATGGATGCCACCACATGGTTTTAGTTCTATCGCCTGCAACAATTGAAGGGAAGCAGGGCATCATATATGATGAATTTGTTGTGAACAAACTTCAGAATCCAAAGAGGAGAAAAAAATCAGAGTGGAGGTGTAGTCATCAACATTGTGATTGTCATACGGCATGAGGCGGAACAATTTACCTGCGAGAGATGTAGGTCGGCCTGAGAGAAATCCCCCTCCTCCATCTCGGTCTCGGCTCTCTTCCTCAGAGCAAGAGCTTCCAAACTCTTGGAGACACTAAGAGGATCATAGCCTCCACCCGAACCGGAGAGTCCCATCATGAGCTCGGCAGCACGAGCAGGCGTGCCACAGTGGCCGACGACGAATCCATCGGGCAAAACAGCGACGTTGGGGCCAGCGCCGCACTTCCCTAAACAGCCACACGAATTGACGGTAATGGTGGGGGGTGCGAGGCCGTTGAGAGTTTCGAGTGTCTGAAAGGAACCTTGGCGTCGGCAAGTGCGATTGGTGCATACTCGAATCTCCTGGTTGTGAGCATGAAATCGAATAGGGCTGCGTTTGTAACGGGAAATGGAAGTAGAGAAGGACGTGTGGTTGGGTAGCAATCGAAAAGGGGCGTGAGGATCGCAGACGAAACCCGCAGTTGCCTTCATTTCCCCCTTCCCTGTGGTATATCTTCTTCTTTCAGTTTCAGCTCCAAGAAGAATAAGAGGTTGCCGCAGCCCTCCACGGGAATGGCGGGACCAACACGCGCCTCCCACTCCCCACTAAAACCAAATTATTTTCTAGAAAGTTACCTTGAGCTTCAGCCTGAGGGTGAAACTTGAAAGTGGAATATTAAATAAAGCTGAGCGAGTGATGGCTGACGTGTTCGCAGCTGCCGTCCCACTTTTCGGAGTGGCCATGGCTTTGGCCTGAAGCTCCACCCACCATTGCCTATATATATATATATATAAATCTCCACATTATTAACTTTGATTCCCCAAAAACAAAATTAGCGCTGCAGAATGGCGAGGTGGCTTTCAAATTCTTATTTGTAACTGTTATGCTCTCTTTTAATTCACTTGCCTGTTTCAGGTTGTGGGTATGAATCCAAGAAGAAGTATCTGTTCGGGAGAGCCAGTGTCCAAATCAAACTAGTCGAGGGCGACTCTGCAGGGACAGCGACAGCCTTCTCTATACGTAAGACTCACAGACTCAGACACGCAAATTCATACATTTATATCCAAACCAGTTAACAAAAGATGAAGTGGGCTCATTTGTGTGTGTAAAATTACAGATGTCATCGGCGGAGGGGCCTAACCACGATGAGCTAGACTTTGAGTTTCTGGGAAATGTGTCGGGACACCCACATCTGGTTCAGACCAATGTGTATTGCCAATGGCACGGGAAACAGAGGGTTCGACCCCACTGCCGATTTCCACACCTGTTCCCTCTTCTGGAACCGCCACTCTATCGTGTAAGCTTCGTACCTCTGCCTCACTTTTTGTGCTTTCCACTTCCACCTTCATCAAAATAAGTAGCACGAGAAAGAGAATCATCAGTTAGCATAGATTCTAGTGCTGCCGCAATATATTAAGCTAATGCCTTCTCTTATGTGGAATTGCAAGGCAGTTCTGGTGGGATAAGCCATCGTTAAGAGGGCTAACCGCCCACAAAGCACATCAACTCAAGTGGGTTCGTGGAAGGCACTTGGTCTACGATTATTGTAAAGATATCGTTCGGCTCAGAGAATGTTTCTGAAAGTACCCTCTGTCATAAGAATTCCACAGAATGCAATTAGTCATGTTCTGATTCCGATCCCTCTACGATCAAAAATCACCTTTTAAATTGCCATTTTCACTGTTTTTTATTCTCTATTTTGATGCTACTCGTGAGTTTCAACCAGACATTTGGCGACATTGCCATCATATGCAAAGCAGATCCATGTTTAAATGGTGATCGAGTGAGAGACAAGAATCATAAGAATCAATTTTGAAGCTTTGTTCTTCAATTTGTTAATAAACATTCAAGGGATACAAACGAACATGCAATGGAAAGTTAAATTCATACCTCAGGCACTGTAATCACAAAGTTTAATCACCTTTTGATTACGTAGATTACGTTAGTTAGCTTTTCCCTAGTGAGCAATTGCAAGGCTTGGATGAATATGATTTTTTTAATTAGGACGTCATATGGTAACATCCGATCAAAAATGGACCGCAAAAATCTCTGCAGAGAAGTCTGCTCCGCAACTTCGTGTATACTGCAGATTGAAAGAGTATTTTTGGAAGATTAAAGAGTATGGCAGGCATCGAACAAACACAGAAAGTACCGTTCCTCATCATAAAGATAACAAGTTGAATTATGATAAGATTAAGAATTATCAAAATCATAAAAACATTGTCTGAAGCAATTCTAGAAGTATAAAACGGCATAAAACACCCCTTCAAAAGGACTCTAAGAAGCACGGTTTTCTTCGGCAGGAGCTTCAAAAGTCTCCCCATCAACAAGTTCTGGAACAACATCGTCATCCTCCTCTTGTGCATTATTTGCATCACCACCTGCTCCAGGTGCTTGCTGTTTAAACTGCTCGGCCAATTTTCTCAAGTTATCCAAGTTGTCCGGCCCTGAGGAAGGTTGGAAAACAAAAACATTATTTTTCAGCTCAAAACATTTGAGAACTAACCGAAAAACAAAAAACCCGAGATGAATTACCCAATTGATTGATGATGCCAGGCAAGATGTCCTGCAATTCTGTCATAGGAAAATGCATACATTATTAGATTACCATTTTTTAAAAAGAAATAGATCAAGACCATGCGAACCAAAATAAAATTAGAACGCACATGGACCAGAAAAAACTTTTCCCTTGAGCATTATTAGATTACCATTTTTTTTTTGGAATACATCATAATATGCATGATGGACAAAATAAACCTCAACCCAACAGACAACAGGATCTATTATTCTATCCCAT